TGAGAGCGATACAGTTCGAAGATTCCCGCACCTGTGGTTTAACGGCCCGTACAATCAATACGGCTACGATTCGGGAATAGACAGCAAGATGAAATTTGATTCCAAAACGTCTCGCTGGAGCTACGACTTCGTTTACGAATGGCCAGCCGTGGGCCAGCTAAATGTTTGGGGAGCGGACAGTGAGGGCGCCCCTGATACTACCGAGGTTTACGGTGATGTCGGCAACTCGTCTTCAGTTCAAAAGCTTCCTCCGTCCTATCTCTCATCAAACGTGATCAACATCACCAGTCCACCGCCATTCCCTCATCTTGGATGGACAATCTCGCTCAACGATGCGAATCTGCGATACCAAATGATCCCCGTCGGATCTGGATGGGCCCAGTTGGTCCTCTTTATCCTTCTCTGGGTTATCCCAATCCTTATGGGTTGTGCTGGTGTCTTCATCTTCATCTCGAACTTCTACCGTGTCAAACTCAACAAGAATGGCAATGTCACCAAGGCCGATAAGTCCTCGGTACTACTTTGGCGCAGACTCAAAGGAACTTTTGCCAAAGACGATGATGTCGAGGAGATCGATATGGCAGAAAAGTCGGTGCCTACAAACATGGCCCTGGCAGGAGCGAGCGACCAGCGACGCACTGTATTGATTGCCACTATGGAGTACGATATTCAAGACTGGAAGGTCAAGGTCAAGATCGGTGGTTTAGGAGTAATGGCTCAGCTCATGTCACAGAACCTGAAGCACCAGAATCTCATCTGGGTGGTGCCGTGTGTCGGTGATATCGATTACCCTGAGGATACGCCTGCTGAACCTTTCGTGGTGACGATCCTGGACCATCCCTATTCAGTGCAGGTCCAGTATCACGTCGTGGATAATATCACCTACGTCCTCCTTGATGCTCCTGTTTTCCGGCAGCAGACTAAGGCAGAGCCCTATCCTCCACGTATGGATGACCTTGACAGCGCGATTTACTATTCGGCCTGGAATCAGTGTATCGCCGAGGTAATGAAGCGAACCCCCTCCATCGATCTCTATCACATCAACGATTTCCATGGCTGCGTGGCACCACTCTACCTGCTCCCGTCGCGAACTATCCCGGTTTGTCTTTCATTGCACAATGCCGAGTTCCAAGGTCTTTGGGCTTTGAGGACCTCACAGGAGAAGAAAGAAGTCTGTTCTGTCTTCAATCTTCCTGTTGACATAGCGACCAAATATTGTCAGTTCGGCAACGTTTTCAACCTCCTTCATACCGGAGCTAGCTATTTGCGATTCCATCAACGCGGCTTCGGTGCGGTTGGTGTGTCTGAGAAATATGGAAAGCGCTCATGGGCCCGTTATCCAATCTTTTGGAGTCTTGGCAAGATTGGCAGTCTCCCCAATCCAGATCCCTCCGATACAGGCGCCCTGAAGAAAGACCCCGACGTTCAAGTTTCCATTCAGTCTACTAGCGAGCTGACCAATGACAAAATCCAAGCACAGAAATGGGCCGGTTTGAACGAGGACCCCAACGCTGACTTACTGGTGTTCGTGGGAAGATGGTCGAAGCAGAAGGGAGTCGACTTGATTGCGGATGTTATGCCGGCTGTCTTGTCTGCTAGACCTAATGTGCAGCTAATCTGTATTGGCCCTATCATTGATCTGTACGGTAGGCTGGCTGCTATCAAACTACAGCGCATCATGGAAATGTTCCCAGGCCGTGTCTTCTCCAAGCCAGAGTTTACAGTCCTTCCCCCCTTCGTGTTCTCTGGTGCCGACTTCGCCCTGATCCCGTCTCGCGACGAACCCTTCGGATTGATTGCCGTTGAGTTTGGTCGGAAGGGTGCACTTGGAATCGGTTCCCGCATCGGTGGTCTAGGCCAGATGCCTGGTTGGTGGTACACTGTGGAATCCGACTCAGCCCGCCATCTCTTGCACCAGCTGAGAACAGCCATAAAGTCTGCTTTGGAATCGACGCCAGAGACCCGAGAGGAGATGCGTGCAAACTCTGCCAAGCAGCGATTCCCCGTTCTTGAGTGGGTTCAGAAGCTCGAAGTCTTGCAACGGACATCTATCCACATCCATCACCAGAAGAATCAACTCACCGTTGCAGGCTCAGCTCGGGAATCTCAGATCTTCTGGGAAACACCAGGTTTGCGGGACTCCGCAATGACTTCCCGCCCTTCGTCAGCGATGGGGGCTTTGGATACGCCAGGCAGAACATCACAGCCCTTGCAGCCTTCCCTTCTACAGCTACAGGCAGTCGAAGCCCAAGAAATGCAGGTAGCCGAAAACAACAGAGGTAGCACGTTGGGTCGCAACCTATCGCTCGGTCGACGATCTGGGCCAGGACATGGCAGAAAGCGTCTCGTCAAGAAGTCACTCCGCGAAAGTCAGATGCTCGAGCCCGTTGACGGCGATACCACTGATGCCGATGATGAGGGCACTGCCACACCACAGGAGAACCTTATTACCCAGGAAGAAGCTATGGCAGCGGTCAATTTCCCTCTCCAGGATCTTGCCTCCCACCCTAGAAACAGCAGCCATTCCCGTGGTGTGTCTAGCTCGTCGGCCTCGGAGTCATCGCGTTTCATCTCAAGGGACTCCTCTCCAGTGAGGGCACCTGGTGGCCTTTCCGATCCAGCTGCACCCTTCGCTCAGTCCCGGAATATTTCTGTCCTCTCATTGCCTTCTGTTGTTAATGACCATGACCAACCCGATTTCCATCTGCAAAAGGTCGACCCGACCTTTACAGACAGCATGGGCCATTTCACCCGGCACTTCGAACAGCTGCTCACCAACCTCAACAAGAAGAACTCAATTTCAGATCATTGTATTGAGCTTTATCTCATGAAGTCCGAGCGAAAGTTCTTTTACATGTACAACGATGCGCAGTTGAAGAAGCAGCCCAAAGAACGTCCCGCGACCGGAGCTGGCTTGGACCGTGCTGTCGAGAACACACCCTACAGCCTTGTCACAGAAGGTCCCGAAGACTCGGATTCGAACAACAACGATGAAATCGATTTGTGGCTCGCTCGTCTGGGATACAAGAGACCCATTGCCGTCCAGCGCTTTATGAGATGGCGCGTCGGAAACTGGCCTGTTTATGCTCTATTCTTGGGTCTCGGACAGATTATCGCAACCAACTCTGCGCAGATCACCCTGTTGGCTGGCCAGATTGGTGAGACTGCAGTCAAGCTCTACGTTATTGCGGCAATCTACTGCGTCTCTTCCATCGCCTGGTGGTTCCTCTTCTACCGCTTCCCGTCTGTGATAGTCCTCACTCTCCCCTGGTTCATATATTCCATGGCATTCATCACCATCGGCGTCTCTCCGTTCGCACTCTCGGAGCTCGGTCAAGCGTGGGCTCAGAATGTCGCTGCGGGTATCTATGCCGCAGCATCTTCCAGTGGTTCCTTATTCTTTGCTCTCAACTTTGGTGACCAAGGTGCCGTTCCTGTGAAGGATTGGATGTTCCGTGCAAGTCTTATCCAGGGTATCTCGCAGCTCTACACTGTTGCCCTGTGGTACTGGAGTTCCAGGGTCACAGCCGCGGAAGTTGGAGGTGTTTCCACAGTTGCCTTGAATTCCTGGAAACTCACCGCTGTGGTGATGCCCATTGCCGCAGTTTGCTTCATTATCGGTGTTCTCCTCGCCCTCGGCTTGCCGAAATACTATCGCCAAGCACCCGGAAAGATCCTCTTCTTCTACACCTCCCTCTTCCGTCGCCGAATTGTCCTCTGGTTCTTCTTCATGGTCATCGTCCAGAACTGGTTCCTTTCCGCGGCATTCGGTCGAAACTGGTCATTCCTCTGGTCCTCCCAACACACCAAGCCATGGGAAGTTGCTCTCCTGGTCGTCTTCTTCTTCATTGTCCTCTGGGTCGCTGTGATGCTACTCTTCCGCTTCTTGTCCAAGGAGCACAGCTGGATTTTACCCGTCTTCGGCCTGAGTATCGGTGCACCACGATGGGCGCAAACTTGGTGGGGAACATCTAATATCGGCTACTATCTTCCATGGGCTGGAGGTATGACTTCCGGAGCTATCGCATCCCGGTGTCTCTGGCTCTGGCTCGGCGTTCTCGACGAGATTCAGCAAGTCGGTTTGGGAATGATTCTCCTACAGACTTTGACAAGAGTACACGTCGTCTTTGTCCTGCTGGCTGCGCAGTCTATTGGATCTATCGCCACAATTTGTGCTCGTGGATTCGCACCAAACAAGGTCGGTCCAGGAGACATTTCCCCCGCTGTTGGATCGTCCCTGGACGCAGTTGCCAATGCGTGGTTCTGGATTGCTCTCTTCTTCCAGCTTCTCGCTAGGTCAGTTATCACCCCGATCCTCTCTCATTTTATGGCGTCGTACTAACTGTGATTGTAGCTTTGGCTTCCTTCTCTTTTATCGCAGTGAACAGCTCAATCGGCCCTAGATCAATCACCATGTGTGTTTTGACTTAATAATTCAGTAAAATCTGGGGGTTGGTATAGATGGAAAGGAGTTGGAATTGATCTTTTGTCTTGTTAATAAAGCGTTATTTATACTCTAATACATATATGGACTATTGGGTGCAGTGAAATATTTTGCGAATAAACCACATTTACAATAGACACGAATAGTCTGGTTATGCATCAATCTCGTGTCCTTTTAGGTACATTCCCAAGGTTGTTCGCTTCGATTAGCCGAGGCAGTCACAAAGTTCACTTCAAAACTCATGATTAGATGTTTTGCAATACTGAGGGCAGAATTGCTGTTTGTTTCTTACTTCACTGCCTGTCGAGCCATCCTCTGCACCATCACATATCTTTGATGCACCCATGCTTCATCGGCCAAACCGTCGCTGATTCACCCGCAATACACCCGGTACCCCTCAGGTGAATCGTAATCGATGCAGTCAAATAACAACCTCATCTCGTCCCCAGTTCCCATCATCACCCAGAGATCCCAATGGGTAACACCCATGTCCTACACCTCACCCACCCGGGGATAGTGTCATACTGATCCACAATCGGAAATGCTTCGAGGGCCTTCACATATCGTAATTCTTCCTCAAAATACCCTGGCCCTTGATTTTCAGGGTCGATATCCCTTTGAGCACCTGTAGGGTTTCTTCATAGATGATAATGCACATTCGAAATTTGTTCCAATTATCATGTCTGTCTTGGGCATCCACCCAGGCTTCGAAATGAGCACGAATTGCCTCGAGGGACGTCCCGTTGAATTGCGTGGGATCACTATGATAGTTGACGGATATTACGGATATTTGGCCCAGATTTCATTGACATCGTGGTGTTTAGGATTCTGATTGGCGTCTTGGAAAAATGATTGCTGGATGCGGGCATCAATTTACCTAATAGCACCTGGGAATACAGCATCGGATTCAGCAGAGTAGGTAGTGCGATAAATGACATATCCCCAGTCCGTGAGACTGTAAAGTCTATTTCGGAGCTCGTCCATGTTTGTGAATGGCTGAGAGGAAGGTCTTTCACCGATTATATATTTTAGATCCGACCTGGTGGTTTGGCGAAGGCAGAAGTTCCTAGCTCCGGCATGTCAAAAGGTGTTGATGCCCAGGTCAACCAGAGCTAACCGAGTTTGCCAAGGCAGTGAATTCATAGAGTAGGTGGCCAGTGAATTCTCTCTGTCTGTCCTTATTTTTGCTTTTGCTTTTGGCTGCCCATCGAATAATGTTTGGTGGTGGGGTCAAGAGCAAAATCATTAATGAACAGCCGCATAAATCTCCAACGCATCATGCAGCCTTCCAAAAACACCACCATGCCAATCTCGAACCAACTCCCACTCCTCAGCAGGCAAAGTCTTGCTCGCCATCCTCAACCAAGCCCCAACAATAAGATCCGCGTAATTAGCTCGATCCCCAAGTAAAAACGGCCCGTTGCCACCAAAAAGCTTCGCCAGCCCACCCAACATCTCTCGGAAGGACCCAAGAAGCTTCTCACGCTGTTCCCCTGTTACAGCCAAATCCTCCCAACAGCTCACACCAGCCCGTCGAACAAATTCAGCCTTTGCCTCCTCGGCAGTCGCAGGATCAAACGGTAGCCCGTAGGCCATGAGTCCGACGTGCGTGGTGAAAGCAGCATCGACATTCACATTGAAGCGCGCATACTGGGGGTATTCACTGCCATCGCACTCAGACAATGGAATTAAAATCGCAGCGTCTGGACTGAAGGCGTAGTCCAGGGACTGGGGCGGGAATAAATCGTTTCCGGCTGGGTATTGCTTTTGCAGGTAGACGGCTATGTCGAAGGAGTCGCCGAGTATGCGGGATGTTGTGGGGTCCACTAGGATGGGGAGTGTGTGGAAGTCTGTGCCATCGGCAAATTTGCGGCACGCAGGGATGTTGAGGCTCTTTCGGACACTGGATACATCGGGCAGTTGGACCCAATTGGTTGAGTAGGGGAGTGATTTGAAGTTCAGGGCTAGACGAGTTTTCCATGGGTTTACGGCGCTATTGTACTTTTCGGCTGGGGGCCCCATGGCAATGTCGTAAAAAGCAAGCTTGGTGTCCATGGTGAGGAATTAATTGGGCTGTTCTTTGTTGGGTCTGTGGTTTCCAGCGTAGATGTCTCCCAAGTAGGTATATTGATGCAAGTTGACTAGATGTGGGAAGTGGGGATGTGGCACGAATGATGAATGCACGTGACCTCGTTTGTCCATACCCGCGGAGTAGATATCGTCTTTGCTTCCTTTTCTTTTGTTCGTAGTGTCGTTGATAGCATAGTTATATGTCTCTCTTTCCTTGCTTCAGAATATTGATAGTAGTTGTGGAGATATGGCGTGATTGTCGCCGCTAGCGCGGCCATCAGTTAAGAAATTGGCTCAACTAACGATACCAACACTTACATTTAAACTATAAAAAGATGCCTTTCGGCAATAAAGGTTGCTCGTTCAGAGACCCGGGCGCTGGCGAATGTAAAGCGACTGAATCCAATGCCCGTAGTAGGCTACGAGCGTTCCGAAATCCTCCGTCAATCCAGCAGTCTTCAATGATTGAGCCAAGCCAAACGTCTTCAGTGCTGGGAAGAAGCTCTCTCCGCGGCCAGGTTGCTCGACCATCAGTTGGAAGGTTGTCTTTGAAGAGATCGATTTCGCATTTCTCGCCAGTCACAACTTCATAGATAACTGCCCCGAGAAAGCCCAGGTCTATCCGAGTCGTGTATCCGTTATCATCGACAGTATCCATATCGACATCCAAGGGTAGAAGAGATGCTTCGGAGAAATCGCAAAATTTGATTGTCATATCTGAATCGAGAAGGAAGTTTCGACTAGCAATATTTGCCACAAGCACACGTTGATCGTGAATATACTGGAGCGTGCGAGCCATTTCACGAAACCACGAGAGTTGGAGCCGTTGAGGGGGCCGGTTGGTTCCCAAGTACTTACGAAGATCTCCATTTGCCATATAAGCAAGTTGGGTAGCTTCTTTTGAGAAACCAAGGCACTTGACAATACCGTCGCATTGGGGATTTAATAATTGAAAACGACGATAGAGATCTTGTTCACGTTGGATAACTTCAACGTTCATCTCAACCTGTACATCCGAGCTCCAAAAATATCTCAGAGGGGTCTTCACAGCCAGACCGTCGCGTAGCACCACAACCGCTGAAGATCCGGATCCAAGGACTTGCTCCAGAGGGATGGAATCTCCGGAGAGATCTAAAAATGGAGAAGCCATAGTTTGTTGTTGGGGATGGAACGAACGTGGGATTAACTACAGAAACTTGGAAGGGAATAAGGGGTCGGTCGGCCCGGCCCGGGGCCCCAGGGTCAGCCCACCTGCTTATATCATCCACTCGTCGCACCTGCCAGGTACCTACCTAGGTAAGTAGATATCTGGGCACCCAAAATAACCTGGAATATCTTGGGCTCGGAAGATTTTATTTAATCCTGTTACTGTTCAAGTACTCTCGGCTACCTCATGACCCAAAGCCCGATTGAAAGAGCGTGAGTGTCAAGAACTTCGCAACCTTGCCGGCAGAGTTCCGGGTTCAATCCGCTCTTTCGATAATACGGTTTTATATTCTGATGAATAGAAACTATCAACTCATCAGTTGAGATCGGATCTTTCCATGCTAATGGGCTCCTATAGCGCCTAAATCCTCCCTGGTAGGTAGCCAGCGACTTCAGCTTTCCGTCTCTGATGATAATGATAATATCGAATATTGAATGTACGGACCGGAGATCGTCGAGTTTATAAGGGTCACTCTTATGGTGTTAGATCAGCGATCTTATTCCCGGGCCTTCTGCCTATACGCAAGGCCTGCTCGGATTCTCGAGGCAGTGACATACCATCTGAATGAGGGAGCTTGAGCTCCACGGGCCATCGCCAAGCCTAGGAGCGCGCTGATTGCCGTTGGGAATGTGTGTATGTTCTGGCCCATGGCACCCATTCTGGAGGTTGATCCAAGGAAAATATCAAATGGATGAGCTGTTTGAAGGCGAGTACAGCGATATAGAAGGAAATTGCCTTGATGAGAAGACCGATGGATTCTTGAAGTTCGTCATTCATGATGAGAATAATAAGGAAGAATCTTGCTGTTTATCTTCGTTAATGCCTTGGAATGGGAAGACAACAGAATGGATCACGCTCACAACCGACGGTATTCCTGAGAATGTCACGGGATGGGAGAAGGAATTTATTTCATATAAGCGCCATATTCAGGCGACGCACGAGTGGTGTCCGGCGGTGTCCGGGCCCAGTAGGGCCACAGGGGGCCAAGCTAATATAGCGCCAACTAGCGCCGAACAAGATTTTCTTAGCCTTTAAATTGAACGACTACGTCATAACGTAGGGTGTAGTATCTCTTGCGGAACAAGATCTATAAGATATATATCGAATAATTTATATTGAGGTTTCGCATATAGAAGGATGTAAACTCTACACTTTGTATTCGCAACCTCGTAGAAGGCCGTATACGTGAGTACATTCATTCATGGATGGAGCCCACCTGGGCAAGTTTGATAAGCCCAACCCATGAAAATCTTTTGTTGTCTGTTAACACATTCACTGGTTTGGAGGGCTCCATTGACTATATTCGGTGGATGAAAGTCGACGCCACGGCTCAGTCCACAGTTCCGGTACTTCGACATCGGGCGCATAAAGTGGGGATATATCCAGAGGCATCTCAAGTAGAAAGTCGGTGTCGAATATCACAGAGGACTGTCCACCTAGAATAGAGTAATACTGAGTTGCCTAGGTGAAAGATGTTAAGCGATATACCACTGGAAACCAAAATATTTACGTACCATCGTTCCCATTTCAAGAGTCTCTGGTGTCGACCCAGATGTCGCATCTTGGTCTTTCTGGCTTGATAGTGAACGCAAAATCCTACAGATCCAAAGTTAGAAACCTACAACAGAAGATTTGTCGCCACCTACCCTGATGCTTCTGACGGATCACTGGAAACAATCCTGTTCAATGCATTGCGCACTTCATGGCTAGGATGGATATCAGCCCCGTTGTCGTCATAGAGCAAAATATTGGAGAGATCCTCGAACAATCGCAAAAAGGGTGCAGTAGCTGGCAGTACTCGCGTGTATACAGCCAATGCGCTTAAACAAGCACCTATCGCCTGATGAGTGCGTCGAGCTGTTAACGCCGTTGGTGTTGTTGCTAAACATTGCAGTAATGTAACACCGCAATAAAAACAATGGTACACTGTAATGCGATCCGGAGGTGTTTGGGGGTTTAAGCTCAATGATTTTGCATTCTGGTGAATTTTTAGAAGATTGCTTCATCGGTGTTAAGATGTAGACCACGTACCTGGCATGCTTCAACTGCGAATTCAACACACAGGCCTATTAGATCGGGATCAATTTCATTGGCCATCAATATGGGTCGTATTAGGAGAAGAACAGCTTGCGTGTATGTAGCTTGGACTCGATCGGGGGTTTGCTGAGGGAAGGGCCTCGAGTCTCGTTTTTGTGGCGCTTGCTGTTTCCATTGATCCAGCTCGTAAAGAAGATTTTGGACTTCAGCTAGCGAGGGGACTTGAGCATGTGGTCCCGTGAACCTCGTTCTGAAGAGTGTTAGCGCTTTCTATATATGTGGTAGAGGATCTCATACAATATTTTGGATCTGATGCGGTACACACGCAAATGGTGTAAAGCAGCAGTCATCTGTGTCAAATGTTAGGACCTCGAAATTGAGCGAGTAGAAACAAATTAATTATACCGTAGTGACCATCCCCTCTTCTTTACCTTGGGCTCCAGTTCCTTGGAGGAGTTGCATTTGTCGAATTCTGTGCTGGTCGATGCACGTGTCGTCAATATCAATTGGTATCTAAATTATGGTCAAAAAAGAGCGTCAAATAAATTTTCAAGCCAAGGCACACACCTCTGCATCAATATCAGAATCACTGATTCCAAACGGGAGCTTGGACCAAATCGCCAACGATCTATTTTGATCGTTAGGTTGGTTCATCGTGTAGGGGTTACATTTGGAGTAGACCTGATACACACCGATCAAAACAGTATGCACACCAGAAGAATCGTTTTCTAAGCTCAATGGTATATGGATCTAAACTTCGAGACTCGGGAGATGCCGCAAGTTTACGGTGGTATCTGAGCTTGACACACAGGCGCAAAACAAGCCCTACAAGGTGCCTAGTTATAACATCAGCAAATTATGTTGTTGAAGAATGGTGTTCAACGAACCAAATTGGAGATTCTGTCTGGGCTCTGAAGTAATACTGCACAAGACAGAGCAGAGCTTGCACTGTCGCCATGTCCTGTAGAGACATTACGGCCGGGAGATAAGTCCGCGCGCGAGCAAAATATGCCTACCACACTCAGTTAACGCGTTCTCTTTTTCCCTTCGGCGAACAACCACGTACCTCTGTTGAATTTTCGGGGTCCGGGATCAACCGGGCTCCAATAGCATATATTATCCAGATGAAAAAGGCCCCTATTGTGATATCAGTCATTGTGCTCACATTCAATCACATGGCTGGTGTTTACCAGTTTGTGATTTTATCGAATCTTGAGAAGAAACATATGCAATTGTGTCTCTTTGTCGATGCCATACACTAATTTGATTCCAGTCAACGATGCAGTATCGAGCTTGGGTATAAAAGTATGCTGCATCAACAAGTTTCCTGGCACCGTTGCTCGAGGGTAACACAGGGAGAGACTCGGTTGCTGTCTCCGGGACAAATGTGCGTCCATAGACCATCTCAAGGATGGTGACATCTGAACCTGACACCTGCGTATCATTTCTGGTCCCAAATAGAGCCCCAGGCACTTGTTCCGGAGGTTTCAAAGATTGGCCTTGTGCCATACCTGGGTACCCCTGATGTGGCTATTAGTCGTGTTCAATTTCAAATGACAAAATAAGATTACATTGTATTGTGAAACGCTCCCATTCGCAGAGAGCTGGTCATTTTGAAGGATTCCCGGTCGATCCTGCGACATTAAAGTGGAGGCATCACTTCCATGAGTCCGAGGCTCAGGAATAATCGTCTCAGGAGTAAGACAAATGCCAGTGGTCGATGTGGGTTGCTGGGATCGGCTTGCTTGTAGCTGCTTTTCAAGATTTCTAATCCGTGATTCAAGCGTTGCGACATATCTATGGAAACTTTAGCGGAAGATGTTGTGAGTAGCAGAGAAGCTTACGCATCGCGTCTCAATACACCGTCTGGGGGAACATCGAAGTGGCATTCTAGCATATAAGTCAGTTGTGCTTGAAGACGAGTAAAGGGTGCGTATTTTACCTGCAGATGACTTGGAACAAGCGACGCATTTACTACCAACAGGTTAGTCAAGACTCCACGAGCTTATTATAGTGGCGATCAAGTTACCCGTTCATGTTCTCGATGTTGTAATGGCATTTTATCTTCCTTCGTTTGCAGTAACGACCTAAAATTGGACACTCAGTCGGAGTACCCCAGATCTTGGCGTACAGTGGATACTCACACGCATTAGTGCTTCTCCGGTGGATACTACCATTGATCTGCCGAGATTGATTTTGCTTTTGTGGGCTACTCTTCCGGGATTGGAGATGCTGCTCGAGGGCTTCGGATTCTTGCATGTTGTTGAGGGATTTGAAGAGTCGAGGATTTAAGCGGCAAGGTGTACCCGCACAGAAAGGAAATAAAAGCGTAGCTCAAGTGGGGTTGGGAATCGAGGAATATGAGAACGAGGGAAAATAGACCTAGACTAGTGTTCGCTGGAGATTTGGACCGACCGATAGCCCGAAGAGATATGGGAGATATGAGAGAGGGGAAACGTCTCCACAAAATCCCTTTGAGATAAAGGGGCGAAGCTAGGGATGCCAAAATTGCTATTGTTCGACACTGACTATGATATATTTTTGGTTTGACAGGTTCGATCTTGATCACTTGCCCTACGGTGTACTTGACATCAAGTTCATTTAGAAGCAATCCCCAGCATTGATGGCTCTCCAATCAACTGGAAGTTGAAGTAAACGTTCCCAGGTTGGAAGGAGCGGAATTGCCGCTTCCCCGCTTTTGTCGGCTTTCCACGGTAATTCCGTGGAATTCATGTCTACGGCCAATCACAATGCGGGAATACATTTAACATCTGTGGACGGGACAAAGCTACCAAAGCTACCACGTACTGTTCTGATACTCATAACCCCACAGGGTGTTTTCCATATCCTACTAGTAATTGTTAAATGAAAAACACCGGAAATACGAGTGCTCTCGAGTGGAGACTGACCATAGTAAAGGACCAAAGTAAAGTGAAATAAAATTATACTAACAAAATACCTAGTGAGACGACGAACGCGACACCTCAACAGACTTCTGCGCGAATTTAGTCCCTGGAACCGCTTCGTCTTTACTGCTATCTCTGTTGCAAGTTAGCCACTGGCCGATCAATAGACGCGGAACAGATCTTACGACTTATGGTTCACATCCTGGCCCTCAATAACAGAGGATGTATCTCGGAATGCAGATTGCCTACCGAAGAGTCGCCACGGTCCGCTGAAAACACGTTCAATCTCTTCGACGCTGAGACCTGCAATCTCCGGCACAAGCAGATATACGTATAGAAGAGCTCCGGCGCACCAAGCCGCAAAGAATATAAAGGCGCCCCAGTTATCCGTCCGCGAAAGAAGGGACGGTAATGCGAATGTCATGGAGTAGTGGAATAGCCAATGAAAGGTTTGCGTTATAGCAGCACCAAAGGATCGAATGCGATTGGGCCATAGCTCGCCGCCAAAGACATATGGGAGGGTTAAAAGGCCTATGTTTTGTCCTTCAAGTTAGAATCCAGTGCACAGTTGAACTTGCTTTGTGAACTCACCGATAGTGTATCCAAAAGAGTGGATGAAAATTGACGCAAGTGCCGCCTCGCCTGCAGCTTCAGAGGGAGATGCATCGTTTTGGACTTTGATATATGCTGCAAGATAGATGTCGGAAATCATTTGAAGGGTAATTCCGAAGAAAAGCGTATTTCGACGACCTAGAGCATCGATGAAGAAAAATGATGCGGACAAGCCGAAGAAGAATTTCGTCATGGTATACATTCCATTGAGGAATAAGTTTCGGGAGGAGTCGCCGGTCAACCCGATAATTTTCAAGATAGGAATAAAATAGTTGGTGATGGAGTTGCCACCTGAGAATTGTGGAAACGCGTATAGGATAAGGGCTTGCTGAACTCGGCGGAGATTCGACGGGACTGTGAATGTTTCCTTTGCAAGGCTGACGATGTTAGAGGGCGATTTATCATTGGGGTCATGAGCTGCGGTCTCCAATTGGATAGATTCTTCAATGCTTCGGAGTTCTTCCTGGACCCGATCGTGATCGAGCGGTAAGCACCGTAATCGGACAAGAGTGTTGGCAGCTTCTTCGTTTCGGTTGGAGAGAACTAGCCAGCGAGGTGACTCGCAGAGAAAGAAACTTGCCAGTATCCACAGTAACATAAACACACAGGGAGAGAACATCACGACCTGGTATTGAAGTCGACTCGCTGCAATGTGCAGCTGCACACCGTACACACAAAATGTAGCGAGCATCAAGGACAACGTCATACACACAGTGTACCATGCTGCCAACAGTCCACGTATCTCAGGCGGAGCCAATTCAACAATAGAGACAGAGCCCGTAACACTCAATGATCCAATTCCAAGTCCAGAAATTATCCGCGACGCGTACAGTGCCGATGGTCCAGGGCTGAAAGTCGCGACTAGCTGTCCAATAATCCAGATTGCGGTGTATAACCGGAAAGACCAAAGACGCCCAATTCTGTCGTTGATGAAGAATGATAGAGCAGCACCGGCTGCGTCACCGATGTAGACAAGCGAGACGAAGTTCCTAGTCGAGTGGGCACCCGCTGTAGAGCTGATACCGAACTGCTGTTGAAAGCCCTCCAGGGACGGTAATGTGGATGCTGATCCTTGATCCCATGCTGCGTGCGATGATCAGTAAGGCTAAAGCATAAATTCGAGCGATGGAGTCAACTCACTCAAAGGGATGGCTGCGGTCGCGTACATCGCACACGACAGAAGCAGACTAGGACCCAGGATCACTTCGCGGGGTGCATTTTTTATTCTCCTGCTATAGTCCGCCAGCATGGTTCTTCCGAGCATGTTCTTGAAGCTCATGTTGGATGCTCAATGCGCGAACATGGATTGGTTGTGTTTAAGTGTGGAAGAGAGATCGGATAATTGGAAAAGAGAAATTAAAATGGACTGAGATTTCCCATAGCCGGCAATTCGAATGGTCAAACAAGCCCTGTCTTATATACCTTTACCGCAATCCGGAGGTCGATACTTGCGAAAATGCGGGGAATCAAACTGACAACCAACATTGCGGTAAATCCGCACATATATGAAGTCAGATAAAAGCAAACAGAGATAAAAGTGCATTTTGTGCGATTGGCCGAGCCACCTTATCATTTATTTGCGAGACAAAGCAAGCAGCGGGGGATGAATACCCGTATATCAAGGGATCTCCACGCTTTGCTCCGAACGGAAATGCCGCATAATGGCCACATTCCACTCTAAAACATACTATCTTGGGAGCCATTTGATCATATCAAGTATCTTATCTGGAAAACATGTAACCCAAACATCTGGGTGAACTTTTAGTGCGTGACGGAAATACCGCTCGTGCATAGATAGCTCCTTCGTCGGTAATTCCGTTGCATATCGTCAAGTCTAAAGAGCAAATAAAAGGCCACTGACGCCACCACATTTTGTACTCTGCAATAAATCGAGTGAACCTCGAACTCCAAAGTCAAACCCCTTGGAACCCTCTAAAATGACTACACCCGAATCTCGTATCATCATCGTAGGCGGTGGTGTTTTCGGATTAAGCACCGCTCTCTGGCTTGCCCGCGGTGGCTACAAAGATGTCACGATCTTCGACCGCTGCAACTTCGACACGAACTACTACAACCCTGCCGACGGCTGCGACGGTGCATCCGCTGATATCAACAAGATTTTCCGCGCAACGTACGGTTCGCAAGAACAGTCAGTACACCGAATTAAAATTCAAACCGGCCTCGTCCTTAACAGACCTTTAGTTCGCAAGATCTTGCTCTGGAAGCCCGAGATATTTGGCTGGATTGGAACCGGGCTATCAAAGAAAGTCTTCCATCCGATCTTCCGCGACCGTTGACACCAGAAGATGAATTGCTCACACTATGCGGTGTGTATCATCTCGCCGATGGACCAACCATGATCCCGCGCTATGTGGAGAATCTGCGCGTGATGGAGGACACGGCGCCTAGCTTCCGCGATCTGCAGTTCATTAAGGTGCGGCAAGGTTTCCTAGTTCAATGGCATTGTTAACAATAGAAACAGGATAACGCCGACGACGAAAAGCGAGCTGGTGCATACGGTCCCGAATGGGCTAAGAAGTTCCATCTATTTGACAATTTCAAAGATGGTGCTACTAATGGATTTCTCGATGCGGGCTCTGGAATCACCTTGGCCGACAAAGTGAGAAGCCTTTCTTTTCCCTGTCCTTCGAAGAATATTAATTCAATTCATGTAGGCATGTGTGTATGCGCGGTATTTATGTCAAAAGGCCGGTGTCAAGTTTGTCCTTGGACGTCCTCAGGGTGAACTTGACCATTTGATCACTGGGCAAAATGGTTCAGACAAGAGAGTCAAAGGCATCAAAACCTGCGATGGATTGACACACGCTGCTGATCTAGTAGTTGTTGCATGTGAGTGATGAACAACCAATGGTATCCAATGACCATACTAACATGTAAACTTAGGTGGTCCTTGGACAGCAGCTGTTCTTCCAGAGGCACATCGCTCGGTTGAAGCAACAATGGGAACTGTTATGTTCATCGATGTGCCGGAAGATCGGAAAGATATACGAGAGAAGTTCCATCCAGACAATATTCCCGTCTGGCGGTTTATTCAAGGCGAAGGCGAAGGGTAAGACCTTATTTCTTGCCCAGGTTGGACTCAATTTAGTTAACCGGGATAATAGTGGTTATGAAGGCGGCGGCTTCCCTATCACTCGAGAAGGGAGATTGAAGTTTGGATTCCGCGCGCGAAAGGTAGCCCCGGACTCTTGTGGCTTTTGTCTTTGCGACGTGCGCTAACTTTCTCTGCCTCAAGTTCACAAATTTCCAAGACCACCCCACGGAAGACAATATGTACGATTGATCCGATGCTATAATTTTCCGTCGAAGATCATGTGCTTACCACCATTTTGGTTACAGTCGAATCTCAACACCCCGAACGAAATACAGCCGAGAGCCAATCAACACCGTGCCCCTATATGGTCTGGAACTCATGAAGCAAGTCATCGGTGGACTGTTTCCAGAGTTGGCTGAGATTGGCTTCACCGATAGCCGGGTTTGTCAATCCCAGATCCTCAAAAGCCCGTCGCTAACATATATCAAAGTTGTGTTGGTACACTGACAGCATTGATAACGAGGTGAGTGTCATGAGCCCAAAGATGCGTCGTATCAATAATACTAATTCCCAGTAGTTCGTCATCGATTATGTGCCTGGCTACTCTGACTCCCTGTTCATCTGCACAGGTGGCTCGTGAGTACTTGAGTATCGATATATAAGTATATCCTCTAACCTAATGTCACAGGGGCCATGGATTCAAGTTCCTTCCAGTTCTTGGTAAAGTAAGTTTCGTCGTCTTCATACGCAGAAGAGGGAATATCTGACTCCATTTCGCAGTATGTCAAGAACCAGCTTGAACGAGTCCCTGATCGCTTTACGCCTATTTGGAAATGGCGAACTGTTGAGGAAGGGAAACCATGCAATGGCCTCGAAGAGGGCGAAGCTGGTCCTCGTGAGATGTCGAAGCTAAAGTTGGCAAAGCGTAAGTGGCCTCGGTTCTCTGACTCTGAGTTGTACTGATTGTAAACCGCAGCGCAAGACTTTCAGTTCCCGGTCAATGGTCCAGCGTTGTCAGATCGCTTCGACAGCTGAGTGTTGCACCAAATGAAAAGTCACAACTGTAGTGACAATCATACTTGTTTCGAGCTTAATTGAAGAATATATCGCGGCGGAAAATTTCGGGGGACGGGGGGGGATTACAATAGCTTCACCGTTCCCCATTGATACTGGAGGATAATTGAGCAAATCTCAGAGCACGTTTGAAGAGGACACAAAGAATGTGAAAAAACTGGTAGGAACACTAGGAAAAAATAAAATCTCGTATTTACTACCAGGCGATCTGGTCACTGATAACAGACTCTATACACAGGCTTCAAGCAGAAACAGGGGTAATCTTAGCGACCTCCTTGAGGTCACGACTACTGAATCCAACACTGAGGACAAACTCACCCTCAGGGACGAGCCACTTCTGAGAAACAATATCCCAGTAGCTCAAATCTCTGCGCATCAACTCAAATCCAACAGTGCGCGACTCGCCCGGAGCCAAAGAGACCTTCTCGAAGCCGCGCAGCTGCTTGGGCGGGGTGCCCTCAGGGGTGCTGTCTGGGAAGGTAACGTACAACTGGGGAACGGTAGCACCCTTGACGTCGCCAGAGTTGGTAACTGCGACGGTCACGTTGTAGATAGTCTCCCACAGAGCGGGGTTACCACCGGGCTGAATGGGCTGGTCTTCGGGGATGGAAGGGATGGACTCAGCCACCTGCTCGGCGTTGATGTCGGAGATGCTGAAGGTTGTGTACGAGAGACCGAAGCCAAATTCGTACTGCACGGAGATGTTCTTAGCGTCGAAGTAGCGGTAGTCGATCTCGAGCTTCTCGTCAAACCAGGATTGCCAGTCGTGCGTGCCATCAGTGGACACTTCGGTGGTGGGAGGGGCATTGTAGTCTGTGGCGTTCTTCGCGATTGTGTAGGGGAGGTGTCCGGCGGGGTTGACATCACCATAGAGGACATCGACGATAGAGTTGCCGGCTTCCTGGCCGGGTAGTGGGCGGCGAGAATGGCAGTGACGTTGGGGTGGTTGGCCCAAGGGAGGACGTTGATGCCGGAGGAATGGGTGATGACAATTGTGTTGTTGCAAGACTTAGCGACGGACTCGACAACCTCGTTGCCGTTGTAGTCCACTGTCAGGTGCTCGCGGTCAGCACCTTCCTCGGCCCAGGTCTTCAGGAAGACCAGACAGGCATCGGGGTGGCGGGGACCCAAAGATCGGTGACATTCTTGGTCGCAATCTGGGTGTTGTTCAAAAAGTATTGAACAAGAGCATCGTCCTCCTTAGCGCGGGTCTTGATGGCCTCGAGTGGGGAGACAAGATAGGTAAAGCGACCGGTACCCGAGCCACCGCCAGCAGCGAGGTTGCCGAATTCGAATGTTGCCTCGTTCACAGCTCCCATTGTGTTCTCCCCGGCATCATTGCCGAAGATAGCGATGTTCTTAGGAGCCTTCAAGGGCAAGGCCTGCTTTTCGTTCTTCAGCAACACGGTAGCTTCAGCTGCAAGCTTGCGGATCAGCTCGGCGTGATCTCCGCGGACGTCGCGGCTTCGCTCGCCGGTAAGATTGAACTCGCGGATCCAAGTCGAACGGGGAGAGAAGGTGTTCAGGTCGGCAGACGAGGGGTCCACCTCTGGGTAGTCCTCGTCCTGGCCAAGCCAGTAGTAGGGTGTCATAATGCGAATGATCATATCGTCGACACGGGACTCATCAACGGTTCCGTTGTTGACGGCATATGTCACGTTCTTGCCGAAGAAAGAACCGACCCCGGGGACCTTACCGTAGGCACCGAGACCACCGGGCATGTTCATGTCAAGGCCACCCTCGATCGAGGAGACACCAGAGTGAGTGCCACCCCAGTCGGACATGACGTATCCCTGGAAACCAAGTTCTTCTTTGAGCAGGCCGTTGAGTGCCTTGGAGTTCTCGCAAGCATAGGAACCATTCAGGCGCTGGTATGCGCACATGAAACTGGCAGCCTGGGCGCGGACAGCATTGGCGAAGGGCCAAAGGTACAGCTCATGCATGGTTCGGTCATCGATGTTAGAGGAAAGAGCCTCCTGGATCACATCTGTGAGGGTTCCATTGGGGTTGTAGGTAGGGTTACGCTGAGTTTCCTGCTCATTACCGATGAAGTGCTTTGCAGTGGCTTGCACGCCAGCATCCTGGTGACCGCGAATGGTCTTCTCCATGGCGACACCGGTCAAGTAAGGGTCAGCAGCAAAGCCTTCCCAGTTTCGGCCTGCATAGGCAGAACGGCCGAGCGGGCCGGCCACGGGGCTGAGGGCAATGTGAGCACCTTTGGCCTTGAACTCTTGACCCATGGCGTAGCCTCGTTCATAGAGGAGATCTCTGTCCCACGTGGATGCCACGGTGACACCAGCAGCGAAAACGCTGGCATAGTCGGCAACCCGAATTGCCAGGGGCCCATCCTGCAAGCAGAGACCCGGGAACCCGAGTCGTGGGATAGCAACAATGTTTCCCACACACGGACCCGGCTGGCCAGTGACCATGTCGGCTTTCTCATCGATAGTTAGCTTGGCGACAAATTCTTGAGCTTTGGCGTAGGCTTCCTTCCATTCGCCTGTAGCGGTAGCATTTGCTGTATTATAGGTCAGCAAAAGCCCAGTTGTAGAGAACTATCGGAGAGAAACATACGTGAGGGAAGGACGGCAGGGGAGTGTCCGTAAGGGCCCAGAATGGTTGTGTTCTCGGGCTGGACATAACTGAAAGCATCTTCACTTCGACTGGTCCCATCAAATGATTGACCATTGGCCACTGTGGCAGCCAAAAGGCCTGAAACCACAAACTGAGCGACGCGAGCCATTTTCCGTAACTTCCTTAAACAGGAGCTCGAATCTCTGGAGGAACAGTCTCTAGAGATGCCATGGGATATTCACTCCTTTTTATAACCTTTAGTACACAACCCATGGTACACAACCCGATTACTTGGCGTATGGGAAAAAGACGATTTTTGCCGTTCAACCGGCAATTGCAACTATTCCAAGGGAAGTCCCAACCCGGAGTTCTGCCGAGACCAAGTCTTGGCGTTCCGGGGACCCCACACATTTTCGCTTTCTGGGGAAAAACTTCTTCATCCCTGCAAGTGTGCACAAGCGTACAGAGTCAGTGCAAAGTCAGTGCGCAACACAACTTATGACGCATTTGAACTCTCTAGCTTAGTCTCTCCATCTACTACTCCATTAACTCTCACCGGTGGCTAATTTCTTCTGGGTTTGCTCTCCGCATAGTCCGAGCATGGCAACTTTAAGCACGAGACATGGTCACGATCACCGCCTTGGCAACTAGACTTGGCTAGCGGGTATTATCCCACTCCACGGCTTCATCGGAGACCGAGTGCCGGCATTTCCCCTCCATATTTGTTCCAATCGCCGGGGATACTTCGGGTGCTCGATAGAGTTTGTTGGTCGGTTTAGTGCCTCCCGACGACGTCACTGTAGAGTACCTACCTCGGTACACTCTGGAACTAGCCCTTGGCATTCCCGCAAAGCCACGAATGATGTTCTGAGGAGTTGGAAGTTAGTTTTGCCGATATATTGACTGAAGTTGGTGGCTTGGACTCGGTGGCTACAACCTATCCCGCGTTTTCGGGATTTGAGTGTGTTTACCGGCTCAGTATCTGACGGCCGAGCTTTGTCCTCGGATAGCAGAACTCTTTCGGGAGAGGGGTTAGTTGGTTTATAATCATTATGAAAGAAATTTGAAGTTTCCGCGGTTGCCCGCGGCGCCCAAGAGTATGTTCATGTCATGCAATCTGGTTGCCTAACTTTTAGTACAAGGCCTGCTATGGTTTACGTCCTCAAGCAACCGGAATATATTGTAGTGGCTCCAACTTTGTCAACTTGATAGTCTATTGTCCAACTAGCTAAACACAACGTCTCTCGGGATTCATATCGAGACAATCCCGTCTGGACTCGGGGTGAAGACTTGCGCCTTGGGCCACCTGCACTGGGTTGGAACGACAGTTAGGACTTGGCAGTAAGGTACATTTATGCTGTACATGGAACACAGCACACTTGATTGGCTTGCTGCTCTAGTATTTCTTGTATCCTACTGAATTCTAGAGATATTTAGTACAAAACCCATTCTTCTCTCCCGGAATTTCAATAAGACCGACTCGCCTGCACTTTTTACGTTAAATGGTAACGGATGAGGCTTAAAGTAACGCATAGAAGGTGTATAAGAAGGCTTAAGAAATTAATTCGATTGCCAAAACTATTCTACACAACTGAATATAACTATATCCGACTACTATTGCTTAAAGCTACCTTCCTGGAGCTATAATTACCACTGATAGTAATAAGAAACAAGTGGACGAGCGAAGCCAAAGCCAAAAATCAAATTAAAACAAAAATAAGTGGAAATAAAAGTTAAACTGTGAGCATTCGCAGGTGTGGGTGCATATTACCGCACTCCTGCAATTTCATTCCTCGTGATAGACGGTGGGTCGCCCACTATATTAATTTCAATTGGGCGTCATTCAATTACCTGCCGATATTATATCCGACAAGTGATGGAAGAAACAATCGCGCTACGAGGTCAGCTTAAGAAAGAGAGACTGACGCCAGAAGAGGTAGAGCGGAGCTAGGGAGAGACAGAACTACCTAGGTATAAGTGTAGCCTGACACACAAGTTATTCCGCCTTCTCGGTCGCTGTCACCGTTCTTTACATCAAGCGATCAGACTTGAGACAGATGCGACCCTGACGACCTAGGGGAAAGTGACAAACCTAGTCAATTGACTTTTCCCTAAGCGCATTGTCTCTTGGCTTAGCTTCCCCTAAGCATAAGAAAAAGGCTAAAAAAGATTCGATAGCACGGAAGGTAGGCTGCGATAGGACTCCTAATATATTTGAACCTCTCAGCTATATGCGCTCGGAAGACAGAGAATCGAGTATCCTCCCATTAAACAAAGCTCTTTGCTCTTTCACTGGTATGTGCCGAGCACTGGGATAGATAATATCAGACAAGGCCTGAGTCTAAACCAACACGTTCTTATAGAATAAGTTGCTGCGGCGGTCACCCGCCACCCCGGACGCAAAGCCCAAGAACAGACGCGCCTCACCATCCTTGGTCTTATAGATAGCCAAGCCCTCCGGCTCCCGGAACTCAAGTGTCGACCCAGCCTTCGTCATAACTGGTCCCTGAACCAGCTCTCCCGTATTCAAATCCATCGACAACATCTGCGAGTTAAGCTTCCCGCCACTGGCCTCATACGACTCCCCGGTAAGTAAATAAAGATACCGGCCATACACCGCATAGCCCTGATTCACACCCGTCATCGCACCCAAGTCGTCCTTAACATTCGGTATTTTCCAATCAACAAGCGGCTTCGAGAAATTGCCCGAAACAGCATCATCAAGATCCCATACAGCAATATACATAGATTTGTCGTACTGATACCGCACAACGAACCGTTCATACACAGGGTCAATCGTCGCCGTGCCCCGCTCGAACTTCTCCAGCGGCTTGATCCGCTCCCTGTTGTCTTTCGCGGGATCCAGCGTCTTCCCGTCCTCGAACTTGAATCGCCACAGCGCAGTCCCGTACCCACTGGCCGCGGCGTCGGTCTCAGACCAGATATATGTGTCGCTGCCGACGGGCTCGGCGGCAATGTTCACCCCGTGTCCGCAGGCAAGCAGGTCCATGGATCCGAGCAGGTTTCCCGCGAAGTCGACCTCGCTGATAGTGAGGTCGCCCGAAGTGGTGCTGGCGCCGTTTCGGCGGTTCACGATGAAGAGCCGGCGGTTGACATTGTCGAAGGTCATTGATTGTTGCACGGTGTAGGCGGCGGTTTTCTTGTGCCGCCAGAGGTCGTGGGAGGGGGTTGTTAAGTCGAAGCGCTTGGAGTCGGGGATTTGGGCCACCGCGGCGGCAGCGGCCGTTAGGGCTGTGAGGAGGAATGTGATTGCTCGCATTGTGGGCGAGATACCAGAGATGGGGGGGCTTATTAGAAAAATGTAGTTTGGGGGCTCGTGTAGACCGGCCAATTCATGCTCTTAAGTAGTTATCTTACTCTACAACCTCGGCTCGCTCGAGGGTGATATATCTGGGTGTTTCCTGAGCTACTGCATGATAATACGAGGTGAAGATTTAAATATAGAAATTCCCACTCGATTCTCCTGATCGTCTCGCTTAGATCCGTGTGGGGCCTAGCACTTAAGGAACCAGTACAAGGATAGTCGTGCTTTCCAAGTTGTTCGGCTGCAACCCCATCCACATGGGCCTTGGGGTGCGACGTAGATGATCCGGTCCTCGTACAGTTCGGGAGCGATTTCACGATGCTAACCCGATCGGGGCCGATGATCTTCAGAACACGAGCCCGTGTTTCGCAGTAGTCTGGCCCGAGCAAGATCCGAATCCTGGATGCGACACGCAGTCTCACAATAATTTGCGACAAGGGAACCTACATTATCTGGGTGCAAATAATATGACGCTAAGGTGTGGAGGTTGGTGAAGTAAAGGCACGGCAATATTTCATCTAGGTCTAACGTCTGATGATACCCATCGGACAGAATCGGGGAAGGGGCATCTAGAATATTTCAAAGTGATGGACAAGATTGCGACCTATCCTGTACTCATTTTGCGAGATATTTCTTCACAATTTGCTCTCCAAAAGTCTCACAACTTCCGTCTGATTCAACTGTTGTGCCAACTCCACAGCGGTGCGGCCGTTCGCGTCCTTGGCGCTAGTATTTGCGCCGAGGTTGACCAAATGACGAATTGCATCCGTCCCCCGAGCTCTGCTGCAATATGCAAAGAGTCCCCAGGCTCATAGGCCAGAATCGCATCAAAGTATGCCCGTCCTGGTGCATTGCGGCGTCTAAAGGTGCACCCTTATCAACGAGCATCGATATAACTTCATTAACATCCGTGTCTCGGAAAATGGCATACTGAAGAAGTTGTCCTTGGCTTACATCAACCCCACGGCTTAGCATCAGCTAGATGACACTAATAGGGGCAAGCTGAACAGCATAGGACAGAGGGGTACAGTCAATCTCGCATCGTTTGTTCGGGTTAGCTCCATGATCAAGAAGCCAGCTAGTCATTTGCTCATCTCCAACTGCGTACCTATAATACATCCTTTTTAGTAAATTGTCTCTCTAAATAGCTGAGTTGACCTACCCAAGAACAGGAGGCTGAATTTCGCTGACTGGTTCATTAATATCCCACCCTTCATTGATGAAACACGCGAGGGCTGCCTTTGCCTTATGGATGGTCCAGGAACATTTAGCTTCAGACACTCTCCGTAATCCGCCATTGATAGTGCTGGAAGCCTCAACATGTTTTACGATCTGAGACAACGTGGACTGTCCATCACAAATGAGTCATCGTTCAACGCCAAGAAGATTTGAGCGGATCTAAGTCACAATTAAACATACTTGGCTCACTTTTTAACCAATCCTTGGCGATTTAAACAATAGCAACTCCGCAAAAGGGCGGTTGGGGGCGGATATATGAGGGGACAAGTATGCCGACATCGGGCTAGCATAGCGTCATCTATACAGTTAAGATCACTATCCAGGGCCTCTTTCATGGTACTCACCCTTTCTATATCAGTTAAAAAAATTTTAAAAAACAGTTCCAAGATGCCGTCTACATTGACTATTGCGCAAATGAATAACAATCCCCCTCCTCGCCGGATCATTATCGTTGGGGGAGGCATTGTCGGCGCAGCGCTCGCGTTCCATCTTTCCAAAGCCCAAAGTGAAAATCATATTATACTCATCGACAAAAGTCTAGAAACCCTATTGGGCTCCACTGGTCACGCTCCAGGATTCGTTGGCCAACTCAATGAGTCGCCTGTCTTGACTCGGTTGGCTAAAGACACCGTCCAGGACTACCTCACAATTCCAGGTGGCTTTGAAACAGTCGGCGGCTTGGAACTTTCCTCTACGCCTTCCGGCTTGGAGACGTTAGCGCGCCGGCAGAGAATCGCGCAGGAGGCCGGTCTACCTGCGGAGCTTCTCACCCCAGAAGCGGCCGCCTCTCTTGCCCCGGAATTTATTGACGCCAACTCGATTAAGCACTGTCTGCATTTCCCATCCGATGGAACCGCAAATGCGGGCGTCATTACTTCCTACTATGTCGACCAAGCTCGCGCCAAAGGGGTGGATTTCTTGGAAGCCGCCGTAACAGGCTTTACGACCACGAAAGAGAACGAAACGTCGAAGATAGCGACTGTCAAGACCGCTAGCGGAGACATCAACTCGGAAGGCAGCACTGTGATTCTCGCCACTGGGATTTGGACATCTTCTTTGATTTCCAATGGCAGCACCCCTGTTACGCAACTTCCCATTCCCATCGTTCCCGTCGCACACCCTTACACCTTTACTCCGCCTCGGACTAGACGTGCCGGTGCCCCTTACCCATTCGTTCGCTGGCTGGACCATCACGTCTATGCAAGGGACCACGGAGACCGAGATGGCCTGGGCAGTTATGATCATCCCCCGATGCAGCTTGATCCCACTGAAAGCGCGATTGGAGCTTGGCAATCAAGCTTCGACCAAGTGCTGTCAGAAGCCTGTTCGAACCTGAAGAACAAAACAGAATTCCAGGTCCAGGGACAGAACACGAAGCCAGAAGGACCTTGGGTAGCAGACAAGCCATTCAATGGTATATTTTCTGTCACGCCTGACAACTTGCCTTTCGCTGGTCGGGTTCCTGACGTTGCGAATCTATGGCTTGCTGCCGCCATTTGGGTTACAACTGCTGCTGGTACTGCTAAGCTATTGGCAAGAGAGATTCTTGACGATGGTGAGAATGCGACAACTTCAGAAGATAAGGCTCTGCTGGACGCCTTGGATCCTGCAAGATTCCAAGGCGTTGAAGCGGACTTGCTTCTGCGACAATCATTGTCCAAATATAATGATATCTATAACCGAGAGACTTAGGCACATTTAAATAGCTCAAATCTTCTTCGATATTGGTCTTTCTCAAATAATACTCTCCTGTCCGGCACGGTCGGCGGCAAAATCATATATCGCACTCACTGGGACAGACATAGCCGAAACACATCAAACAAGTTTAACTAACCGCTAACCGCGGGTGTGCGGACGGGGGAATGGGTCTGCAACCGTCCTTTGGTGCTATGCAAACATGACTACGACGATTCTCCACTTCTACATGTTTACTTTGAGGGACATCTTCCCTAACCGCAACACGGTCTCAACATGTTGATTTATTCATCAATATGATAGACCAGCCTTATCCTCCTGCAACGGCGACACCACTTGTCGCCAAATGAAAGCCTATAAATCAGCACAGATCGTTTAAAACAGCAGTTTCAGATTTCTGGAAAGTGGGCTCTCATGAAATCATCCGTGAAAGGTGTCGTGATTCCCGGTACTCTTCAACTCCGGTAACCTACTCCAGAGAGATCTTCCGCACTACTACACTCTGTAGCACGACAGATCCTCCACCTACCTGCAGAGCTAGGCCATCTGCTGCCTCATCCGGGAAGATAAGGTCAGAAATAACGACCTCCCCTTTCCCTCCAAAGACTTCCACGGAGCAGATATCAATCAGTGCTCTGATTCGAACCACTCCCGAGGCATCGGGCTGTAGGGAAGCGCTATGAACACCGCCTGCTGCAGCGTCATAGGATGTATCCCCACTAGCTGTTCGGTCAACTGCCAGTGTCGCGGTGGACTGTTTGTACTGGATAACTGTTTGCTGTGATCCGGCCTTTCGAACTGCCAATGACAAAACCGTGTTTGTTTGTGCGGTGAATGCAAGCTCGATATCCAGTGCGGTCCCAACGACAGATGAGAGAAGAACCTGGCCCGGGGTAATTGTCCGGTTTCGAATAGTTGCTAGAGTAGAGCCTGCAGACAGAAGTTCACTGACAGGCCACTGAACAAATGATCGCACAGAACCTGTCTGTTGCAGCCCAAGAGTCCGAGGGAATGAGAGCATTCCTTTCCAGGTATTGGTTGGTGGACTGGCTCCGTAGCTGTTTGAGATGGCCGCGAGGATCCGTCGCCCATCCGTTTTAGGCACATTCTCCCAGCTCATCGCGCCATCGAAATCGCGCCCATAGTCAAGCCATAGGTTCGCAGTATCCACAGGATCCGGTTGAAAAGTCTTGCCATCAAATGAGCCTGTCAGGGCGAAGACGCCATTCCCACCAGCTGGTGACCCCTTTGCTGGGGTCAGGATCAATACCCAGGTGGTCTCATCAGTGCCTTCAATGGGTAGCTGGAACATATCCGGCACCTCCCAGCCGGTGATAGCTGACGGTAACCCTGATACCTGGGCTGATCCAAGATCGCTCACCCACGTCCAGTGCTTGGCATCGGTAGAGGTCCAGAAAGTGATTTTATCCTGCCCACCATGGGCAAGAATCATCACCCACTTCCCAGATGCCTCGTGGAAAAAGACCTTAGGATCGCGTGTCTCCAGTCCCTTGGTTGTATCATGGGGCGCTTCCTGCGCCGCTGAGATAATAGGATTACCAGCGAACTTTGTCCAAGTGACGCCCTCATCCACGCTATAGGCAAGGCGCTGGTCTTGTGTGCCATTCGACGGGAAGTATCCAGTGTACCAGGCCAGATAGGGCGGGCTCTGAGAGGTACCCAACCCTGATGTATTTTTAGAATCGTAGTAGCTGGTACCGGTGAATGCCTCGACGCCGTTCTCGCTTGTTATCGCGATGGGTTCATAGGTCCAGTGGAGAAGGTCCGTGCTGGTTGCGTGGCCCCAGTTCAAGTTTCCCCAGACGTTGGCGGTTGGGTTATGCTGGAAGAACAGATGCCAGACCGAGTCGATCTTGATAAGGCCGTTTGGCTCGTTCATCCAGTTCTTTTCTGGGACGAAATGGAACAGTGGGCGATAGTCGTCGGCTAAAGCCTGGGTAACAAGAAGGAGCAGAGTCAAAATGATCATGCTGACAATAAGATTGTTGCGACAGGTCTAAAAGAGAAGACAGGATTGATTATGCTGATGCACTCGATCTGTGAGTCTTCAGGGTTTATATATCTTTCCAACTCCTCAACAACACAACCTCATTTACCCTCAATCTATGAGGCATTTGCGCCCGACTATCTTTTGTATAGAGAGCCACCTCATTCTTCAGGGATTGCAAGTAAAGTGCTGCAGGGGAAATAGAGATCTGCAATGTCAACGTCCTTGGGTCTGAGGGTCTGAGACACATCCGCTCCACTTCGCGGAGAGAGTGGCATGTTCCGCGAGGGCTCCTCCTATCGAAAAGGCAGGTATTCCTCCTAGATATCCGGAGACCCCACAAATGCCGAGCCTCCATTGTACCCCATGTGATGATTTACTCACACCGGCGGCCCGTTGCGGGGAATACGGGGCTTCTGGAACCCCCCAGCGGCTGGGAGTGTGGGCAATAGGGCTTCGGCCACCACCCCGCCTCTCCGCGAAAGTTGTTTGGATGAAACTACACTTCCTCATTTTTTGGATGTCATGGATTCACGCCCGGTGAGGTTGCTGGTTCCTGGAGCCTACATAACCTGAGGACCACCCGGACTGGAAACCGCTACAATCACGCACTCGCTCTTCTCCATCTGCGATTACTCTCAACCTCCAAAGCCGACAATCATGAAGCTCAGTACGGCCTTTCTCTTGGGGGTGACAACCTTGACAGTTGCTGCAGATAGCCCAAGCAAGGCCTACACGGAGCCTTATCGTCCCCAACTCCACTTCAGCCCTGAGAAAAACTGGATGAATGATCCGAACGGCCTCCTGTATAATAATGGTGTTTATCACCTCTACTTCCAGTATAACCCTGGGGGTGATACATGGGGTGCAATGTCTTGGGGCCATGCAACAAGCAACGACTTACTGCATTGGACTGAACAGCCTATTGCTCTTGAGGCGAGGGGTTTCCCGGATAATATCACTGAAATGTTCTTCTCAGGAACGGCTATCGTCGACGAGAGAAATACTAGTGGTTTTGGTCGCCAGGGAAAGGTACCCTGGATTGCTATGTATACGTCCTATGTAAGTGCTCGTGATCGCAAATACTCCTGAATCTTTGAATCTTTATCCAATCATTCTAACGCAATGCAGTACCCAATCGAGCAGACACTGCCAAGTGGAAAGCACGTCCGCGCAAATCAACAGGCCCAATCTATAGCATATTCGCTCGACAAAGGGATCACATGGACCACATACGACGCCGCTAACCCCGTGATTCTGGACCCTCCTGCTCCATACCAAGATCAGTTCCTGGAGTTCAGGGATCCCAGTGTCTTCTGGCATGAGGATACTGAGCGATGGGTTGCAGTCATTAGTCTTGCGAAACTGCACAAGGTCCTTATCTACACATCACACGACCTCAAGAAGTGGGACTTGGCCAGTGAGTTTGGTCCAGTCAACGCTGTTGGTGGTGTCTGGGAGTGCCCGAGTATCTTCCCGCTATCTCTCGATGGTGGGGAGTCTGTGAAATGGGTTCTCATGCTTGGTCTCAACCCGGGGGCCCTCCAGGAACCGTCGGGTCCGGCACGCAGTATATCGTGGGGAATTTCAACGGCACCACGTTTACCGCAGACAGTAACAGTGTCTATGACGGGAATAGTCCCACTGATGGCATAACATTTGAGGACTTCGAAGGAGACGAGTCCCTTGCTGCTCGCGGCTGGACGACTACCGGTGATTTTGTCGGCGCGTCCCCAGCAAAGGGCACCCTCGACGGACAGAACACAGTAACTGGATTCAAAGGAAACCAGCTTCTGAACACATTTCTGAACGGCGATGCCACAACTGGTACTCTCACATCTAAGCCCTTCGAAATCTCACAGAGGTACATCAACTTTCTCGTCGGAGGAGGGAGCAATACCAACACAACCGCAATTCAACTGAAAGTGAACGGGCAAGCCGTCCATACCTCCGCCGGGTCCGACAGCGAAACGCTTTCGTGGGAAAGCTGGGACGTATTCGCCCTCCAGGGGAAGAGCGGTACTATCGAGATCATCGACAACGCCACCGGAGGCTGGGGCCATATCAACGTTGACGAGATTTCATTCTCCAATACGCGCGCCAACAACCAGGTTGCTAATTGGCTCGACTGGGGCCCAGACTTCTACGCGGCACTCGGGTGGAATGGTCTCCCTCAGGATGATCGAACGGTTATCGCGTGGATGAACAATTGGCAGTATGGAGCTACCATCCCGACAGACCCCTGGCGCAGTGCAATGACGGTTCCCCGGCACCTTGCGCTAAAGACAATTGGTGGCAAGGCCACATTGGTGCAGGAGCCAGCGGGAAAGTGGGGATCAATCACATACGGTGGCAATGTGTCCACGTTCTCTCGGGTGGATGGTGTGCGCGAGCTCGGCCGTATCGGGAAAGCGCTGGACATTCACCTGACATTCTCCAATAGACCGCCATCCTCTTCAAGTAGCAGTTCCGAGTTTGGGATTGTCGTTGCCGCGACCAACGACTATACCCAGCAAACGCGAGTCGGCTATAATTTCGGCACCCAGGAAGTTTTCATTGACCGGTCACAATCGGGGGACGTGTCCTTCGATAGTACCTTTGCGAGTACGTACTCTGCGCCTTTGTCTCCTTCGGCGAACGGAACTATTTCCTTGCGGGTTTATGTGGACTGGTCCAGCGTCGAGGTCTTTGGGGGGGCAGGGTGAAGCCACGATCACCGGTCAGATTTTCCCTTCCACTGAGGCTGTGTACGGTCGACTATTCTCTACCGGTGGTGCAACAAGCAATGTTAAGCTGGGGGTGGAGGAACTGCGTTCTACGTGGCGGTAGGATCTCGCGGCAATTAAGCCGGACTAAATTGGGGGTTGAGCCCTGGAAACACTAAGCGCAGACTTATAACAGAACCAAGAATAGGACAATTTTACTATGACTCGCACCGCAAGGATAAGAAAATAATTCTCACTGAGTAATTGACACCGCGTTGTTTGAACGCATTGTTTGAAACCATGGAATACAAGAAGTTTGATGGAGCCCCGTAGGATACTCAAGCCCTGTGTTTAATGTTGGTCCCCTCCAGTCGAGCTTTCAGTGACTCCCGCATATACTTCACAGATGGACTCAGTATACTCGGCCAGTGTAGAGCATCAACCGACGCGCCAATACATTCCCAGAAGAGCGGTTGGCAGAGCAACCGAAGGCAACGCACCTCCAAAGCCCTAATTGCGGCAATGCATACGATATATATACTAAGGGGGTTGCATAAGTACAGCCACGCAACAGAAAACGAAGAACAGTAACTCACAGCACATACCTCGCACAGAGAAACCAGGTTTTCGGCAGGCATAGTCGCAGAGCGAGGTTGGCTGAATCAAGGAGGCTTGTCACCGATTGGAAGAACAGTGGCGCGTAGGTTAGCAGCTCGGGGTCTGCAGAACCGCTGATTATGATACGGTATATCACCGGCCAGTAGATCGACACTTCATACAAGTGATACTTAGCTCGGCATACGGCACCATCGATGTGCTGGCTGATCGGTTGAGGCCGCGAGTCCGATGCAATACTTGAGCAGAGCATGTCTAGGGCAAACGCAAGAGGGTAACCCGGATCTGGAATTTCCGTGCTAGCGCTCAAGTCATCCATTGCAGGACTGGTGTATTTGTTTAGCACTGTTTGCAGTTGTATCTCCGTAGAAAAGTGGAAAGGGGTTTCCGTTCGCGAGTAAGCTTCGCTTATGTGTGATCCGTCGGACGAGGATAGTCCCGAGGGTGAGTGTGGATTATCGGACCAGTCCCAGACATCTGTGTTTGTCGGTATGGGTATCAAATCCAAATGGCCACGCATCGTTCCGCTTATGGACGATAGGCTTAGGTGCATAGAAAGCTCGCTATATCCTTGTTAGGGCTTTCAAAGCGTGGCTGTCGGCTTGAGCCCACCTTTCTATGATGTGAATCGTCCAATATAAGCGCCTTATAAGCCGCGATCCGGGAGAGCTTTGACTGCAAAGTGTGCTTTATTCCGTTAGATAAAGCCAGGGCAGCTTGCAATCAACGATGCGGTAGGCAGTCCAAATAAAAATGTACCTTTTGAAAAATGGTTGAATCTTGAGGAACGCGCTTTGCATATAATCATACGCATGTCTTGGTTGGATCAGGCATGCAGAGTATAGGCTGAAAAGGAGCAAGCACTGAACGCTTGTCACGCTGTGTTCCTGAATGACTATTGGGAGCATAGAGAAAGCGGCCTCAAAGGGTGACGATTGGGTTTGGTCTTGGCTTACATGTGCGAGTGACGCGACAAGAAGTGACAAGCAAGACATTGTGGAGGGAGGGAAACCGGCAGCACTTGACTCGCGAAAGTGAAGGGTGAAATCTGGATGGAGAACAGGATACAACTGGTGCATGTGAGTGTGGAACGTGTGGAGAATACTAGGCGTCGTCAGTATGCATCAATGTGTTTGCTCATTCGTATCAGACTGACAGATCAGCAGAACCGACAGGCCTATGCTCAGCGTACTCGGATATCTGTGCGGAGTGATGCTCCAGTCGGTACAAGACACATGCTAGATCTGACGGTAAACCGAGGATCTGCATGAGATGAGTAGACTTGATCACAAGCGGAGGACAACCCCATGGAGGCGCAAACGGTGTGATATCCTCACATAATGTGACGTGATGCGATTGCGGCTCCACCAGTGGGATGATATACTCCAGCCTTTCTCGGATGTTCATGAGTTCCTGTACCAATCTGCCACAAAATTTAGCCAATGCAAGGCCATCAAGAGAGGAAGGACTTGCTGTGAGGGTTGGGAATCAGGAGACCGTTCATATACACACTGCACGCCTTGCGAGACGCAGAATGAACACTTGGGTCTGCCTCGGTCACAGCGCCTTCTGCGCAGGCGACAGTGGTCGCAGACTGGAATTGTGGATCTAAATGGGAGCATTTCCAGAGAACTGTATATGGTCTGGGGATTCCAAAGGTATGATTTTGTCGCTGTATGATCGTGTTCCAGCCTGTTAACTACGTTGCAGAGGGGATGACAAGCATATTCGAACCCGCGGAGATACTTGTAGTAGATAGTGGCTCAATGCGGTGCTCTTGCTGCTATTAACTAACAAAATGCGGTTTAGCTCGCCAGTTAGCAATGTCAACGGAGAAACAATTTTACTTCGGGGCTATAAATAATGCTCCTATCACATGTGAGTACCTCTGCTCCACCCATGAACCCTATTGAAAAACAAGCCAATCACAGGTTGCTAAAGCAGCAATCGCGGAGAAGCTCCTCCCTTTCCGCGAAGCCATCGGTGCCCTGTCCAGTCACGATTCATGGTGGTCCATCTCTGACTCCCCACATGAAGTACGAATCCTTCTAGAATTTTGTTCGAAGTAGCTTCTTTTACTTGAACTCTCTCTAGATTCCCCATAGTCCTGAAATGCGGAGTGAGCTTTGACCCTCTTCCCCCTTCCCCGCTCAAGAGGCGCGAACCTTGGAAGCCTTATATAAATATTCCAATGAGGGCTCATAGACAAGCGTTTCTGCGTCTTCCCTTGTTACATTTTCTCCCCGCCCTGGCAGAATATGACCAAGACTTCATTATGCGAGCTCCGAACATTACTCAGGCGGGCCTCTTGATCCTTTCGAGGAGAATTGTTCAACGCCCAGAGGATGACCCTGATGCGTTGGTCCTAGAAGCCTGGTCCCAGGGCCTTATGACGGGCTCACTGGTCATCATGGCGGCGGTCACATTTGCAAACATGCGACCGGGTGTCTTGCTGCACAAACTAATTTTACTAGAGGTAACTCCCAGTACCAGCAATGTGAATAGTACCTGCTAACCGGCAACTTTCTGCGATAGTTGATCTTGGCCACCGCTCACGGAACCTTTATATTTGCGCCAGACCCTGTATATGGATGGTACTTGGCCTCAACCGCAATCGGATTGATTATATCGTGGTCCCTGCACAACGTGATTGCGTGGATGAAGAATAGGCCGTTCATGAGCCGTGGACTGTCTCTCTTCTACATCGGGACGATTATCCTAGTCCAGCCCTACTGGGCGGCCGAGATATACGCCAACTTCGCATACTTTAACAATATAAGTCTTGTTGCGTACGAAAAGATCCGTCCATGGGAAGCACTGTTCCGGTAGAGTACCGTTCCATTGTTGCAACATTGTTTTGATTCGTGGCCTTCTCTCATTGACTTATACCGCATTCCCAGCGACCCATGGTGGATTTACACAACCTGTAATCTGTTCTGGGTAGTAAAAACACATTACAACTTCGGACTCATTGAGCTGGTGCGCGAATGCCCCCGCTTTGGCCTCATGCTGGGTTCAATGTGCCTCTCTATTCTGTTCAGTGTGGCCGATGTTCTCAGCGTTACTGGCGTACTCAGCGCTGCAATGCCCACCGGAATCAACCCTTTCTGGAAGGTGAGCCCCTGCGTGTCAGCCTCTAGTTGCAATAAGGTCCGGGTCTAACAAGCGGTCGAGCCCTTCAGCTATGCTTCATGTTCAAATGCCTCTGTGACACTATTATTCTGGACGACTTCAAGACCGCACTTGACAAGCTCAGTACTAGATGGCTCGCGCGGAATGGGATGCACACAATAGGTCAGCACTCTCTCTTTATTTTCTTCTCTACGGCCTTCATCTCCTGCGTCCGGAGCCTAAATATGTCTAAGTGTCCGTAGACTTCAGAAGTCACCCGACTTTCACAGAAGAGCGTGTTCCGCCCGATGCGCACGATAGTATTTCGTTGAAGCACCCTATCAGCGCTGTACATATTGCATGAAGGGAAATTCTCTGTTTTGAAAGGCGACGAAGTGAATATTGGCTAGTTGGACTACGATATATGAGGGGCTTGTGTAATACCCATAAAATATACTACTCCCCGTCCCCCCCGGGCTGGCCCCTGCTGAAGAGTGGCCGATGAGTCAACGTATATTGTATGCATTTCGGTCAGGGCGCCGCAATTTGCGCTCAGGCTCTTGTCCATTGTCCGTCACCCAGGAATGCCCTCTACGTTATAACCTTCTTGCGAGGGAGGACAGCTCATTGGACACTAGTTAGACCCTAATGCAGAGACAGGCGACTAAAGGGCTCGACTTCGCATGTAGGGAATTAAATCATACAAGGGAGAGGATGATCGGTGTCCCACATTCACGGCCCATGAGACACCATTCGGACCTCTCCTCTCCGGGGCGTCCGGGGTAGGACCACTGATATCTGCCCACCCGCCAGCCACTTTCGGGGAAAAGGACCTTCAGGTCTGACGGCCGACTGCCACATCACATCACATTGAGTCTACCCCACTCCCGTTGCCCGATACTATCGGGAGTCCAAGGTTGTAGTGGCTAGCCGTAGTATCCACTCGGCAAGAAGAGGGAGCGTGCGACTGGTGCCCGACCTAGTGTACGAGACAGGCTGAACGCCCATTCGATGGTTATTCTTGCCCCTTCCCGCTCCTTCCCCGCCGTGATGAAGTAGAGATGTTCTTCGTGTGTTCTGGAAGCATAATGCCATGGGGCGGCGCACGCTGTAACGTATACAAAGGAATTGCTGAAGTACACCGGTGGATTTTTCCTACCCAACCAGGGACCTAGAAGGACGCGGGTGCACCAATCACAGTTTAAAGATGGTACCGGGTTCTGGTTTTAGTGAACACATCCATTGCTATAATCTCGCCAGACCCTTTATTATGGAATGTACACCCCGGAGGAATCCACGCCAGCAAGAGTGGTTTGCCGGCATTTAGCAGAAAATGAATATAGATCATGACAGCCGGAGACGGCGCAGCACGCTGGCGTGCAATACATGTCGAGAACGACGGACAAAGTGCGACGGGAAGCGACCCAAGTGCTCTTTCTGTGTTGAGCGCAGCAAGGACTGCTTCTACCAGGAAGCCCAAGACCTTGCACCCTCTCCGTTAGTGGAATACCTCATCGCGAGCTACGATACTGATCTGCTTTCTAACCGTATCCTAGGCAGAAGCTAGAGCTATCGAGGATATGGGAGCAGCTAGAGCGCATTACTGCAGTAGTACAGGGCCAGTCTCTGAAAAGCTCTCCCTCGCCCAAGAGGCAGCAGCTATTTCGTTCCTTAACAAATCACGATGCGTCTATTGGGTTTCCAATTATGGTAATCCAAAACACAGCATTCATGAACCTCCTTGGCCTGGATCACTCCCTACCTGTGTTCCTCGAAGGCTTGGAGCGCGGAAGACCAGACATATATCCTCAGCCACCCAGCACCCCCACTGTGATTATCGATATCCAGCATGCGTCACTGTAAGTCAAAGCAAAAGGCTCGACCTGGAAGATAGAGCGAGTCTGACATCAGCTTGCTTTCCGATTAGCCTTCTCAGCGCATTTATGAGGCAAATCTACATTTGGTACCCAATTCTGCATGCCGAGTACACCGAAGAGTTCGTCCAGGCTATAACGTCCTATTTCCCGCCCTCGGTGGGGTCTTGCCTCACTCTTCTTATTTTAGCGGTTGGATGTGTGGCGGAGTGCGAAACCATTACGGACGCTGTGCAGAGACGCCCGGAGGCGATATACATACAGGCGGCTATGGAGATGCTCCCATGTGTCTTTGCAGACAGTAGCTTGCGCAGTGCGCAGTGCCTGCTCCTGTTCAGTATATACCACCTTTGTTGTGCGCGACCCTGTCAGGCGCACGACTATGTGGTGATGGCATCGTATAGACTGCAGAACTATTTGATAAAGTGAGCGAATGCATAGTGGAATAGAAACGGGAATGACTACTGAACATTGGGATGTCACAGTGAGTTAGACACCGATGATTATACTACAGAAGGATCAATCTTCCGAAACTGCTTCTGGTCAGCCTTATTGATTGAAAGGTTTCATCCCCCTCGACTGTGCCATCTGTTGAGAAAACAGAAGGTCACGACCAGCCACTGATCTGTAGGAAGCTAACCACTTTATAGCGAGATCAGGGTCCAACTGGACTTCGTTGACAGTGGAATCTGGAGCGTGGCTTCATATGCCCCAGCCCCAGCAAGCTCAGCAACCTGGACCTGGAATAAACCAGAGCCCTTCGAGTCTCCCAAAAATACAAATGGTAGAAGCGACAGCGATAGGGACCTGTCATACTTCGTTGCGGAGATCGCTATGCGCAAAATGCTACGGCGCTGCACCTGGTCGATCAGCACCCTGCCCCATGGCAGCCACATTTACGCACCTATTGTCGCCGCCGAGCTGGAGCGCCAATTGGATGAGTGGCTGCAAATGCTGCCAGAGGCGTTATCATTCCGCGCTTCGAGTTCATGCATCGGGAGCTCGCGGCGGAACTCAGCGTGGGGCGAGTTCTTGCGCACGCAGTATTACGCGTTCAAGACATCGATTTACTGGCCTGCGGTCTATGAAGCACTCAGTTCAGGCGAGGCAAACGACGACCTCCTTCTCCACTGCAGTAAATTCTTTACTAGCTATGCTGAATTCGTTACCAGCGCCGCCGCTGCTGTAACGCTCTGCAAACCGAATATCTGGACTTTGTATGCGAGGTGAGCGTGGCATCCGTATCATCCCCTTGGGGTTGGAACGACAGGCTGACCTGTTTTGGGGATGTAGTGTGTTTACCATTTCGATGGCGACATTGGCAGCGCTAGCGGAACCGTGTCTATCTGAAGTAGCAGTGCTTCCGGGGGTTGCCCGAGGCCTCAAATTGGCTGTTGAAATCCTCGCAAATGTGGCGGACGTGAGCCCCTCGCTTGGGGAAATGAGTGTGATATTGAACGACAGGGTCTTTCAAGGCAACGTTCTGGCAATTTAGAAGTTAGTCATACACCCCATGTAAACCTAGAGATTCTCGTGGTTAATGTTATTCGTTCTGTCCACTGCCCAACTCGCCGTGTAAAACTGGAAAGATCTTCGGAAGTCAAGGGCTAGTCTCACCTTGTGGCGATGCAAGTGACAAATGCGTTCAACGGTGTACCTAGATAGGATCCAATATTGACTAGCAGTCTCCACTCCCTCCTGGAATATGTGATTAGCGTCATTGCTGCGCCCGGGCACCGCTTAGCTGACGGGTCCATGGCCGAGCCGTCGCGGAAAACCCCCACATCTCCGCGAGGTCATCGTTCGGGACCAAGCACTGGAGAGATTGGGGCATCGGAATCGGGCGTATCTATCCTCACCGATCAATGTCGGGCACGGTACGGAGGGATTGATGAGGGGAAGCTCTTTGCGAAAGGGGCGTGCACGCGTGGTATAAATTCCCATACAAGCGCCCTCACCTCGACCTCTGGGGTTTATCAAACAGCAATTGGAAGCATCTCTACTGTTCCTCCCCTTTCAAGTGTGCCGTTACGTATATACCATGGGTTTTCTCTTGGAAAAGCCCGAAGGAACTGCGGGCAAGGCCTGGCCTGCCATCGTTATAAGTGGCTTCGTTGCATTCGGGGGGGATTCTGTTTGGGTGAGTGCCAGAGCTGGCCCGGGGAGTAGACATCTCCATCTCGTGGAATCGCTCTCTGACCAGGCGTGTGTTTATTTAGCTATGATACTGGCACCATCAGTGGCATCCTCGCCATGCCCTATTGGGCTCGCACGTTCTCCACGGGCTACAGGGACAACACTGGCCAGCTGAATGTCACGTCCAGCCAGTCATCTGCCATTGTCTCCATCCTCTCAGCGGGGACCTTCTTCGGAGCTCTTGGTGCCGCTCCTATGGGCGATATTCTGGGTCGCCGCTGGGGTCTGGTTGCGTCCAATGCTGTGTTTGTTCTGGGAGTGATCCTGCAGACAATCGCAACCGACATTCCGCCCTTTCTTGCTGGCCGGTTCTTTGCCGGCTTGGGGGTGGGCCTGATTTCTGCGCTGGGTATGTTTCTTTCCATGCAATTTTTTTTTCTTCACCTACCAAGCACTGACAGTTACGGTATCGCCCAACAGTCCCTCTCTACCAGTCCGAGACAGCACCTAAATGGATCCGAGGCTTCATCGTCGGCTCGTACCAATTCGCTATCACCATCGGTCTCCTCCTAGCATCAGTCATCAACAACGCAACGCATGACCACAACGACTCCGGCTCCTACCGCATCCCCATCGCCGTCCAGTTTGCCTGGTCTATCATCCTAGTGGTAGGCATGCTCATTCTCCCTGAGACCCCACGCTACCTAGTCAAGCGAGACAATATTAAAGCCGCAGCGCGCAGCCTCTCCCGACTCCGTCGCCTCCCCGAAGACCACGAAGCCGTCCGCCAGGAGCTCGCCGAGATCCAGGCAAACCACCAGTATGAGGCTAGCCTTGGCGAGTCCGGATACATCGACTGCTTCCGGGGCAATCTGCTGAAACGGCTCGCTACAGGATGTTTCCTGCAAGGGCTGCAGCAGCTAACCGGAATCAATTTCATCATCTACTACGGGACGCAGTTCTTCAAAAACTCCGGGTTCAAAAATGAGTTCATCATCACCCTGATTATCAACTGCGTCAATACGGGCTCTACAATTCCGGGACTCTACGCGATTGACAAATGGGGCCGGCGCCCGTCCTGCTCCTCGGTGCGGTTGGGATGGCTGTCTCGCAGTTGATTGTGGCTGTTCTGGGGACTACGACAACGGGTCAGGATAGTCAGGGGACTATCGTCGTCCACGATACTGCGGCCCAGAAAGCGGGCATTGCTTTTATTTGCATCTTTATCTTCTTCTTCGCTGCCTCGTGGGGTCCAATCGCCTGGTACGTCCTTCTTTTTCTGTTTCTTTTCCTTTTTCCCTCTTTCATCCTGTCTTTCCCCTTCATTTCCTTCTCGGTTACTAATAAATCTTTTAAAAAAAGGGTCGTCACCGGCGAGATCTTCCCCCTAAGAACCCGCGCAAAGTCGCTCTCCATGACGACCGCCACAAATTGGCTGCTGAACTGGGCGCTGAGCTTCTCAACCCCATACCTAGTCAACTATGGCGACGGCAACGCGAACCTGCAGTCGAAAATCTTCTTCATCTGGTTCGGGTGCTGCTTTATCTGCATTGGCTTTGTGTACTTCATGATCTATGAGACAAAGGGGCTGACCCTGGAAGAGGTAGATGACCTGTATAATGAGGTACCAAGTGCTCGTGCTAGCGTGGGTTGGAGGCCCACCATTACGTTTGTTGAGATGAGGGAGAAGGCTGAGGCACAGGGGGCTATTGGGGAGCATCATGAGGTTGAGCTCCGTCTTGATGGTTCTGCTTGACTGGGTGTGGAGACGGAGTAAGTCCTGGTGGAAGAGTAGGTGGCACGCAAGTCGTAGTGTGACCGTGATTCGGGTTGGGGAATTCTAGAAGAGGATAGATTTAGGAGAATGGATAAAGGATCTATAATGAGCTCCAGTTCAGAACAGTGTCGTCGTATCTGAGGTCTAGGAAGCATTCTAGGTCGTCGAGCGTGGCAGGAAAGTGACTAATTGCCAGTTTCACAGATATTCCATAGAAAAGGCCTTTTTCTGCTGTCTACCTAACAAACTGGGAAGTGGGAGTAACTATCTATGTACCAGGCATCTAAAAAAGACTACGTGAGGAGAGTACCAAATAGAAGCCACTAAAAGACACATAAAAAGACAAATGAAAAGAGTACCAGAGAGGAGTATTTAGGAAGCCCACCAAAAGACGTTGGCCGACTATTCTTGTGGAGTATCAAGAGAGGCAAATTCCTTCATCAAAAAGATTATGTCTTTTTATTATATTCCACAACCTCCTTGGTGAAGCAACAAAGTCAGCATCTATGAAGCTCAGTGAATGCCCGACAAGTGGGCAAACTAGTTTATCTGGACTGTAGGAAGTACATTGGAAGGGGTCTCTCATTTTGGAACCTGTCGAGGACGATGGATGACAGCTGCCAGCCGTCACCCCATAGAGTAGCTGGTCTTCCAAGGAATCCTCTTCTCCTCCATCCTCCACCTGAGCGTGTGCATCCATCCGATCTCCAGTCACACCCACCATCTTCGACCCTTCACATAGTCCCAAAGGAACCCAGTATAAGCAGGAAGCTCGTGGATTAGCCAGAAGCACCCTCCATCATCAACCGAGTTGAGAGAGTAGGGTCCGCGCCATTGTGGACTGGACACGAAACATCCTTGATCAGATCATCCGATGCGCTTTGGATGGCATCCGGCACACAGTTTTCGTCCTCGAAGTTCTTAAGGTCAAATGCTGCCATCCACGTTCCATCTCCCTGATCCTCCCAAATCCAGGCGGTAAGGTCGTCGGAGTTGCTCACGCAGCCTTCCACACCAGATTTGATCGCGTCCTGTGTGGCCCAATCTCCGCTCACAATAACCTTGTACATCCAATCCTTTGTGGAAGACAGGTCATCTTCGAAGATCACTTCACATGTGGCCGACCCGGTAGCAGAAGGGGTAGGTGTGGCTGAGACCAATCTTGTTGAGGTAGGTTTCGCCGTGGCTGATACCATGGATTGTGATACCGATGGATGCGGATGATCTTCGACCCAGTCGTCATAGTCCTCACCCACATACTCGCACTTCACGTCCATGGGATCGCTGCCGACTTGCGCACAGTTTGCCTGAGGATAAACTTTATCGACATCAATCGAGTCGGCATCCAGCACGGTATCGGGATCGTGTTCAACGTCAACATCAGTGTCGATATCAGTGGAATCAGTCTGTGTGTCGCGCTTGACTTCGTCGTGGATGACATCGTAATCGCCGTCACTTTGCCAGTCGAAGTAATAATTAAGCCAATTGAAGCTCAGGAGCCATGCATAACTATCAGCTGTCATCAATGTCAGCTCCGCCTGTTTTGTGTTTAGTCAAATATGGAATTTTTATAATCACCATTCTTCTTCACATTCGTATTAATTTTGTTCCAACTTCTGAGGGGATGTAGCGAGTTTTTCCGTGCGTATCTGGCGCAGTACTCTGGCCCATAGACGACCTGGTGATATCGTAAGTATTTAATAAAAAAGGAAAAGCAAAAGAAAAATTCATACCTTTTTGCCGGTCAAAATCCCAGCAATGTTATCATAGACGTCCTCAACTGGGTACATTCATTAGCATTCGAATCGTCGTAACAGGTCGTATCCCGGGCTTACTGTGGAACTGGGTTTTCAGCGCTGTCTGGCAATGGAAGAACTCGTGTGTCATAGCATGGGCCTTTGTGTATAGCACAGGTAGCTCTGAAATGGCCTTCGGGCGGCCGTTGGTCAGTTCATCCAGATCCTTGTACTTCGGTCCGAAGAACGCGGGACAAAACACGACACTATCGCCGTAGCCATCAGAATTGGCGAGGCCTCCTGGGTAGCGGAGTGCACCCCTAAACTCATTAATGACTTGTTCTTCTTATCAATGGTTGTCGGACTTACGCGCCCATTTTTTTGCAGCGATCTTTCAATCTCTCCGGTTCTTTGCATGTAAACGTGATCCGACTTCCAGGCTTCATGGTGCGCCATTTCTTGGTATTTCCCCTAACAGGGAACTGCTGGGCCTGCTCGAAATTGTCTGGTCTTGTTAGCAAAATATGTTGCAGGCGAAGGAGATAGATATTCTTACGCATGACGTTCTTGAAGTCATCCTGTTGAGCTTCGCCCTACACAGGTCGCTCCAGTTAGCTTCATGCGAGGGTTAGAGGATTCCAGGTAAACTGACCGACCAGCCTTCACCGTCTGCCACCTTATCATCATTGAGAAAGAACTGGTTCCAGCCAGGGGTTTTCGCAGGGTTCTGAGATGACGGAGGTCCCAAGAGAAGCTTATGCGATTGATCAAGAGTCTTGACTATTGTATCGAATTGCTCGGATGAGCATGTCTTCATGGCATCAGTAAAGTAGATGCCCTTCCATTTGGAATGCAAATAGTTCAAGCTGTATGAATCTCTCTCGAAAAGAGACGTAGTCCCGTCGGTCGACACAGGGGTGGAGGTTGATGGATTCACCAGAAAGAAGAGACAGATGCTGACAAGTAGCAATTGTAAAGCCATATTGCACACGAACCAGCTTCAGTTTTGAGAGGTTGCCAGAAATGAAAGCGATACCCTTGACAGCATATTTATATACTAGAATTTGTAGTCGGGATGTGGAGATCAAGCCATAAGGCTGGCACGGTTGTGCATTGGGATCTTCACTTCCTTCGCATGAGGGGGGAGGGCTGATCCATCAGGGGGGAGTATTTGTAATTCTGGAAAGAGCCCCCAAGATTGTTCTTCCGTTGAATGAAGATTATGACCTACACAAGGCTACCTAAAATGGAAGGTTCTATGATATATTGTCCACATGTACATAGGATGAGGCTCCGCAGATCATCCACAACCTTACCTGAAACTGTAATTAGCCCCCACGCACAGCCTTGGAGCCTCCTGACAACCGACCCACAACGGAATTGACGGGACAACTAACCGGCGTTCTCCGTCTCTTCAAACGTGTTTCCTTCCATGATATGCGGGTGGGGGCCGAAATAGCTCTGGAGATCAGTCCCGATTAGGTAACATCCAGTGAGTTTCGGTGGGACCTGCGCTCTGGTGCAGTACTTCATTAGGAACCACGTCATTTAGCTAAAGACTACTCCGTAGAGGGAGTACCGTTTAAAAAGGAGCCTTGAGTCTAGTTTCGACTGGTCAGGTAACTTCTTCAAGTATAATTGGCCATGAGTATGATGTGGACGCTACGCTGGCTTCTGCTCTGGGTCACCCTGGCTCTCGCTATGGAAGACTATCGTATGAGAGACTCTCTTCATGAAATTGTACTTGGCGCTAACATAAGAAATCCTTGTCTGTCTACAGCGCTCGGTGTTAACTTCGGATTTAAATACATGTATGTGGCTCTGATTCTATCCCCAGGGCCGGAGACCTTGGTTACTAAACAGGCAATCTCAAACTAGCACGGCGGCTTACTACACGGCATCTAATAAATCGATCACTGTGGCGAAACTTGAGGCATCAGCGGACTATCAAAAGCACATGGAGAATCTAGTGACCGACTCTCAAAAAAGAGTGTAATTTAATGCGCCCGGAAGACCAAGTGAAGTGGAATCCAAAGCTAATATATCTCCCATTTTTCCAGAGTACGCTTTCAAGAGGTCCTTCTACGGGAAGGGGATGAACTCATCCCAGCACCGAAGGAGTATCAAGGCTACAGCAAAAATGATAGCATGATTCTCTCTGATACTCTGCGGCACATGATCGCAGCCGCGAATCACACACTAGGCCGGCCTGTTATGATTTCAGCCGTCAGCCTACCCTCGGATTTGGACACCATCTCCAGATATCACGTCTTCGCAGCGCTAACAGGCACGGATGTGGCTCCGGAATTGACGCACCCAGGGCAGCTGCTAGGGTTTCTCAATGCTGCTCGCCTGGCCTATAGTCTTGATACACCCGAAAGTCTTGGGTATCCTCCTGGTTTTGATTTAATGCACGGTCCATTAAATATCGCTGTTTACATTGATTACAATGGCTATTCCCTGGATTTATGGACCGCGGATCTCACAGAACTCGGAGTCGACACACTTGAACATGAGCATAGCTACGCACGCTACCCAGACTTAGGACTATGGAGGGTAGACCCGGCGGATTCAGAGGTTTGTTCTTCTCTCTTGTTCACAATTCATCTATAAACTCTAACCTATATGACTATCAGAGCCGGGTATCGCAGGTCATCCACAATTTCATCTCTAATCTGAAGAATACGGATGACGGGCACCACGTTCGAGCGGTCATCGTAAGTGGCGAAGCACCGTTGTCTGTGATGGATTCTCTCCGGTCGATCGTTTCTCAGGCCCTGCCCAAGGAATGGATTCCTATGCTTCGAGACCAGCTAGACCCGGCTTATGTCGCCGCAATCGGAAGCGCGCATCGTGCTCGAAAGTTCATACAGAAGCCTGAACTATGGGAAGATGATCATGATCATCCACATGATGAGCTTTGACCGATGAATTTGGAACTTTGTAACATAATAAAAGGATTGCTTGTTCTGTTAAATTGCTTAGTACATGCAATATCAACTGTTCAAACAAGGAAGTACTTTACCTACATGTAATTAGAGCTATAATACACGTCACCTTGATTTGAAGGAAGAAGCGCAAATGTATTAGAGACACGGTGCGTTAGTTAGCATAGCAAAAGGAGGGAGAGAGGCAGTCTCCAACCGCCAGTGCACCATATCGTACTTTTCTATAGTTTTTAAATTTGGCTGCCTTCCACACCACTAATTTACTTATCACCTCATTCCTACAAGTTCTAGTATCAACTTCTATAGTGTTAATTTCTACTATATCTCAATTCCTATAACAAGAATACTTGGCTGGTTATACGGCCGCAGTCTTCTTACTGGTCTTTTTAGGTAGACTTTCGAGACAGTCGTTTAGGTATCTGGTCATATATATATTTCTCCCCCTTCTTAGTTTGCTAGGTAGATAGCAGAAGTTAGGAATTTGAGAGGGATCACTAATGTAATTAATGCATAATCAGGACGTTTGGCATCCAACGGCTAACTCTGACTTAATTCCAAAACAAAGCTCATCTCAGCACGTGGTGTTTGTTTTGAGACTCGTGGCTCTTCTCTAGAAATTCCTTCCACGCTTGCAATCCTCCGCACCTCGGGCATATTTCCCTCTTGGTCTCCCTCGTAATGTCGACGTCAGCTCCTCCGCTAAGTATAGCTCCTATTTTCATTTACATCCGAAGTCTCAAACTCGGCCCGCTCTCATTTGATACCCGATTCGGAATAAAAATGAGGTAGGAATCCCGTCACAGATGTGGCGCCAACAATATTTAATCCAGTTGTCAGATGTATTAGGTTCCCAAGTTGAGTCTTGCTCTTTTCCCTAAGATCCCGAAATGTTCTACAATATTATCGACTCGGAGCGCCGATCCGGAAATTCTACAACAGTCACAAATCCCAGGACCAATGAACCCCTCTGGGATGTGCCTGCCGCACGTGAGACGCAACTAAACTACGCAGTCGAAGCTGCAAGAGCGTCATTTAAATCATGGAAGCTCTTGGCTATCGAGGAAAGGCAAAAGTACCTACTGAAGCTAGCCGATGAGCTAGAACAGCGAAGAGATGAGATACATGCCCCTTTGGCAGCAGAGACCGGAAAATCGGTAACGAAGACCTTCCATGTTGTGAGTGTCGGAAATATTGCTAATAAGCTTCCCAGAACCCCCTCACACAGATGGCGATTAATGATACTTTGGCTTTTATCAGATTTAATGGTATTGCAAATCTACATTCAAGAACGCTGCTTGGCTGGAAAAGCTGACTGGTCTAGCATCTCAGTCACTGCCCGATAAAGTCGAACACGAGAACGATAAGACCAAGATCGTGTCAACCCATCATCCTATCGGAGTAGTAGGTGCGATCATCCCTTGGAATTTTCCGCTCGTGTTAGCCGCTGCCAAAGCTTCTGCAGCGCTCGTCATGGGAAACTGCGTCATTGTCAAGCCATCGCCATCCACCCCAAGTGCCACTTTGAAGTTCGTTGAGCTTGCGACATCAGTACTTCCGCGGGGTGTGCTTCAGGCGCTTAGTGGAGACGATAATATGGGAAGGCTCATTACCATTCATCCGGGGATCGACAAGATAAGTTTCACCGGATCTATTGCGACTGGAAGAAAGGTAGCGGAAAACGCGGCCAAGACTCTAAAGCGAGTTACACTCGAGCTTGGTGGAAATGATGGATGTATCGTCTGCCCCGACGTTGACGTCAAAACCGTTGCTGCTAAGGTCGCTGCCGGAGTTTTTATCCATTCGGGTCAAATGTGTGTTGCTACAAAAAGAGTCTATGTGCATGAGTCTATCTTCCAAGAATTCCGGGATGCTTTTGTGGAGGCAGTCAAGGACATCAAAATCGACCTTGCTGGCGACCAATCACCTTTGTTCAGTCCCATCCAGAATGAGTCACAGTACAATGTGGTCAAAGATATCATCGCCGATTGCAAGAAAAACAACTATACTTTACTTTGTGGGGGGGACTACCGACGAGCACCCAGGGTTTTTCATCGCACCCGTCGTTGTGGATCAACCGCCAGATGATTCCCGCGTCGTCCAAATGGAGCAGTTTGGTCCTGTTATTCCGCTTATGAAGTGGTCTTATGAGGATGAAGTGATTTCAAGGGTCAATGCGACAGAAACTGGCTTGGGGGGGCTGCGTCTGGGCGGATGATGTTGGCAAGGCGGAGCGCATTGCGCGGAGAGTCGAAGTTGGAAGCGTATGGATCAATAGCGCTGAAGACCCCAACCCATATGGCTACCTTTCTGGATGGAAGCAAAGTGGGATTGGAGGCGAGTGGGGGAACCTGGGCTTGAACTCGTACTCTTACACACAGATAATTCAGCTCCGCAAGTAGACTGTCCATAGCCCTCACAACAAAGATGACATGCTGGGAAACAAGCCCGCATTTAGAGGTCAGAGGCGCTTAGAAACCAAGTTTCATAGGCACCGTCCAAAAACGACGCATCGATTGTTCCGTCTTAGTCATCCAAAATCGATATACAATTCTCTAGGGGCAATTTCGAGGAAGAGGAAGATTGGTTCGGTCAGATAGTGTTATGGCTTATAAAACTGTAAAGTACGAAACATTCCATAACATCCTCTGATAGCTCAGCTGGAAGAGCGCAAGACTGTAATTGACGTGTTCTCATGGAACTTGTTATCTTGAGGTCCCTGGTTCGATCCCGGGTCAGAGGATTTTTTGCCATTTTCACCTTCGACATTGTGAAATGCCCTTTCTTCTTTTATGTTTTCTATTTTGGAACAATGAATTTCGGTAATTCGTTGTCATTTCTTTTAAAATATTTCTAAAGTCTCCAAGGTCGGATTAACCTTGGCGTAGCTACCTAGGTAACGTCGGACCGATGGCAGCACCCAGGGGACTTACAAACACCTCCCTTGGGCGGCATATATAAAGTGATGCAACCAATAAAGTCATCATATACACATGGAAAGCTTTAATCGCGAGAACAAGGTGAATTCATAGACGTATATCGTGGGATTATATTAACTCATGCTGATTTAAACCATGGAACAGAGAAGGAGAAAAAGAAAAGACAGACTGGTATGTCCAACGCAACAAGAACTGTGAATCTAAACACTGAGCGATCGGAAATGTCACCACCAGCTAGCGCCTTTGCCACTATCTGAACTTAGATCGAGACTTAGATCTGCATAGCAACAGCACAGAGAACTCCGAACACCACGGCAACACCGGACAAGGTAGCACGGCCAGCCGCGTTGAACGGAATGATGCTGGGGCTGGGGCTAGGGGTGTGACTGGGGCTGGGCTTGCTCCCGCTACCACCGGAGGCAGGAGAAGTGTGAGCCACAAGGCCGGTAGAGGTCTTGGATGCGTTGCAGGCGGCGTTGCAGACAGTGACGATACTAGTGTAGGTAGGAGTCACACGGGTGAAAGCGCCGGTGGGGGGATGGGCGTGCTACAGTGCCGGAAGGAACAACACCGGGGCCGGTAGGCTTGCCTGGAGTCTCTCCAGGAACAACGGGAACGGGAGTCTCAACAGGGCCAGCAGGCTTGCCGGGAGTCTCACCAGGAACAACACCGGGGCCGGTAGGCTTGCCTGGAACTTCGCCGGGAACAACAGGGGTCTCGCCAGGACCGGTGGGCTTGCCTGGCTTGCCTGGAACCTCGCCAGGAACAACGGGTACAGGAGTCTCAGGAGTCTCAGGCTTGCCTGGCTTTCCTGGAACCTCGCCGGGAACAACAGGGACGGGCACAACGGGGACAGGAGTCTCAGGCTTGCCTGGGATCTCAGTCGGGGGAGATCTATCATGGCAATCAACCTCACCCAAAACGGCGAGACATACGTTGACGGGGATGTTGACCAGACCACCATTTGAGTCAGACTTCTGTTTGCACAGAGCCTCACCAAGGACAGCCAGGCAAACGTCGATCGGCACATTGATAAGGGAACCGTCGCCGCTGTCATAGGAAGAGGCCTGGTCACACTTGGCCTTTCCGAGGGCAGCCACGCATGTGTTAACGGGCACATTGATCAAGCCACCATCAGTGGCAGTCTTCTGCTTGCATTCTACCTCCCCAAGGATGGCTCCGCAGAGTCCAACAGGGACGTTGATCAGAGCACCGTCTTCGCTGCCGCCGCTGCCGCTGCTGGAAGAGGAAGAGACCTGGTGGCATTTGGCTTTTCCAAGAACCGCAGCACACGCGTTAACAGGCACGTCGATCAAGCCACCACTGCTAGCTGTCTTCTGCTTGCATTCGGCCTCTCCGAGGATGGCTGCGCAGAGATTCACGGGCACGCTAATCAGACCACCCTCGCTCCTGGCAGACAAAGCGGCCTGTTCACACTGGGCCTTCCCAAGGACCGCAGCACATGCATTAACAGGAACGCTGATTAAGCCATTTGTCACGGTCTTCTGGTTGCATTCGGCCACTCCAAGGATGGCTGCGCAGAGATTGACAGGTACGTTAATCAAGCCATCAGCGGCTTGAACTCCCTATACCATGACAAGATGTGTTAGCTGTGGACCTAGTTACAACAGCAACCATCAGCGGAATTTGCCTACCGAAGATGAGGCTGCGAGAGCCACAAGCGAAGCGATCATGGATTGCTTCATCGTTGCAAGTTGGAAGTATATTCAGACTGAAATAACGAATGGACGCTGAATGACCTGCAAAACGAGTGATAGGTCAAAAAGCTGACAACGAAGAATGAAGAGTAGGAATAAATCAGAGAGGTAACCAGCCTTATATGTGCCAACCCACCAGGCAGTCATTATAGCAATTTTAAAATAGGGGGAGCAAACCTCGATCCTCCGTACTGTATATCTCAAGCTATCATTTAGCCCAAAAAGGAACGCCAAGCGAGAAGTTCAGACTAGACCAGCCCATTTTACTTGGAAATAACTTTCCGATTGGTTGCCTGCTCGTGATTTCCTCGTTTTTTCGTTGACAAGTTGGGGAATGAACCAAACCTGATATCCCAATCTTATACTGGACCTATCACTTCGCTCCCGGGCCGCTAATGCAATTAGCGCTTTATTTGATTGCTCCCGCTGGCAGTCTAGCCCGAACTAGTTCAGCCACACATATCCCCGTATGCACAACGTATCTCAAGCAGCTCTTTGTGCTCGTGATATCTCAGTTCAGGGGCTACCCCAAGCAAGGTGTAAGTTTCAATATAGGGCTATTCGGCGAGACAGGCGGAACAATCCCAAATTAGACCAGCAAACTGCCTGTTCCACTAAGTTGGAGTCCCGTAATCCCAATGGACCAGTCATCATGTGCCTCCTACCTGATGCAGAACCCAGCTACTGGAGCGCAAGGGTTCCTAGTCAGGTACGCTGCATTTCTAAATTAATTTGCCGCCAATCAAACCTGCTCGCTTTTTCTTTCCAGTCCAGTGTAAACTATTCTGTACTCCTTATGAACTCAACACGACATCGCATCGGATGCCGAAGTATATTGCACAAGCCTTGGGATTTACGGTCTAGTTTGGCACTACCCCATGGTTCATTTAACTCTTAGTCCTTGACCTTGGCTGCGCTAGAGATGTGAACCCCACCGCCTTTTCGATCTTTTGGATATTTTTTAATCTTGTTATGATCCACAAGGTCTGTTTCCGTTTGTGGGGCCTGACCTATAGTCTGGGCATGGTTGTCTTTGATTCCCGGCTTTACCCCGGCGCCTGAATACATTCGTTGCGGACTTTCTCATACACAAAGATCGTGGAGATAATCATGAATTTGTAATTAAAAAAGACCGTGCGCTCGAGAGAATGGGACTTTTCTCCACCAGTGGATATGATACTTTAAATCTACAGCATAGGAAACCTTTTGTACTGCTCCACTAATGATCTGGCCGATTCGATGCAGGTCCTGTGCACGCCAGGGGTGCGGAAATCCCCGTTAAATTGCTCCCATCGCGTAAATGGTAAATAGATTCCGAAAAAGAAAAATCGGCTTACTTTCAATGGTTGGGAAAATAACTAGAAACCGAGAACTGTCCTCCGGGTGTCCAGTCCACCCCTTCATGGGTATCCGGGGTTTTTCCAAATATTATTGCACATGCCATACATGTCAAACATAGGAACTACAACATAGAGATGATCCCACGTTGAACTGTGGTCATACACATAAGATCAGCAGCCTTTCTCCAGTGGCCCCGCCAAAAAGAAGCGTTTCATTAGCAAAGCATAGTATGCAGCGTTATTAGCGTGGTTTATCACTTACCCTTGCAGACTCTACATAGCATGGCATGGTCAAGCCCTGTCCCATTTGTCCTCAGTAGTTTATTGAAGCCTTTGGGCTGTAACTCCGACTCCGTACTCCGAAGTGCTCCCGAGGTCAGGCGTACATTGCCCGAATAAATGACAAATGTTGATATAGTCATCGTTCCCTTCAGTCTTCATCCAAGAACCTCACCTAAGATAGTAATAAAATAGCCTGTTGAAATTGAAATCGAATTTATGCGACTTTACGAATCAATATTTGCCAACCTTGGAATTTGTGAAGGATTCGGCCACGCACAGATGGAATTCGTCCACGCGCTGACCTTCGTAGCCGCCCACTGCCCCTTTCCTTTTTTTTCCTTCAGCTTTGCAATGAAGGCTGCTTTCGACATCATGTTTCAATGTACACTGTGTGAAAAGGCCTATCAGAGGAAGACGCATTTAATTCGTCATGAAGCGACCCGTAAGGTCCAATGATCCCCGATTACAAATGTGAATACGGAGTAGGCTGACCACCCTCTCAGATACACAGCAGCCCTCTTCCAGCTGTCCTTTATGCAGCAAAGCATTTGTAAAGCCGTATGTAAACTATCTTCACCATAAATAAAGAACCGTGATCTAATGTTTCGAAAGTGAGGTCGCACGAAGACATATCAAAACCTGCGCAAAAAAGTTCAACCAACCTGCGCCTCCTGCAGCCAAGCCAGGCAGGAAAAGGCATTCCTGCGAGCTATGCTTCTTTGCCAAAGTATCATGCGACCGAAATTCACCGTGCTCTCGCTGTCGCTCCCTTGGGCGACAATGCACTTTCGTAACCCAAGAGGTGCCTTCCCGGGATCCCAGTTGCTCTGCAGTAACCTCGCTCTCGCCGTCTATAACCGTATCGCGAGCCACCTCAAGAGACAGTGGGTCATTTTCTTTTCTCCAACACTTTGCCAATCCTTCTTTCCAAAGGGACAGGCTGGCAATTGGGGAAACGGCAAAATGTTCTGTTCGAAGAAACCTCGAAACACTCAATTCCCATATCGAAGATGCTCTCGTTCCCACTGATCCTATGTCGGCTTTTGGCGATTTCCAACTTACAAGTCTGCCTTTCCAAATACCATCAACTCTACCCTCTTTCACGGATGATTATCTCCTTCAGTTCAACCCTGATACACTCTTTCCTTCGAAGCTATCCAACCAATTATCCGTGATTATGACAGAGTTGGTCGACACTTCAAAGTCAATGGGGCTTGGCACTGCAGGAACGCTAAACCCACTTGATTTTATGGAGCTTTCTACTCTGTTGGGGGTCTCCAATATCTCCGCTTCTATCTCTGCGTTCTTCCACTCTCTTCACTGGCATTTACCCGTGGTGCATTTTCCAACCTTCGACCCAGGGAACATCTCCAATCCTCTGTTACTCTCAATATTTTTATCCGGTGCCACATATACTATTCCATTGGATGGAGGTGCCCTACCATCCGGTCTCTTCGATGTCGCAGAAGAGTATATATTTCGGAAAATTGCGGATCTATCGACGGTCGCTTCAACGAAAGACCAGTCGCATCTGTTATCAACTGTACAACTACTACAAAGTGCTCTCATTATTGAGATGCTTCAATTTGGACAGGACAATATGCAAACAAGACGTCGCATTCGCATCGTCCGACATCCATGTTTGGTATCCACCATACGATCCCTAGGGATTTTTCAGCTCAAGCGAGGAACCGCTCCCACCGTTTGTGATGAGAGGACTTGAGGGAATTTAGTGGCGGAAGAAACGTGTATACGGTACTATACCCCCATTCTCTCCGATCTTTCGAGGCGCACCGCTAACCAGCTCCAAGAATCGCATGTTGGGTCTTTCTAGCGGATGGATTCCTCACAGTCTGCTTCAAGAACCACCCGTCAATATCGGTCTTCGAAATGGACTGTCATTTTCCCTGGAATGCCGGGTTATGGGAAGCCGAAAACGCATCCTCTTTCAGCAGAATTGCCATGTCGCACTCGACGGAGCTCCCGCTTCCTCCCCTGAAAGATGTGGTCACGCAGTTGCTCGAAACCCATCTAAGTAATGACCGAATACCATGGGGTCTTTCGGTATCAGTAGAGCATCTCCTAATTCTGATTTATGGTATGTGACCAAAACCAGCCAAATGATTGATTTGCTAACAATGTCACAATAGCCATTAACTCCCTCGCATTCCAGGCGAGAGCGGGCTTGTTAAGATACCTATCTCTCGATAGAATACGCTGTGCATCTGGTAACTGGAAGCTCATCTGGGATTCTGTCATTGGTCTCCTGGATAAAGATCAATTTCTTCACCTTGGGTATCCGAAACACGCTCAGGAGCTTTGGTGGTTGTTGAATGCCACGCTGGATGCTACCGGTAGATCTGATGTCAGCCTTCGGTATATGGATAACACTGCTACCGATGACTTGGGGAATTTGAATGAATTCATTCAATGGTGCCACCAAGCTCCGTCATGAGGTTGGATATAACATGATATAGCTGGGTTATACATGGGAATTCGTATTCCATCCCGCGTATGCTGCAATTTGTGGCTACTTATTTTCCTCCTTTTGGCCAGGACAATTGAAATCGAAAGAGACATACAAAACTATATTTTATTATTAAATATTACTATCCTCTCGAGTCAAATGAAGACCCCGTCAATAACAGAGGCCAGATTAGCGATCGACTATACTGGTACATTTGAATACAAAACCCGCCCTTTTAGATCATCCATCTCAATCGCATTTATCTCCAAGTTTCTCCTTCCCATCCAATTGCTGGCTTTCCATAAAGCTATCACCCTTGGGTTTTCGATACGTTCCTGCCAGGCGATCCCATGCCGTTGTAAACTGACCATAATTGTAGTTAAAGTACAAGTGATGCATCGTATGACAAGAAGCACCGTTAATCACCACCGATGTCGGCATGTACTCAGCGTCATCTGTGGAAACAATGTAAGCAACCATTCCATCGTTCCATGAGGACCAGAGAGAACTCACGAATCAGCACTGTCCATACAGTGACAAAGATAAACAGCCCCAGATAAGCACCTTTCTGCAACGGAAAAACCAACGGATAGACATGGTACGGCAGACTCTGCGACCACCCATCCAAAGGATGAAACGCATAACTGGCGAACGGCGTCGGCACAGCCCATTTATGGTGTGGTTTGTGAAGCCAGCGGTAAACGCGAGGATGATGCAGACCACGGTGTATCCAGTAGATCCCGCTATCCGTGAAGCATATAAACAACGGATATTGCAGCAAGGTGTATCCGAAGAACGGAGAGTCGGTGGTGAAATCGTATAGCTTCGACCATCCGCGGATCTCTGCTAGGAAAAATGGCACGGTGAGGAGGGCCATTACGGGAATTGCGGAGATGCCTTGGTTGATCTCGAGCTTGATCTGGTTTGGGAGGAATCGTGGGTGTTGGAGGAGTCTTTTGTCGTATACTGTGTGGTATAGTAAGAGGCTACCGAGGAGGTACATTATCATTGCGAAAAGCCTGTTGTGTATATGGAGAACTGAATCAGTCGTTGGGATACTGGACTTTGGGTGAAAGAACTTACCATGTAATCAAGTATAACGACAATGCTTGTCTGGCAATGTCATCTCTCTTCCAGAGGCTTGCCTCTGCCCACTTTGAGGGCTGCATGGGGTAATAAATGCCGACATGTCGGTTCAAATTGGCATTGGTTGGAAGGTGTCCATTGGGAATTGCCGCTGGGTCTGGTGAGAGAAATGCGTAGCACCGATCGAGGACTAATGTATCCAGAATGTCGAGGAAGATATCCATTGGATAAATGTGTTATGTCCTTTGGGAAAATCACCCTACGCAAAACGGGACCATTTCTCTTCTCTTATGTATGGACAATACCTACAAGGGATATACCTACATGGCAATTACCTACATGGAAAATACCTACATCCATAGATGCAGGTGGTTGGCCTCGGCCTATTCGGGGAATACCCACACGGCAAATACCCACACGGCAAATACCCACCCACACGGCAAATACCCACACGGGAAATCCCTACATGGGATTCGTATTTACACGCAGTGATCCACTTAGTACCACGCGTGTATATCACTGGGCGAACTATTCCAAGGATATCCCTACACGGCCATATATAATAGTTTGAGAGGCGTGCGTGAAGGTATCTGATCAAATAAAAACCTTTTGTCTCTTGAATGTGGAAAGTCCTTCGTGCAACCCATGGCGCTCGCAATTGAATATAGGTTATTCAATATAATCCGTGGTCGACATGTGTGGCTATGGGACAATCGAAGAATATATATATCGAGCTTCAACTATTTTTCTTTCCTCAGAGTGCTTTTTTTTCCTGCTCGTGAATAGAACAAAATTAATATATAGCATGTCCGACCAGGAAAGATATTGCCGTCAATCAGTATCTGAATAAATGAGTATTGAAGCTTCCACAACTATGTTGGCTCCGATGTGAATAGTTCTGAGGATTCCCTCATAATATTCAGATGGCCAAGTCCTTCCATCAACCAGCCAAGTGGCTGAGCAGTAACTCAGCCATCACATCTTCCTTGGTCTAGTGGTGATGATTTCCGCTTGTCATTAATTCCGATAAGCGCGGGAGACCGGGGTTCGATTCCCCGAGGGAGAGATTTCTTTTTGCACTTTGTTTCTTTTTTCCCATTTCCTTGAACTGGCTGGATATTGAATGAATGATGCTCGATTATTTCTATTAGGTGGAAATAATGAAAGATAAAAATGGCTGCCTCCATGCTTCGATATCAGGGTAAACAAACTGGCCAACTCCGACCTGGAGCTTTAGTATACATGTCCCAAAAGTGATGGATGAGTGAATGAGTGAATGAGTGGTCAGGATCTCCGAAAGAATATGACAGAGCAAAAAATGAACTACCACCCGAGGTATTCCAATAGCAAAAAGTGTAGGTCCCTCACGTTCAAAGAAAAGCCTCTGTGGTTGTATTGTTGTCAGTGATTTCACCCATTTGCCGACGGCGACTGTCCAAGAACATATCCACCATACGCTTGCTAGAGATCGTGGAATGAATGTCCTGAAGTTGGTGGTAGCTCTCCATCATGTCACTATACTCATCCCGCTGCCTCGCGTTCTCATTGTTTGCACGGTTATCTCGTTGGGTGCGCATAGACCGGAAATGGTTGATCCTACCATCTTGAGCGATTGGAGCACGCCTGGCTGAATAGCGTCGCTGTTGCTCTTTGGTCCAGGATCGCTTCGCTCCCACTCCCTTGGGGGTTGGGGACTCTGGCGGCTGCATGTTCCCAGATCTCAGTCGGATTGGCGACGGTTCTTGATTGCAAGCAACGGGGATTGGCTTGGGTGAAATGTTCTCGCCAGCCTTGGTAGCGGTGTCCATGGACAATGAGTTAGCGTGAGCCTGCGGCACATTTTCTGACTTAGTTGTCTGCAATGGCACGACGGTTCGCATGCCGGAAGCCTGGATCAATGGTCGGGAGAAATTGCTCTGTGACGGGACTTTGTTCTCAGTGGAGGCTTTGCGCTCAGTGATACTTTGGCTGTCTTGAACCTTTACAACTGCTGAAGAGCGAGCCGAGACAGCGACAGGAGCTCGTCGAGCTAGGCTGGTAAAGTACTCATCATCGTCTTGGTACTGCGCATCTTCTCTGATGTGTTCCCTTGTGGGGCTTGCCTGCTCAATTCGTTCGATCTGCGAGCTCATCCATTGCTGCCAGTCTGCACTGGGGTTTTTATGAGGCGTAGAAGATGAAACACGATTGGCACGCTTGGGCGAGCTGTATGTTGTCCGCTGTGGAGCGAAGATGGTCGCTGTTCCTGGTTCATCATGGACGTCCATGTCGGCACTGCCAGTTCTTGTTGGGGTATTGCCACTGGTGGTTCGGGAATAGATACTTGGGGAAACAATATCCCTTTTCGAGGCCCGAGTGCGAGAGACAATAACGCTACCATCATCCTCATCCGATTCCTCGCTCAAAGCGTACGTCGATTGCGGCGATCTTTTGTCTGAAATAGCAGTCATATGTTGATTTTTCACCCGAGACGGCACACCCCGAGAAAATTGCATCGACTTAGCTGAGCGCGGATACTTTCGTGGACTGGATTGATCACCATCACGCGCGGTTGCGAATGAACCAGGCGAGGTTGAGCATTCTTGGCTTGCGACATGGCGGATACTGCGTCGGCCATGTTGGGAGTAGACCGAACTCGTCCGCTCTGGAATCACACGATGCTGCGATACTCTGCCAAAGACCATCTCCTCGTCGGGATCAGACAGGGAATTTTGGCCCATTTGTTTCATCAACGCAGTGTACAAATCTTGACTGTCGACAATGCTAATTCGGTGAGGGCTTGCTCTCACGCCCAAAGGAGATTGATTTGCCGTATCATCCATAGTAGGAGTTCGTGGTAGTTGCTGATCCAGGTTCCCGTCCTCTCGGATCAAAGAAAGAGATTGGCGATGTCCTGGCTTCCGGGTAGTAACTGTGTTCGGCGTGGTTGAATCAGCCCAACTGGTGACGCGCGACTTGGAAGTGCAGAGACTATCGTGGCTGGGAGACTGGGGCATTGCCTGGAAATAGTTAGAATCAATGCCGTCTTCAGTGGCTGCAAGTTTGTGTGGAGAGTATCCCTCCGTGATTTTCCCAATGGGAGTTCCGGCGAGCACCTCAGCGCCATTTGGGGTACCATGTGGCGTAGGTTGATCGGCGAGCCTGGAAAACCCAAACACACGTCTGAATTTGTTTTTGATGGAACTTGAAAAAGACCGGGATTTATGAGAAAGCCCGGTATCGACGCCACCTTCACTTGTGGCCCGGAATGACTTTCGAAACGGCCTGTGCTCCCTCTTGCGTCTGAGTAAGAAAGATGACCGGCGAGGTTGAACACTTCTACCGTCGGGATCCTGAGCGAATTGACTACGAGCAAGCTGAATAGCTGCATCATGACCCTTAGCAGTTGGATCGACTTGTGTGGATTGGTAGCTTCCTCGAAGGAAAGACATGGATCGTCTCATTGTTCGTGGCAGCTGGAATCCAGGACTGCGCTCAGGATCAAGAGGATCACCGCAAGGAAGGGGAGGCACTCCATATGGGGTCTGTGAAGTTCGCTGCCTGGTTGAGAACATTGACTTGGCCTTGCGCAATCGGCGGTATGACGAGGGAACTGAGCTGTCTCGTCCATCAAGTCCATCGAGTTCCGTGATTGGCGGAAGGGCGGCAGGGTCATCGAAGCAATGCGCTCGAGCTGATACGCCGCTCGATTCTTTGGAGTGACGAGGATTTGGAACCTTGGGTAGGTCGGCCTGGCCAACCGACGAGCTATCATCAGTGCTCCGAAGACTCGATCCGGTACGCCTTCGAGGGATGGCCACATTTCCTGGACCTCCTAGTCGTTCGTATGAGTTCTTCGACTCCTGAGACGAGTTTTGACTTGAGCGCATTGCCCGGGAAGCTGCAGCTGCAGCGGCTGCATGCTGCACGGCCGCATCGGGGATCTCCGGGGCTGATCGTCGCGGTTTTCGTATTGAGCGGGTGGACATGGACCTTCTTAGGCTGCGTGTATTGGATGTAGAGGAAAACATGTTACAAAATGTCTGCAGAGTATATAACTACAGGAGTATTGAGAAAACAGGGGATGTAGAGAAGAAGGGATTTGGGAATTTGTAGAGAGAAGATTCAAGACGAGGTCATGGAAGGAAGTACTCCATCACCACCTGGGCAGTACGGAAGGTGCGAAATATCTTCTTCATGGCAACTTCCATGCCTACATTTCTTCCATCCATTTTACAACCTTCCAAGTCCCTTGGATCAAATCTCGATTTCCTTTCCAGCAGAATCAAGCCTTCGCTAAGCGCTAAGAGCCCCAGTGACTCACGCCAAGATGACGCAGCCTCATGATCTGACTCAGGACCAACTCAAAGTCGAAATGAATATGTTAATTGTTTTTCGCACATTTATCGACGCATCCCAAGGTATCAGTGTCAAATATAACTAAATTGCCTGAAATGGCGGCCTCGCGATCTACATCCAAATCAAACCATGTCTATCTGAACGGCCGAACCCTGGAAGGAGGTGGGCAGCTGGTTCGCATTGCCGTTGGGCTGTCTGCATTGACTGGTCGTCCAGTTAGCATTGACCATGTTCGCGGGAACAGAGAGGGAAAGAAGGGACTCAAGAGATCCCACGCTGCAGCAGTGAAGCTGTTGGCCGAGATTAGCGGTAGCAAAGTATCGGGAGGCGAGGTTGGCTCCCAGTCCTTGAACTTCTTTCCGCAGTCTACCAGATCGAAAAGCGGACCGCTTCTGGACTTGTCGCATGTCACCGTAAAGTCTGAATACGACATCAAGCTCACGACTGCCGGTGCCATCTTTCTGGTCTTCCAGGCCCTCTACCCGTATCTGCTTCATGTTGGATCGCAAGCGACTGCTCACTTTGTGAAAGTAACCATAACCGGCGGAACCAACGCTTCTTATTCTCCTTCATATGACTATGCAGCACAAGTCATCGTGCCCAATTTTGCCACGCTTGGACTTCCTCCCTGTCCATTATCCTTCATAAGCGCGGCTGGACAACGGGGCCGGTTGACCTTGGATCAGTCACTTTCCTCATACATACGCTCGGATCTCGATATAATCTTGATGGCGAAAACCAGCCTGAGGAGTCATCAGAAAGAGACAGGGCAGCCAAGCCTGTGTGCAGCTTCCCGCGGATTAACTTGATGGATCACAAACGTGGGAAAGTTACGCAAATTGATATCACAGTGCTAGCACCTGATCAACCCACATTGAACGCCAATGCAGAAGATGGCGGGGGGAGTACCGTTCGTCAGTTTATCGAACAGTTCACTCAACACACTCTCCGTCGTGAAATGAGGAAGCTGGATCCGTCTATATTTGCCAAACGCTCGACTTCGCGTCCAGCTGAAGAGGATGCTCCCGAGACATCATCCAAAGATACACCAGTTCCTACCAAAATCCACACATCGGAAGCTACAAATCACCGCAGCCACGTGTACGTCCTTCTTGTGGCCCATACCTCCTCAGGGTTCAGAATAGGCCACGATATTCTCGGCGGCATAGGAGGTGATCGTCTGTCTAAGCCAAAGAATAAAGGGAAGCAGAAACACCAGCAAGCCCAGGACGCTCGGCATGATTCTCAAAATGAGATAGTATTTTCTGCGGCTGGACATCTAGTCCGCCGATGCGTGGAAGGATTCATCGGGGAAATCTCAGACAAGAGTCCAAATGCCCAGCCAGACCAGAAACCTGCCTCCACCGCCAAGAGAGCTTGTCTAGATAGTTATATGAGAGACCAGGTTGTTGTCTTCGAGGCACTTGGAAAGGCCTGTCACGCAGGTGGGGGTGACACCGATGCAACAGATACCGAAACTCTGGAAGACGAGAGAGGTTGGACACTCCATACAAAGACCGCACAATGGGTGTGCCGGCAGATGTTAGATGTATAGACCGTTGCATCTGGAGAAACATCTACAATGCGGCATCGAAGGCACCAACTGAATTTTGAGCCTCTCTATAGGCTGCAACCTCCACCCAAACAATGATCCACCAAGAAAGCCTAATATATAAAACGTCAATATTAAACTGAGCCCCAGCACGCTCCGTACTCCGTATTGGCTGTAACCTTCGGCAAAAGCAATCTATCCATCGCAAATTTCTTCCGCCAAGTGCCGGTGTCCACGTAACGTGCCCGACCACTTTAGAGCCCGAGATTAAAGGATCTACGCCCCAAAGCGGCTCTTCCAGGGGGCCAAACACTTGCTGGGTCATCCCAGCCGTTCCATGCTTATCATCCAAAGCCGAAGAAGGTTCCAGACCGGAACTAACAACCAATTGGTAACTATTAGCGGAGAGGCGTGTACCGTGTAGATCCGATCGGGTACATCTCCACGACGGCAATGTTTGACGGGTTGACACATATGTACCGGAACAGAGGGTCAAACGGGTGCCTTCAAACGCTTATAGGGCGCAGTGGATATCGAGTGTTCGTGTTCGGGCGACATGCAATAACACGTATCCGCTTTGGCTTGTTGGATATAGACAAGCTCACAGGTGTTTTGAGTTGGATTTCATGTGATCCCTGTTCTTTTCCCTTCTAGACTTTTCGAAATCCAATCTATTTTCTACTGGAGGATTGGCTACGTTGTTGCTGCATAACATGTTGCCGTTATATCGGGATATTAGGGAGACAAGTTAATATAGTATTAATCTACGTAATCAAGAAAGTAATCTAGGATTTCCACCCTTTTCTAGGTAGGTACTTCCTCAAGTTCAGGGATGTGACCCAATATGCCCAATGTGGAAATATAGAGCGATAATCCACATGTGCATTCACCAAACTGTCAACGGGAAAAGCAACGCCACACCGATCATCCCTCCCACACAGCGATCAACAGATCGTAGGAATTCCAAACTAGCGAGAAAATCTCAAGAGCAGACAACCCCTGATGGAACGTGCCAAATTCCCCACAGTTCCTGAAACAGCGATCGATCCGCTAGAGTGGAATGTGGCTGAGCGTAGAAAAAATACGCGATACCGAGCAAAACAGAAAAGAAAAAGGGGCTTGAAATTTCCACGCTAGAGAACCAAAAGAGAAACCGCGTAGAAGGCCAATAGAAGAGGCTAGAAGCGGATATTTAACACTAGACTCGTTAGTTAGCTCCAGGGCTTATTCCACTGGCCTTTGTTTTACATTCAAATGGAGCCTGAATCTGACACAATCCGACTATGGAATGTGGATTCTCTTTTTTCTTCCCGTTCTTCTTTTTGAGTGTTTCCTGGAATGTCTAGCTTACAATAATATAGACAATAGTTTCAGATATGGAACACAACACAGAGTGGAACTATCTATCTCTGAGACAAGCGATCGACATAGTTCTTTTCCTTCGGTATTCTCCTATGTTGTACGGAGAAAGGAGAACGCAGTACGGAGAACTTTGCACGGAGTAGACGGCCCCCTTTCCCCGTTCCTATAGTCTAGTCTGCGTATGACACGCCCTATCCACGTCCCCAGTAAAAGAAGGTAATTACGTAGCACATCGCAGCAAATCGTACATCGTCATCGTCATCGTAAATCGTAGAAACCACCCCCTCGGAACCAATAATTCTCCGGCAAAAGCCAGGCCCAGTTCAGTCTAGATCTGCCCCCAAAACACCCGCACATGACTTTCACAAGCGAAAGCCAATATCCCGGGATGTATCCGCAAGCCATAACGGCGTCAATGCAATACCACCGAGAGCTTGTGCATTTCTATGTATGTGTGCGCCCACCAAAGACAGGGATACCCCCCCTGCATGACATGAGCTCTCGACAAAAACCCGATCGACGACGGTCGTACTAAGCCTAAGCCTTGCACAAATGCCTTTATTGCCTAACCGTACGCGTGCAACGTCGCGCGGCCACTTACTAGAAAAAGCATGCCACCCGTGCATCGACAAGGCGCAGATCTACAGATTCGGGCTGAGGTCTAGATCGTGACAGGGATCTTGTTACAAGGGTTGGAGTCGGCATTCAGCGGAGTCGGGGGGGTTGATGCGACACGATGGAAATGGATGGGCTGGGTGGTGGGTGAAGGGTACCCGAGGGTACCTTACCTAGGTAGGTACCGTGCGAGTTTGAGGTGTTGTTGAGTCAGCGGTGATGGGTGAGGTGTGTGCACGGGCAGATTTCTAACCTTTGGGGTAGATGCGAAATTTTTTTTCTTTTTTTGGTATGTTGGCGCTCGGATATCTGTTTCAATGTGAGACGCGGGAGTTATTGCGGCTGAAAAATGTTAGCGAAGAGCATTAGCCGGGTGCCGGATCCCCACGTCGGGTCTGGGAGAGGGGTGTTTGGGGGCTGAAACTTCACAGCCCCAGTGCAGTGCCACTGGGGCTGAGGGTGTCCATCGAGGCCCGAACACGCTACTGCAAAGATAGGCAAGTGGGTGTCGGGTTTGAGAATACAGAGGCTTGCTGACAGGGCTGAGTATTCTGATTTAGTTCTAGATTATACAAGGATGAAGACGAGTCGGCATAGAATGTCAAGACACAACAGTATGAATTCTGTAAATAGGTATATAGCACTAGGGGGGAATGGTCATATGATAGCGCAAGTAAAACAGAGGGGTATGGCATCACCGTTCACAAAGAAAAGAGTCAACATCAGTTAAAAGAGCATAAAAATAGGGCATAAAAACCAAAAAACAAAAGAATATCGAAGCACACGTATGCGCAAGGAAAAGAAGGGGTCGATCAACGATCAACCGGAGAGTTGAAAGAACCCAATCCATCAGCGCCACTGCCCTCCAGTGGCAGATCCATGTCCGTAGGTATCCATGCAAAAAGAAATGCGATCTATCCTCCATGCAAAACAGAATAGCGGGCCGTTCTTTGTCCTAGAAACAAACCCAAGCGAGTGAAAAAGGAAATGTTCGCGAAGTTCACGCCAAGTTTCCCAGTTCCCAAAGGAGATTCGTAGAAGCTCACTCATTAGCCCGGCCAATGTGGAGAGAGTTCAGACGAGATCAAAGAGGTGAGGTAATATGAGAAAGCCAGGAAATTAGGCGATCAAAGCAAATGGCAGGTCGCCAAATATAACAAAGAAACTCCCGGCGATGCAGATGAGAGATGTGGAGAGGGAGAGAGAGAGTAAGAGGCAAATAAGAAAGAACAAAGGAAGCGGCCGTAGATCATGCGAGGTGAATCCCAGCCGGCAGGACGCAACCTAGCAAAGAGCTGGGTTATTCTCCGGACCGTCCCGGGATGTGCGAGCTTTGCATTCATTACAGCTCTGGCTCAGTGGCTTTAGAGGAAAACTCGCCAAAGAGCTCTGAGGGCAGCGCGCGCTTGTACTCGCGTGGTTGAGCGAAGGGCGAAGCAAAAGCAGGACGGCGCAAGTTTAGAGACTGTCAAGGGTGTTAGAGTTCTATTCTTTGAATGACCTTTTGTCATCGACAAGTTCAAAGATATAATTTCTTAGGGATAACATACAACGCAGTCGGAGCACTTCGCTCCTTGCCGGTTGACACGGCCTCGGCAACCACGTGGATAGTTTGCGCAGGAATACATGGTAGATATTGACCGGGGTTTAGATCAAATGTCGACAAAGGGGAGTTGGCGAATTCTTCTCAAAGAGTCTTGAGAGAAGAAAAGGAAAAAAAAAGTCGACTAGATACTTTTTTCAAGATTAAATGCAACGGAGAATAAGGATCAAGGCTAGAATGTGTAGTACAACACGATGACGTCGGAGGTTGAAGGTTGCGGTAGAAATTCCACTTAGTAGAGAAGTTGAAGAAAAGAAAGGGAGAAGATGACGGGTTTATATCAGAGGCTCAAAAAGATGGCTTAGACATGTAAAAGCCAACAAATACAATTCTTTAGGCAGTTAAATAGGAGTTTTGAATTTTTAGGGTTTTTTATTCCCATTTTCCATTTATTACGACCGTTTGCTGGGGTTGGTTTTTTATTTTTATTTTTAAATTTATTTTTTAATTAAATTCTTTTGTTTTATATTATTCTCAGTATTATTAGTACTGTTTTTTTACCCATTTAACCCATTTTTTTTTTACTGTTTTATATTATTTTACAATTTATTTTTCATTTTCTTTAATCTCTTTCTAACCCAACCATCTGAATCACTCTGTCTTCTTGCGAGGTAGCATTGAGTATATTGAGTACCCTTGGAACTTTCCGGCTTTTTTCCCCTTTAATATTGGTAATGTTCATAAGACTACAACATAGGTATAAACTATAACACTGTCTACGTACGTACTGTTATACTGTTATATGTTGTACTGTTGCACACATGTATTTAGTAGATTCTACTCCTGCAGAGATCGGTCGATCATGATCCTAGACCCGAACATGCGGGTTGATCGGCCCAAATGCTGGTCTTCGGTGCATGAAAGGGGCCAATGAAGCGCCAAACATCAAAAAGAAAATTCAGACGGTAGGATGCATCGTCAAGATCGCGGGATGACTCGCAGTCTCGTCTGTATATTGCAGGGACAGGTGGAGCAGCTGACAAGAGCAGATTTCGAAACAGCAGCCTAATGCAAACCAAACCGTTAAGCTTCAGATTTAGCATTCCGGGACTTCCGTGGACATGGAGGTACAACATACAACATACAATATAGTTGGTAGATTGCACATAAAACATATAACTAATGTGGACCTCACTTCGTCTACTCCGTAGTTATTTTAGTATTCGAGAGAGTGCCGGGTTTCAGAATGAAGCCTCGATTCCTAATGGGTCTTGGGCTCTTGGGCCTCTGCGATGGAGTCTGGGTTTTTGTTCTGGAAAAATCTCCACCGAACTCAGGGGATTCCTCGATTTTCCACTTCAGGCTCGTTTGTAAGTTTGCATGGAACATTCCGATCCTTCTGTGCTGTCCACTTTTCTCCTGATCAGCCCTGTCAATGACATCGTTTGGCCCATTTTGGGTTTTGATTATGTATTGGCACTGTATATCCAACCCCCTATTCTTTCTACTCTATATATTAGATGATCGTTATCTTATATATCTGTATAAACCAATGACAATTCAATATTCTATTTCTTGAAACTTCACTAGAAACAATCGAATTCAATAGCCCTTTGACTTGGTCCTACATTTGTATGGTTTCTCCCTTTCATCCTGTGGAGGTTGTGGAGCCCGGGCGTTTTTTTTTTCCGTCGTTTTTTCCAGCCCAGCCAGAAACATTCCAAAGGAAATGAGATATCGTACGGAGTACGAATGCCCAAAATGCAGGGCTTACTTGTCAGATCCAATGCATTCCTTAAAAGTCCAGATCTATACACGTTTAGACCACACACCGCCTCTCATGAAACCTCTTCACATTTTTCTTGGCAATTCAGGTCGTACGGAAGGCTAGACGTGTCTCTTTTAAATTGTCTGGAGAGGAAATTAAGCTCCTTGCTAGTCACTTGACCAGTTCATGTGGTTCCATGCGTTATCGCACGTTTATTAATGGTGACACATCTAATTTACCTTCCAAGGTTGTAAAGAGCAGTATTTTCGGATGTCGCGGCGAAATAGTGGACCACAGTTCAGGAACAGAAACATTTGGGAGTCTAGAAGACAATCGAAGTTTTACCTCGGCATCTGGACTGTCACAGCCAAAAATAAAAAAAAACACCCGGTGTGACAAAGTGGAGGAGACTGAAGTGTGGAAACCTTACTATGACAGCAACAGCAATGACCCAACAATGAGAGACCTGTACCTATGCAGAGCTACCTAGGTAGGTACAGTCTAAGCCCAGTCATCACTCATGGGAACCTTAGACCTCTCGGAGAAGCCAGAAACAGGCGATAATCGGAGGGAGAAAAACCAAGAAATATGACCTCATCCAAGAAATCCAACCCCTCTCACCTGCAGAATGCATGACCGTTTCGGATCGGCTCGGTTCATGTGACTATGTGACTTGATCCGTACTGCCTAGTTTAGGCTGTTGCTAAATCATCAACATCCATTGTCCATTGTACATAATTGGGACTGCAGCCGGTAAGACTTATTAGCTGGACTTTCTCATCCAGTGCCGGTTCTGGCGACTGGCAGCATTGCATGACATTCTTCCGAAAATACCTAAGAGACAGCAGGGCAGGGCGAGATATCTGAAAAAAAAAGAAAGGAAAAAAAAACCTCTCCGAGCGCCATTCACCACACCGCCACTTAAACCTCCAGCATAGATCGAAGAATGAACCACGCCCCGAAAATACCTAGCAGCGACGCGAGCAACAGTCCGTTTCCTTCCCTGGTCAGTCCCAGATACGCAAGAGCACCCACAACAATCTCCTTTCGTCGCGCCGTATCTCGCTTGGATTTCCAATTCGGATCGATAGAGAATGGAGCTACAGCCCGGACGTTCTCAGTGTTTGAAGATGCAGCAGAGGGCCGCAGTGGCACCGATGCAACGAGCGCAACGGGACGATGATCAGACTGTGCGAAGAGAGGAAGTGCATCATAAGCGATCGGTTTGACCTTTCCAGCTTCACCAACCCAAGAGGGCTTATCGAGGAAGAGGACTCGATCGCACCAACTGGGCCAGCGGTGATTCGACCAGTCCCATTCATGATCACCAGTGTCCAAGCCCCGGCGGACAGCTTCGCGCGCAGCATCCGAGTATTTGTACGTGGGAGGGAAATCGATCGGCGCCTCAGAAAGACTGTGGAAGGTCCTGCCATAGCTCATCTCGCGCACGAGTTGGTCGTTCTTCAGAAGGTGGGAGTAGTGCGACGGGTTATCGATATCGACATTGCGGCGGGGGAAGTGTTCAATCTCCCGAATCGAGGGTCCGATATTCGACGTGCGGTAGTTCAGGTCTCCGGCAAGGAATAGGTAGGCGTTTGGCGCGAAGAGATCTCTGCGACTGCCCTCCGCGTGCGCCGATGCAGCATCGTCGAGAAGGCTGGTGTTTTCGTCCACGCTTGACATCTCCGCTAGTCTCTTGCTGCCATTGCTGTTATGCGTGAACACGAGACGCTCAACAATGCTCTTCCAGTCTAGGTTCCTTTGTTCGTAGGAATCCTCCATGGGGGCGAGATGGGCCGCGACGAAAGTGAGGTCCACGGTCTTGGATGGGTGTCCTTCAACAACGTATCCCAGGCGTGCCCCGACAGCGCCCTTGTTTCCCATTTCCTGGACCCCGAGGCCGACGTGGGCTGTGTCTCTCCAGGCGATTTTGCCAAGGGTGTCATCGCGCGCGAAAAGCATCAGGCCTGTCATTCCCGTATTGTCGGTGAGGAAGTTCACATAGTGGTGGTCCCATTTTTGTGCCGCGGCTTTCTGGACGGCACGGCGGAATACATCGAAGTAAGGTAAAAGGAAGGATCCTCCGAGGAACGAGTAGGCGATGGGTGCGATCTCTTGTAGCGAGAGGAAAATCAGGTCGGGTGCGGAGCTCCCCGCACCAGACGCGGGGAGTGCGTCGAAGAAGTGGTTCGCGAACACGTCGACATCGGCAAAGTTTCTCGCACAGTTAAAGGTCAGCACATAGACACCGAGAGCGTCCATCCTGAGAATTTACTCTGTTCAAGCCAGAGGAGACAGAAGGGTAGAGGATGGTGAAGCTGAGGCGGTGACGTCACATGGAAAAGTGACCGCTTTTTCTTGACCGCCTGCCTCGGCCTGCGAAAAGTAAACACACAGAACTCGATGGATTTTGGTCTGAAGAGATCATCTGATACGTGCAAAAACAAATACTTGCGACGAATTATTCTAAATAGACATTGGTGGGTATCTAAAGGATAGAACAAGATATCTAGCCAGGCATCTATATAATATAGAATACGACGTTCAAAAGGATATATATAATTTTTTTAAGAAGAAAACAGACCAACGTCACGTCTTTATATCGTCTCAAACCAACTGTATTCGGACTATCCAGGCACTACTCCGTACATCTTCAAAGACTAATTTCTTAAATGATTCCTTAGCCAAAAAGCAAAAAGAAATTCTTGTGCATCATCCGTGAATCGAACACGGGCCTCGTCGATGGCAACGACGAATTCTACCACTAGACCAATGATGCTGGAGGACCAGGCGAATCGGAGAGCTGATTCGTTGGCGATATATGGGACTCACGAATTTGATTTGTAGAGGGAGTCAACGCCATATCCTCGATGGTCTACACAACGCAAAATCATAACTTGCCCCGAACTTCCACATTGCCATTATTTGGCTCCAATTCGACCAAAAGCATACCCTCAGCAACATCCTCCTCTTCATCCTCCATCTCATAAACCCATTTGACCCGCCCACTTCGAGGGCTTCGTACTTCGAGCTCCATCTTCATCTGCTTGATGAAAGCCAGGACCTGATTTTCAGCAACAACCTCTCCATCCGATACCAGTATCTCGATCAATTTGCCCGAAAGAGGGAGGATGATGTGGTGAGGATTCTTTGGATCACCTCGGCGATGTGACGAGGACACCAATGCTGATGCAGCAGTCGTGGTTGTTTCGAGCTGCATCCGATAGGGACTGCGCCCTGCGAGGTCGGAGTCGTATATTCGATTTCGGCAGCGAGGGAAGTTGGGAACTCATTGCGTAGTACCCGGGACAGGCGCAGATGGTGGGCGACTTTGTCTGATCGTTGAGAATCCTTCGATAGAGGTTCCAGTGTGATTGACCACGCATCTCCTTTTCGGAACAGGAGATTAGACGCTGGCAGTCCACTTTGGGAGACAGCTTGCTGTGAAGGTCTGGCGGGACCATCTAGTTCCCGCAGAGCCTTCGATATGCTCTCCCCTTGCTGGAGAACTGCGTCGAGGTCGAGCCCCAGCCATTGCGTGTCGACTTTGCCGGCCATGAAATCAGGATGGGCCACGATCCCCCGTAGAAGATTGATATTAGTTTTCACACCGTAAATCCTAGAATCAGCCAAGACCCGCTGGGCTTTTCTAACGGATGCTTCCCAGGTGGGCGCAGTCACGATTATCTTGGCTAACAGATTGTCGAAGTTGGATCCCACAACCAGTGCGGGGCCAGAGACATTGACATGAGTATCGACCCGGATTCCGTGGCCACTAGGAACACTAAACCCGGTAACTTTGCCAATGCTTAGAGCAAACCCGTTGCTCGGATCTTCAGCACACAGTCTAAGTTGGATTGAAAAGGCATTTGGTGGAGGATGGCTTGCGTTAACCTCAGCACCGAGGCCCAGCTGATGCAAAGTGTATCCCTGGGCGAGAAGAAGCTGCGTCTGCACCAGATCTATCCCACTGATAGCTTCCGTAATGGTGTGCTCGACTTGCAGACGGGGGTTCACTTCCAAGAAGTAGAATTCCCCGCGCTGTTCACTGACAAGGAACTCAAATGTCCCCAATGACCGATAACAGATTTCACTTGCCATCCTGAGCGCAGACTCAATCACTCGACCGACCAAAGCTCTGTCCCGCACCAAAGCCGGGGCGCATTCAACCACCTTCTGAAACCGCCGCTGAGCACTGCAATCTCTTTCCCACAGATGTCGCACCTGACCCGTCCCATCACCAATAATCTGAATCTCAACATGATGGAACCCGTCAACAGCAGCTTTCTCAACAAAGACAGTCCGCGACGGCGACTCGCCAATCGCCCTCTGAATACTATTATCCAGCTCATGCTCCTCGCGAACAAGGCGAATCCCGCGACCGCCTCCACCATCAACAGCCTTAATCATAACCGGGAAACCAACCTGCGTCGCAAACGCACGTGCCTCGTCCACGCTGGTTGTAGGTTGGCTCATGGCTTCCAATACAGGGACGGCACATTGTTGCGCTAGCTGCTTTGCCTGCAGCTTATCACCTGTTCGGGCGAGGTTTTCCCACCCAGGTCCTATGACGAGAGATCCCGCTTCGTGCCACATGCGATGCGCGAATTCGGCGCTCTCGCTGAGGAATCCATACCCGGGATGCACGGCGTCAATAGAATGTTTTTGGGCTAGCTCTACCAGGAGGGAAATGTCGAGATAGGACGATGCTGATGGGATTTGAATCGCATGCTGTGGTCGCCCTAGATCGCAGTGCGATCGGTCGTCTGATGTGTAGAGAGCGATTGTCTCGACTGGCTCGGGTAGCTCTCGTGCTGCATGGAGAATACGGACGGCAATCTCTCCTCTAGAAAATATAAAGTAAGCATCTTATAATATTATTGTGTTGTAAAGGGTCATACCTGTTGGCGACCAACAATCGCTTGATGGGGCGTGTGTGCGGGGATGACATTTGGGGTGGAAGGGGAAAATCCGGGGTAATTGTATGCAAAGGCACGAGGAAGCAGATAAACGAAATAGTCTATGATATATTCAGATAGATACTAATTGAAACACTTCAAGATATTTCAATACAAGCTACTTCCATCATTGAGCAAGATATTATAGCTCGACGTGGGCGACCTCGGCCCTCGGTCTGCCCACCCCCTCAGTAGACCAAACCCTTAAACATCTCCAATTCTACATATGTACATTGTAGTCGAAGAAAATAAAAGAAATAAACCAACCTATATCAATTGTTACACCATGACCAAAGACAACGACAACCCACCGACCAGAACAGGCAAAGACCAAGCCACCGACCGTCTACACCAAGTCTCATCCCATATATCCCCACCAAAAGACCAACCAAGAAAGCCAAAGCCAAAGCCAAAGTCCACAGAAAACCGCCTCCCAGCTGACCACTCAGATGTACTAGGCCAACTCTCAGCTCTGCGCGAAATAGCCGCAAAACCAGACCCCAACAACCGAGGCTACGTACGGCAAAAGCAAGCAGGCAAGCTATGGGTACGCGAGCGCATCGAGCAACTCCTGAGACCCCAACAGCTTTCAAGAAATCGGCTCCGTCTCCGGCACAGTGACATGGCAGAAGACCGCACCGATGCGCGAGAAGCCCGTCTCCTTTGTGCCAAGCAATAACATCCAAGGCGCCGGACTCCTTCGCGGCAGGAAGGTCCTTCTCACGGCTGATGATTTCAGTATCCGGTCTGGACATGCAGACGGCGCGAGCCACGGAAAGACGGTTTATGTGGAGAAGCTTGCTATTGCGCTGCGTGTGCCGGTTGTTAAGCTTGTTGATGGGAGTTCGGGGGGTGGGAGTGTTACGACGATTCGGAAGGAGGGGTGGAGTTATCTTCCTCATGTTGCGTCCTTTCCGTATGTTATTCAGCAGTTGAATATGGGGATTCCGAATTTGGGGGCTGTTGTTGGACCTGCGGTAAGTTTGTGTCTGATATTTTCATTTCGTCATTGTTTTTATCTGATCCATTTTGGTATTGGTTGATACAAGCTGAACTGACCGGCGTGTAGATTGGACTTGGTGCCGCGAGAGTGGTGTCTTGTCACTTCTCCGTGATGGCAGCTGACATCGGAGCACTGTTCAATGCAGGCCCGAAGGTTGTTGAGGGCGCAACTTTCGAAGAAGGTCTCGACTTCCAAGACCTGGGTGGGCCTATGGTCCATTGTATGAACGGCACGATCGATAACCTCGCTGCCAATGAGGCAGAATGCTTTGAGCAGTTGCGGGTAGTTCTGAGCTATCTTCCCAACAGTGGGAGCGATGCGCCGCCAACAATTCCCTGTACTGACTCGGAAGAGCGCGAGGATATTGCACTGCGGAGTATCATACCTCGACGACAAGCACGCATGTACAATGCCCGCTCAATCATCACGTCTGTAGTCGATAAAGACTCGTGGTTCGAGATCGGAGCATTATGGGGACGGACTGCAATTGGTGGACTTGCACGCCTGGGTGGCCGTCCTGTTGGGATTGTCTCTCTGAACTGCGAAGTGAACGGAGGCGCACTGGATGCCGCTGGCAGCCAGAAATTAACGAGGCTGCTGAAGTTGTGTGATGTGATGAATCTGCCTGTTCTGCAGTTTTTGGACGTCCGTAAGTGATATCGTCTCATCCTAGATCACTTTGAATGAGCTGACATGTTTGAAGCGGGTTACGCCATTGGAACCGTTGCAGAGCGCACGGCGGCAATGCGTTGGGGTGTCGAGCTCGCCAAGGCTTACTTCAGCACCACTGTTCCGGTCTTCAGTGTGGTCACACGGCGTGTCTTTGGTGTGGCCGGTGGTGTTATGTTGGGTTGTCGTGATCCGTCTATGCAGGTTGCTTGGCCGTCTGGACAGTGGGGTTCGTTGCCTCTGGATGGCGGAATTGAGGTTGGGCATCGGCATGAGCTGCGTGAAGCTGAGAAGGTTGGAAAGAAGGAGGAGCGGTATCAAGAGTTGGAAGAGGAGTACCTGCGGCTGATGAACCCTGTTCGTACAGCGAATGCGTTTGGGATTGAGGAAATTATCGACCCGAAGGATACGCGGAAGGTGTGCTGTGGATGGGCATCGCATGTATATGAGGTGCTTATGAAAGAGAGATTAGCAGACCGAGCCTGTGGGAAGGTCCAGCCTTCTTTTGCCTGATAGAAATTGAACTTGTTATGAGACATCAATCAATATAGCAATACAGTATGCATCCATAAGAAAAGGAAGTGATGTCGCACTGGAACGATACCGTGACTTTCGAGAGATTTTGTGTCAACGACAAAAGCGAGCCGGAGTCCACTGATATACTATCTGCTGACTCGGGCGATGCCTACGTTCTTGTCGGGGTCAACATCCACAATGGCCCAACTCAATTGAATCCCGCTAACCTAGGATATCTTAAGCATTGGTATTGATTCGAGCGAACAAATGTATTCAAATGTTCTATTGTTGTTTCAGAGACCACGAAGAAGTGCGAGAATAGAATTTGGAAAAGAACAAACGCGACACCTACGCCTACGTTCTCCTTTGATATCAATATAATACGTTCAACGCTATATGTCTAAAGCTCAGTCGTCAAATGTGCAAGTCATACTTGTAGATGAATGTCTCCAAAGGTAGGGCATCATATACAGTTCGTGATCTCTAACACAATTCCTTTATGATTGGTTAAGCGCCGATAACAGTTTTGTTATGATGGATCCCTCCTTATAGTTGTGATAACACTATGCCACTAAGTCTATGTCTAATGTTTGTAGAGCCAAAGAACTAGAGGTCCGGCTTCAAATAAGGGCCTCGTATCCCGAACCCAAAGGGTTTCGTCCTTTAGCTGATGGCTTTTATAGATTCCCTGTGACTTTTCGACTATACTTTCTTTGTTCCTAGACGCGTCTCCGGAGCAAACAAATTTGTTTGCTTGCTTGCTCGCTTGTTTGTTTGCTTAGCCTTTAGTCCTAGATCCTGTGTCTCATGAGTCGAGTGTAGGAGACAGTGTTTATAACAAAAATAGTCCGCTCATATAGTCCGTTTCCCTGACGAAGTAAGGTTTTAATAATCTCAGCTATTTCGTCCAACATTGAAGACGAAATGAGGAACTTTATACAAACGTAAGAACATGTCAACATGCTTTTACATGACTTTCTTTAACATCTTTTTGATGTATACGCGGTAAAAAGCATAAACCGCACAGAAGACCTTTCTATGTATAACCATGGGCTCCAATTGCAATTGTCGTTTTGATAACACCGAGATACATGGTCTTTGCTTGATCTTATAGAGGTAAAAAATACAAGGGTTGGCTTCAAATAAAGGACTCATGCCCTGAATTCAAAGGCCATTCCTTTGGCTGATAGTTCCTATAGATCTATTGTAGTCTACTTTATCTTTTAGCCCATTGACCCTTTATACGTAGACCTATCTACAGGTGCATGTCTCCAAAAGATAAGATTTCATAGACAATTGGCGGTCTCTAAGCCAATGTCTCCCCAATTCCTACGTGATAAGTTGAACGTCGAGGACAGTTTGTTATGATTGAGCTCCCCTTATAGCTTTGATAGCTCTAAGCTACCAAGTCTATGCTTAATGTTTGTCGAGGTGAAGAATGAAAGGTCTTGCATTAAACCACTAACTGGTGTCCCGAAGCCGAACGCTTCAATTCTTTCGCTGACGGTCCCCTGGTATTCACTGTTTCCCCTACTCTATTCCCCTTATACCTAGGTGATCCTGATCTATTTGCTATAGACGCGCGCAATTGCTCACGTTGCGCGTCGACGCGCGTAATGCGTAATGCTCGAGTATAAAAGGTCTGCCCCTCCCCCAATTGAACTCTCCTTCCTTCTTCTTCCTTCACCTCTATCCTCTTGAGAGATCATCAGCCTCATCCTCATCTATCATCATCACCTGCAGTGAGTATCGTCATTATAATCTGCAGTGAGTATCATCAGCATCTCCATCTACCATCCTCATCTCAATCTACCATCATGGTCTTCATCTAACATCTATCTTCATCCACAGATATCCTCATCAATACCAACTTCATCCTCATTTCCAATCGCTATGGAAACCATGATGCAGGCTTGCTTCAAGCATGACTGTAACATGTGTCGGGAACACAATCGACACACACAGGATGCACTGCCCTTCCTGGGAGAAATTGCATCGGTGCACTACGCGGGTAACCCGTTTTAGCTTCACCTGTCGCTTTCTCCCTTCCTAGACCGATCCCTGCTCTTTCCAGGTACGTAAGTCACAACCTGGAGCCTCATCCCCATTGGTGGCCCCTCTATTACTACACTAGGTTAAACCTACTGACCGATGACACAGAAAAAAAAAATTCTTGAATTGGTTATACCACTCCTTGGCGGGTTGTGTCTCCTTTGCTTGTCTTTTCCCCATCTCAGTGTTGTAGTGGGTTGTTGAGCCTGCACAATCATGCCTCTGGAGGACCAGTCAATCGACAGGTACTTGGAAGACTTCACGTCTCTTGGGTACCAAGTCTGGAGTGTGCCTGTGTGTACGGAAACCCTAGGCCACTTCGGACTGGAGGCCTGATCAGGAGAGGGGCAATACGTGCTTTCACTCTGCATGCTGAGTCTTCACCAAAAGTACGTTTGCTGCCCACGAGTTTATATTCATGGTGCATTATGCTAATACGAAACAACAGATTCTCAACGGGCCACTCAAGTTCACACGGCAAAGAAACCTTCTTGTTCCAAATTCTGTGCACGCTTCCAACCAATCGACTGAACTTTGATGAAGAGGTGATCCGAAACCCAAACAAGCAAAAGGCCACCAGAATGGATGAACTTCTCATAATGCCTCAATTTCCATTGCGTCCAGATCGCCAGCCAATGACATCAAGGGGGACAATATGACTATCCTGTGTTGGCTAGTGCAGAAAACACTGCATGTCAATTTCACTCGAGCAGCTGTTTCCGCTCATGACAAGTGTGGCAAAAGGTGGTGCATGCCGCTGGGACTGGGGATAGCGGTTTGCGTCACTTCCATGCCAGCATTGGAGAAGTCCTCAACAGGCTAGCGTGGGACAACCCATCCCCCGAGGTTCGTCAGACGACGGTCGAAAAGTTGTGCCGGCTCCCTAACCGAGTTTGACAACATCCGGATCACTGGACATGGCATGCTCGAGCATGTCCCAGGCTCAAAGATTTTGACTGACGATTTCTCGATGCGGAGGATGATTGTTCCAGATGCTGGGGCACCAGCAGAGCATGGACGGACTGAGAGTACCCCATTGCGTCACATGGATATATGCAATGAATTCCCCCAGAGCCCACTGCCAAAGGCTAGCACAACCATGTGATATGACCTTGGTCTTGAGTGCGAGATATCTGCCTTGGGAGTGCAAAACGCCCAGGAGACTTCGCCGCTTCTACTATAAAGCAACTCTTGCAAAACGGTTTGGGTTTGTATACATACGGTATGCTGAATATGGCTTCATCAGCAATGGTCAGTTTGCTATTGGCAACGGCATTTTGGGAACGGGACCTCTTATATCATCAGAAAGACCTCTCTGCAAGCTGTTGACATCTCGAATTGGGTATTCTTCAAGTCCCAGAATCTCCCCCGATAACCAATCTGCTTTCCGAGATGTACCTGACTCATTGCGGCCTCTTGTCGCCCATGGCAATCGGATCTCACTGAGCTCTCTGAGCGGGCCCATCCTCTTGGGTGCTTACGCTTACAAAAATGCCTGCTTTGCCATCATTGACAAGGGTCGAAACAAAATTTCCCTGAGAGGCCAAATCAAGAAGTGTTAATGACAAGCGGGAATCATTACCACTAGACCCAGGAAGATGTGGGGTGCGGCAGGTAGCAGCCCTGTGCATACTCATTACCTTAGGCCCAGCCCTAGATCCCATCAAACCAACCATGGCCATCGAAGCTTTATCGTGCACCAGGTCCCTATCGGCACCTCGCACCGACTTTGGCCATGTCCTGGCTGCTGGGTTCAATCGAAGCTTTATCGTGCACCAGGTCCCTATCAGCACCTCGCACCGACTTTGGCCATGTCCTGGCTGCTGGGTTCAATCGAAGCTTTATCGTGCACCAGGTCCCTATCGGCACCTCGCACCGACTTTGGCCATGTCCTGACTGCTAACTAACGAAGCTTTATCGTGCACCAGGTCCCTACCGCACAACTGCCTCAGACTGTGAGCATGTCCCGGCTGCTGCACAAGAACCCATCCTCATGCTTGATGTTCACCATATCATGCGTTACAGCACTTTAGGCGCATTTGAGGATCTTTTTCAAAAAAACGATCGACAACTACTTCCTAGTGCGCGACCAATTCCTAATGCTTCGACAAACGCACTGAAGTCCGTAAGATTTCCAGACTGCGAACGACGCCCGTTCACATTTGGTGTGACGAATGCTAGCCAAGTGTACTTCGCCAAACGTATGTTTACTACGTATCTGACGATATTTTTGGTGCATTATGCTAATATGAAATAACATAGTACAACAGGCCAGTTACTGTCAAACACTTTGTCCTGGAAATGAGCGAACTCCGTTCCTTTTTAAGGAGCAACACCGCAAACTATATCAGTGTCCAACCATGGGCTGGAAAGCAGTCCATGGACATTAAGGGTGGCCTTGAAGGAATTCATGGCTACTACTCAGGTGTACTTCGCCAGACGTATGTTTACTACCTATCTAACGATATTCGAGGTGCATTATGCTAACATGAAATAACAGAGTACAACAGGCCACTCAGCACCTCTCGCAGATTCAGCTAGAGCCCAGACAAGGCCAAGGCAGTCCATGGACATCAGGGGTGGCCTTGAAGCGATTCATGGCTACTACTCAAGTGGAGCTCAGCCTACCTAGAAAGGTATGTTTTCTACCACTGCCTATCTGTCAATATATGTGGTGCATTATGCTAATATAGGCCACTTAAGAGCCACTGCCTATATCGATGGCAAGAGCCGAAACAAAGCGAAAGCAGTCCATGGACATTAGGGGTGGCCTTGAAGCGATTCGTGGCTACTACTCAAGTGGAGCTCCGCATCTACATATTGGAAATCGGCCATCCACGAATTGCAAGTGGTAGGACTGACACCAGGCCCTCAAAATTGTATGCGGATGGACTAACAGATTTGTTTTGATAGATGATATACCCGCATCAGCATCGGAAACATCCGAGTGGAGACTGCCTCCAGCTGTTCCAGGTACATACTATTTGGTTTACATAAACCAAATACAACAGCATGGTGGAATGGGCTGACGGTCACGCGTTCCAACGTCCACAACAGGGAATGTGTGACCGTCCCATTGACCTTGGTGAGCCCATTCCACCATGCTGTCGCAACCTTCCCATGCCAACAACAACACAGTGTACCTGGAACAGCTGGGGGCAGAAATGTCGCCTAAGTGATCCATCTTCATAGAGTGATGGGCGTTTTATGTTTGACGTGCTAAATGGGGATTTCCGAGTGGGGGAGGATCATTCAAGACTTGATGAAGATAAGTGGAGCTGGCAATGGGTTGTGCTCATTACGGTACTATCGATTAGTCGCCTCGTGTGATAACACAATAGAGGCCTTCAATGGGATAACTTAACATTGTATGTCACTTTCAGTGTAGTCATTACTCTGTAGCATAGCATAGACGATGTGGAACCTGCAACTTGTTCGTTATGAAACTGCGCGGCATGCTGGCCATGCAAGTTGGAAGCCTCACTCTTCATGGTGCCGCGGGCGTGAAGCTGCGGAGAATGCCTGGATGGTTGAGGCGGAGCAACATAGGTGGAAGATGAAGTTTGTGCGGAACAATATGAAAGACAGGGATTTCCGATGGTTCTTGTGGCGCTTCTATTCTAAGGGGATGGCTGCATTGCAGACAGTACTTGGGATATTTGCAATATTGCAAGCCTACCCATTTTCGTCGTCTTTCACATATTCTGATGAGAGCGACAGCGATTTACGAGTTCGTTTGAGGCAGCAAACGAGAGAGCCTTTCTCCGTGGGTTCTCTTTTTTTACGGTGTCACTTTCCCGGGTATTTCACTGCTTTTATGACGCTGAAATTTCGAGGGTTTTCTCTGTCTCTGTCAGTCTTTATGATACCAACGTGTCTGGTTATTCCTCTGCTTTTACGATGCCTTGTGTTCTCTGTTTTAGCGGTGCACACATTTTTTCGGTTGACTGAAATGAAATTGTGACTTGTTCTTTGGATATCCAAGTGGAAAAGCAGTCAAATAAGATGAAAACAGTAGGGAGGAAAGTGAAAAACGTGCCCTAAAAAGTTACCTTAGTTGGAATAAACGAGCACAAACATAGTAGACGGTGAGACGAAACTGATGTCCCCCAAAATAATCAGGCCGAATGGTCGTCGTAAACCGGATGAAGAGCCCTAACTAGGAGGTTAAGCTCATAGCGTAAAGTCTAAGAAACAGTAGAATATCCCATTCCACGTATACGATGTCTACTGCTTTTCCATTTCCCCTTGACCTTAGTATACGATCATACGACTCTGCACAATACTCACTTCCCCCACCACATCCTTAGAGCTGAAGTTAGAGGACTAGCATATCGCTGCTATCAAGCAGTTGCTTCTAAGGATTACCGGTGTGAAGCATTATGACTGTGAATATTACAAATATATATGTTAGACCTGAAAGAGTAGTAATTAATCTATTTCCCTTATAGAGATCTCGAACATTAGTAGTGCAACCGAGTTTATATATGCATCATGCACCATCACACACCAAACGGATAGCGGCATATACCGTGTAACAACATCCGAAGTGTAATACAAGCTCATTCGCAACGAACACCTCTTACCGCAACGTCCCAAATCAAACAGGACTCTTCACTGCCTTCTCCCCTTCCAAGGAAACATCAACAGACACCGGAACCGGAGCAGGAGGCGCAACAGACTTGGGCGAGTAGGCGCGATCCAAAACGCAGGATACCGACGATGCAAATTATTAAACAGCAGCGCGCAAACCATGAGCATAACCGAAGACAACAGGACAACAGGCAAGAAGTACCAAGAAAGCCTCCAGATCTCCTGACTGGTAGCTGGGAGCAGCGCTGTGGCACCAGCAGGCGGGTGCGTAGTGCCGGTCAACTGCATAACGACGATAGCAATAGCGGTTGAGAGCGAAGCGGCCAGCCAGCGCAGGGACTCGAAGCGCGTCTGGTCGGGGATCAAACTAAACAATTTGGTGATGCAGACGCCGATTAAGGCGCTGAAGAAGTGGCCGAAGATTAGAGCGCGCGGTTGTGCGAGTGGGCTTTCGATTGCGCCGAAGACCAGGACTGCGGATGCACCCTGTTTTTTTTGTGAGTCAATGTAGATATTTCGGATATTCATTTGTGGCGTGGGACTTACGTAGGAGGCGACTATTCCTGGTACATTGCGCTCGGTGAAATAGTCGGAGTAGTTGAAAATTGCTTGTACGACTGATAGACCGCAGAATGAGGTTATGAAGGACCAGAGAGCGACTTGGTATGTAGAGAGTGGCTTCACGGGCTCTGGGCGATAGCCAAGCCAGTGGCTGATCCACCGGGGAAGACGGGCAAGGCGCGGAGTGGCCATGGGATGAGACCCGCGGTTTCGAAGATTAGAGTTATTAATATTTTATAGAGATCGAAAGGAAGAAAACAAAATATTGCATGACATTTAAAGGCGCTAGGATGGGTTTGGAGTTGGGGGGGAGAAAAAAATTGGAGAAAATCGGCCGTGCGGAGGAATGAGGAGAACCAATTTTTATGACACATCGCTATATGCGCAATTCGGAATTATATACACGGATGCTCCCAGGCACAACACACCTATCATTACATAAATTTACACTCTTTATACATACTGCTCGTGCAACAGATCGCGGCTGACGATGTGCGACTCGCCCAAAGTGCCTTTCATCACGAGCACCAGGTCATCCACGGCGGCCAGGAATTTGAGGTATGCGCTGATGGCGACGCAGAACCGGCGGTACTCTTCGTCGCGAATCAAATCCTTGCTTAGAATAATATCCACATGGTGCGACATCCAGTAATCGTGGCAACGATTGAGTAGTGGCGTTGGCAACACCTCGGGTAGAGGGTCACCCGTCTTCAGTGACTGTTCAACCACGCCTAAAACAGCCATGACATCGCCGATATTGTGATGGTCAAGAAGACCAGCCTGACGAGCTAATCGGCTCTGCAGGTGTTCTGGCAGCGACGCAGATAGGTAAAGTAGGCGAGCGATGTTCTGGTTGAGTTCTTGGCACAGCGCTTTCACCTGGCCGAGACGCTCGCTGTCAAATGGCGAGCTGGAAAATTCAAAGCGCAGCAATGCGATGGGCCCGTCCAGTGCGGCGAGAGTCTCGGCGAGGTTTAGAGCCAGCTTCTCTGCGGCCAGGCCTTCTTCGCGCCCTTGTCCCCAGCAGGATAAGAGAAGCGCGTAGTGGTCCGACAGTAAGCGGATGGAATTTGAAAGGGACTTGCAGACGTGGCCCGATGCGGATGGTGGGCGAGGGAAGAGCTGCACAATAAGTGCCGCTGCCGAGCCGATAAGAACAAGGACAAGTCGCCGCCAGAAAACATCATATCCCCAACCGGGATTGCCGTAAGCTGGGATGTGCCTGGGAAGTGTGTCAGTCATGTTGCTACCCGCAAAGTAGTACAATTTACTCACGTATCCTCGAAACTGTAACCAACAACCAAAATGCAGGTTGCACCAGCCATCATCATAGCTTGAAGCATAGCGGGGGGCGCGAAGATACGTCCCCACATGAGAATCGTGAGCACAACAGCCATGATGGCAGCAAGACCATACGGGTTACCCTCGCCGTGGCCTGAGCCAATATACCACGCAACTAAACCAAGCACGCCGCCAACAATGGTACCAGCGGCTCGACAGAGAAGGGAGAAGGTGAAGTCGGCCATGTATATGACCAGTGTGGTCTGCCCCATGATGAGGGCCCATAGACCTTTCTCGCGGTAATAGAAACCCGCAGTGCGAGGAATTGCAGCAGGGATAGCGAGTGCAATGGTGACAGCCACCATGCGCATTGCGTAAAGGCCTTCCGGGTTGATGAACCAATGATAGGTGCCGATAACAGCGCGTCCGAAGCGGCTGCCTCGGTTGACACGATACCCTCTGCTGATGCGAAGATGCTGCTGTGCCGCTTTGGACTGCGTCTCTTCCACTTCAGGGTCGACAACTGGATTATGAGCCGCCATTACAGGCGCCACGACATTTTTTCGACGAATCCAGTTGACTGCATATCGTAAGCCCTTGGGCAGCCACAAACGGATCTTCTGGCGTTCCCCCAGGAGAGCAACAAGCTGTCCTAGAACCCGCTCCCATCCGTCGACGACACCGAGCACCTGCTCTTCGAAGATCATCCCCATAGTGATACCTCTAACTCTGGGCAATGAAGATTCGTCCAAAGTCCTGAGCATGCCTTTTTCGTCGAAGATCTCTGCATGTGTTTGAATCAGACGTTCAGTGGTCTCCGTTGCAAACGATGTGCGCAGGGCTTGAAGATTCTGCAGCGCAGTCTGACTGCGCTCGTGCAATTGACTGAGATGTTCCTTGGAGGGGCGTCCGAACCAACGCTTGTTAACAGTGTGAATGGTCTCCGCAATGATCTCGACAGCTTCCTGGCATGCCGGGAGGATATCCTTGCTGGACTCGCGCAATACGTCAATAGTTTCTGATCGCATGGATTCATGTTCTGGGCTTCGTAGTGCTTGTACCAAATTAACACTCTCCATCAGCTGGCGCATGCCAACCTCGCGTGAACGATTTTTCTCATTGCCACCAACTTGTGAATCAGAATCAGAATCACGATCCGCAACGAGCTGGTGCAATTTTTCCAGCTTCGCGTATCCCCCGAGGCGGGCGAGGTGAACTTCCAAGAGGGACAGACTACTCATCAAAGCCTGGCGTATTGGTTTCTTCATGCTCTTGATGTCTTCAGCGCCCCACCAACCGACGGAGAAGTCCAATGGTAAAAAGCCCATGGCCGGCTTGAGATCCTTGTAAGCAGCAATGGACTTCATTTTGATTTTTTGCAGATCCGCCATATCCAAGTCTTCACCTTTCAGAAGACTGTTCTCCGTGGCATCCAGAGGCCCTTTGAGTAGCCGCACCAGCCCCTCCATGCCATCAAGCACGACATGGGAGGTAGATCGAGGGAAGAAGATAAAATGGGAGACCAGGCCCAAGCCAATTCCAATAGCGGCAGGCTCGATCAGAACCTTAGGGATGGTACCGCTGAAAGATGGAAGCAGCGGGCCAATAGTCAGAGTAACGTCGATGATGATGATTGAGAAAATCTGCAACAGAATGAATTTGGGGTTCGTCGCCCGAAGACGGGACTGCACAAAAGGGTTAGTGTCTCGATGATTATGCTGGGGCTAAGAACTCTCACGATTAAATATATGAACAGACAGATTAGGCAATAATAGACAGCTGTTACACGAGCATCAAGCATCCAGCCGGTGTAGACAAGTTGCTGCTGGACAGCTGCGACAGGCTGTCCAGTGGAATTGGCCTGGCTGTATGCGGCCTGTCCCAGGGCTTGAAGCTTGGCCTGGGTCTCAGCCGCCGGTCTCGCTGCCATAGCAGCCTTCATGGCGACGACACCCCAGGCCCAGCCCAAGGCCATGCCAAGGACGAGGGTCAAAGTTCCTAAAAGGAAAATGAAAACAATGCCGGTCGGAGGTACCATGAAAAGTACCAGACTGATTACAGTAGGATTAGTAACCGATACCGAAAGGAGATATATGGATGTACTCACGTTGCAAAAAATGTCGCGGTACCAATGACGGTTAGGGACGGCGTGATAAAGATCAACAGCGACGCGACCCACGCAGCTAGCGAGCAACGGAATAGCACCTTAAGATCGCGGGCATTGAAATGATCAAGCCATCCTGGCAGCTTCCTGCCGGCCTTGGGAGCCGGCACTGCCTTTACGGGCGAGGGCGACCCCTCCCCGTTAGAGCCAAGCGGGGACGCCTCCGGCCGGGCATCTCGCTGAGAAGGTTCTGTTTCAGTCATTCCAACATGAACTAAGAGAATGAAATTATCGGGAGGATAAATTAGCTAAAGACTGAAAGAGTTGGATGTAATTGGGCATTCCTCGCGATGAAAGGGGAGGGAATGAGGAGTCAAGATTTTATCCGTCTTCGACCAGCAGAACGGGCGAAAACAACCTCAGGAACGATCGGCACTATTGACAGGATTATTCAATAATCACATGTAAATATAAATTTTAGTATTTTTAACGATTCTACATTTTGTAGCTAGCTAGCACGAATAAGGGGGAAATTATCAAAGTAAAAAGGACATAGAAATACCACCAAAAACACTACCAAATGACAAGGCCGTATAAGTCATTATTTAGTAGGATCGTACTCTCGCCCGTACATGATCGACATCTAGCCTGCCCTACTGTCTTGGATCGGCATTAAATCCTGCATACGCTCTTATGCCACGCATTATCATGATGATGAAACTTGGCGCTTGGCGCGTGGGTGCGGAAGCGGAAATTGCGAGAAAATCCAAGCCTTGGCGTTGACAGCTTGTCTCAGTCCACAGGGCCAATAACACAACAGCCGTTAGGTAATTGTGAGATAATTCTACGATATATATTAGTTTCACCTTAGACTATTGAACGCCTCTGCCAGATTGGGCTTGTTTGAGCCGAAAGGAGATAAAGAAATGGAGATTGACCTCGGGCGTGTGTAGCCCTATTATTGAGAGGCTACGGAGTAATAAGCCAAGTGCCGTCGGGTGTATCAATTAATAACCTTAATTTATCGCTGCATTGTGTCAAATGAAAACTCGCTAATAGTGTGTTCGATGAAACCTCAGGAACAAAATTTATACTGTGGCCTGATAATTCAGGTGTCGGTTGCTCGTTGCAGCATCTTCTGAACATAAACCAGATGCTCTCTGATTTTCAAATACCCCTCGTCCAACGATGATTCGAACTTGATCATTCTATTGTGATCAGATTGAACAAAAACATGTGATGAATTATCCTGTGGCGAGAACGACGCAGTCTTGTTCAAAGAAAACCAACATAGTGTAAGCAAATAGTCCACGGCTAGCTGGTTATAATTCTCTTACCTGGTCCAATGTGCTGTTTGCTGATAGAGAGTCGGATCTTTCATGCACAAATAAAGTCCAAAACTGTCGACTGATTGACGGATAACTCTGTAATATAGTCACCAACCAGTGTGCTTCCTTATAAGTATCGCTAGACTCCTGCTCAGATCCTTTAGCATTAGCTAAGTAGCTTTGCAGTCCAATGAGCCTTGAATCAAGCTCTGGTGTGCCCATGAAAATTGCTCCGCGAGTTGAGAGTCTGATGCTGCGAAGGTCCTTGGCAGGGGTTGAGTCGGCATAAAGCAGGGCCTGACGCTGATCAGTCACAACTCTCTTTGCATAGAATGGAGAAACTTACACTTTTGACTATAGTTCCCCCGAGGCTATGTGCAACAAAAATAATCGGACGATTGGCTGTCTGCGCTGTCGTCAGTACTAATTCTTGTTTCCTTGTTGGGCCAGCTCAGTTTGCACGTTTGTCGATGATCTCATCTCCCACAAGTCGCAGGCTAATTGCTCAGATATTTTCTGTTGTGATAATTTCCCACGGGATTTTCCCATGCTGGGTAAACTATAGCCCCAGGACAGGATTCGAGTGTCGGGTATATCACATGGCAGCAGGTCATGGAGCCAGTTTACCCCATTGGCCGCCGTCCATGAATTTTCGCGATGGCCATTCAGTCCATGGACAGCGATAATGCTGTGTTAATTATTAATTATCAAAATGTTTGATAGAAATGGCTTGTACAAACTCGACTGTTGGGCTGAGCCCGTCATGCAGCAACTTTAAGCCAGTCTCCTCGTCTAGTGGAAGTGAAGGCTGTAGATTCTATTAGTACAACGACAAAACAAGATGCAGCCATCTCATTATATAGGGCTCTTACTGTGCTCGCGATATTCGATTGGCCCTGTTTGAATGGAAAGCAGCATGGCCACGGCATAGTTCACGAAAAATCTGCGGTGTTGAAGGTGCGGGGAAAAATATGGCTGGGAAAACAACATTGACCAGAGTGGTATCAACCTGAGTGATTTGTTGCAAATCACAGGGTCACAGAGCCGTAAGGTTAAGGTTGTAGGGTAAATGGGAAAAATTGAAGGTACCTATGTATGTTGTAGGTAGATTGGCCTATTATTTACTACTGTGAGGTTAAGAAAACCCCAACTGTAGTAGAGGATCCGCTATCTATTCGTCCTGCTACCTTTACCCTGCGGGTCTTCGGCCCCCTACGACTAACTACCTAGGTACAACATTATAGGAGAATTAGGATAATAACCCGCGGATAAAGGGTCCGCTCCATATATTGAGGCCTGGGGCAAAAATTGAATGCCTAGGATTTCAGGCGCAAAGCTTGAATTCTTGGAACCCTATCCGGCGCATCACGTGGCATCCTTCCATATGCGTGCAGTTTTCATTGCGTCTCAACACATTATTGGTACCTGGGAAAAAGAAAACTCAATTGAGTGGGCATAATGCTTATTGGCAATATGCTAACAAGCCTTGTGATGACATGAAGCCAAGCAATCAATGTTGCATAATTCGCCTTCTCTTGCGATTATGGCAAAGAAGAAAAAGTTAGTCAATCGCCTCCCATAAAAGTGGAGAGAGGCCGAACTCCGGGCGATGAAGCCCAATGAGCCTCCCCACTGTGGAGAACATACCGGCGTTACAGGGCCGATGTCGTGCTTGGACGCGACTGAATAATTTTGGAAGAAAAAGGGAGCTGTTTCCCACCTAACCCGCTTTGATCACTTCCCAAGTCTCCGGGGTATAATCTACGGGGAAGACTTGGCCCGGATGACCGCCACCACACACAACAACATGGACAAGTCCGGCTTCAACAATGACAATGTCCAGCCGGCTCCTGGCACAGATTTTGAAGAATACGATGTGAACCCCAAGGCGGAGTTTGAGCTCAATGTCGGCGGTCGTGCGGCCTTGCAGCGTCGCCTGCGCAATTACCAGGTCACCATGATTGGCTTCTGCAGTGGTATCGGCACTGGTTTGTTCGTGGGAACTGGCGCTGCCTACGCCAAAGCTGGCCCCGCTGGATTGCTGCTCGCGTATATTGTTGTGGGAGGAGTTTTGTGGTGTGTCATGCAAAGTATCGCCGAACTCGCAACGCTTTTCCCGACTGCTGGATCCTTCCCTCACTGGGCGACTCGATTTATTGACCCAGCTGTTGGTTTCTCGCTCGCTATTTCATACGGATACTGTTACACAATCGCCATCGCGTCGGAAGTCTCAGCCGCCGCGGTTATTGTTTCATATTGGACGGATATAACGCCTGCCGTGGTGATCACTGTTGGATTGGTACTCATTTTGGCTATCAATTTGATGAGTGTGCGATTCTATGGTGAAACCGAAGTCTTTGGAGGTGCTGTCAAGGTTCTCTGCTTCCTTGGCTTGGTTGTTGTCTCCATTGTCATTACTGCAGGCGGCGGTCCCCAGGGCGACGCCATTGGATTCCGCTACTGGAATAACCCCGGCCCGTGGACAAACTTCAACGGTATCACCGGTCCAACAGGCCACTTCCTCGGCTTCCTGTCGTCGTTCGTCAACGCCTCGTTCAGCTTCATTGGTGTCGAGACTGTCGTCATTACTGCATCCGAATCGGTTGATCCTCATCGTGCTATTCCCAAGGCCGCCCGCCGTGTGACTTATCGCATTGCATTCTTCTATATTCTCGGAGCGCTTCTCATCGGCATGATCGTGGACCCAAGAGCCGCAGGCCTTGTCTCCGGCTCTGAGAACGCGAACAGCTCGCCCTTCGTCATTGCCATCACTAACGCCGGCATCAACGCTCTTCCCTCTATCGTGAACGCATGCATTCTCATCGCCGCGTGGTCCGCCGGTAACTCATACTGCTGGGTCGGGTCGCGCATGATCGTCGCCATGACTACAGACCACCAGTTGCCCCAGATCTTCGGGCGCGTGAACAAGACTGGTGTGCCATACGTGGCTGTTATTACCGCCTGGCTCTTTGGGCCCTTGGCGTACCTGAGTCTCGGCAGCGGTGGTGCAGCACAGGCATTCAGCTGGCTTCTGAACCTGAGCACTGTTGCCGGTTTGATTGCCTGGGCAACTCTTTGCTTCTGCTATATTCGTTTCTTTGCCGCAATGAAGAGGCAAAATGTGAGCCGAGACACCCTCCCATGGAAGGCACCTTTTCAACCTTATGCCGCTTGGGTGGGCTTTATCGGTTCCACTATCATTACTCTGGTTGCTGGTTTCCCCGTGTTTTTAAAGGGCAACTGGAATACGTCGGACTTTGTTGCGTCGTACATTGGTATCCCCATTTTCATCGTTCCGATCATTTGCTGGAAGCTCTGGCATCGCACAAAGGTTAGTTCAGTCCTCTCCTATTCGTTTTTCTTTTTTACGAAGATTTGCTAACATGTTGAATGTACAGTTTGAGCGTGCTGCCAATATCGACTTATGGTCGGGCCGTCTCTTGGATGGGGAGATCATGCCGGTTGAAAACCCGCATAACAATGCGTGGACGAAGTTCACCGATTGGCTCTTTTAAACGACTTTATGATGTATAAATATTTGCATGCCTAGCTGGCTATTCAACATTAGCGACAACATTAGCGATGTACAATATCTCATTTCATTCAATCTGCATTTCCGACACCACTTGCGTTCCGCTTAAAATTTCTATTGAGTCTTAAATTGCTGTCCAAGTTTCTTGATATCGTGGTGGGAAGCTTTACAGCACCCGCCTACAAGGAACGAAGTGAAATGGCCCTTTTCGTATGCTCCATTGACCACTTGGGCCAACTGCTCCTCCCAAGGTCGCTAAATTTTCACGTCAGCATAATTGTACATGGGGGGGTAATCTCTAACATTCCCACCAGAGAGTAATACTCACATTAGCACTCACATTATCACCCAACCCATCCCGTTTCTCCCAAACCTGCGTCGTAGTATTGTACACCTCCCCGTTCGTCCCATCCGGATACAACACCAAGCTCGGCGGAGCAGAAACCTGCCCCTCCGTAACAGCCTCCGCAACAGCGCGACCAAACAAATCAACAAGCCCAGCCAGCTTATGCATCTTAGTACAATTGATCCCAATCCCCCAAGGAACATCCGCACCCTCGATCGGCGCAACGGCAGCCCGTACAACCTCCCCCACCGAACTCCCATCAGGCAAGAGATCATCATCGCGCGGAAAAACACAAGCAATCCAAAACGGCACACGGAAAGCAGAATCACGAATCGCCCTCCTCACAGCCCGAACCTCATCAAGCCGCGGCAAAGTCTCAAACGCAACATACCGCACCCGCGACACGAGCTCCCCATCCGCCTCAGCAAACATCCGCAGCCGATCCAAGTGCCACAAATACAACGACTCCTCGGAATCATGCTCGGCATCGTATGCACCGCTATACTCCTGTCCTGGGATCATGCATGCACCGTAAGGACCAAGGCTGAGCGCGACGCTTGCGCTCTCGCGCACTTTCGCTTGCTCGGCGATGTCCACGGCTTTCTGTAGGAAGGGCCCCACTGCGCTGCGCGGGATCCCGTCTGGGAATTGGGTGGTTTTGGTGCGTGCAAAGCCCTCAGCGGATACTTGGTACGTTGCTGTTAGGAGGATGTCTACTCCTGCGACGCCGAAGTCGCGTTGGCATGCTTGCAGTGTTGCTGGGTCGCTCACTAGCAGGTGTGAGGCCCAGAGTGGGGTTGTTTTGGAATCGAATTTGATGTTGTATAGATCGCCTAGGGAGGTGCCGAGGCCTCCGTCTAGGATTTGGATTGTTGCCATTATGTGTATTTTGGGGATTTAGGTGGTTTATGGAGGTAAGTGGGGGGGGTTTGGTGTTTGATACAGTCCTAAACGGGGCGATTTGCTGGGTTACATAATCGCTTTGGGCCGGCCTCGGGGGTATAAAAAGTCAATCTGAGAGGAGTTGAGAAGTGGATATTAGACTAAATGTGGACCATGTTTCCAGATACTGGGGGTTTGTCTCTCTCTGATAGAGTAAAAGATATTGAATAACATTTTTGTATATTGACAGCATTGTCTCAGCGTAGAGCTCTACTATGCAGACAAAGTACAAAGTACAGGTGACTGCGTGAGTAACCCCATGTAGGGCAAGACCAAGTGTTCAATTTTGGAAGGTACGACTGTTGTCGTGTTTAGGAAGGCACGCATGTTGTTGAGGGTATAAAAGGACCCCTCCCACCTTTCTTCCTCTTCTCTTCTTCTTCCTCTCCCCAACCCTCTCGACCACAATGTCTCTCCGTAGCCCCCATGAGACGGCGTAGGCGGAGGTGGCACTTGGTGCTTATATCTACGGGGATCTCAACATCATCACCATTGTTGAGGTCTGCCGTATGCCGGTGCGCACCCTGATCAAACTCCAGTTCTTGTGCGAGCTCTTTGATAAAGTCATGGCTGAGCATAAGCTCCATAGCCATTGGCGGTCCCACGGAACACACCCCTATTCCTTTGTGATGTCTTCTCTGTACTATGTTAGGTAGCTCAAAATACATCAAGTAGCCGATCCATCTATACGTAGATCATCCTCTTGCAGAACTTGATCTTCACACTAGGTTCTGCTCCATCCCTCGAATATATATTTTGTCCGAAGTGAATAATTATGAGATGATTTATCAAACAATATCACTTACTCTTCTTACACATGTGCCCAGCCATATCGATGCAGAATTTGCATCTCATTTATAATGCAAAGTTCCCCCCGCTCTTCATTCCCAGCACCCGACGCTCTCCAGCTGTTTATCCGCCTTCGAACTCCTGCTTCTTTCAACCACGTAGTGATACCCAAGCGGCGTAGTCGATTAACCCACAACCCTTGTACAATCCGTTTCGCAGACAGCCAGTTCATCATCGGATGGGTAGCTGTATATGCGGCTCCACTATACCCAACCCTCACCAAAGGGTTCAAATAAACACCCTTCTCCACTGACAGTGGGTTATCTGTGTGGATGAGACAGCACTCGGAGCCTTCAAGATGATACTCCGCTAGCGAATCTGGGATACCTCGGAAACGAAGTGGGGAGCTGGCGATGAATGGACTTGCAGGCATCGCCACTGGAGATGTGTTAGTTTATTTACTTTATAGAATGGAGACCAGCGTACCCATGCCATTCCAGCAACTCGCCACAGGAACAGGAGACATCTTCTTCATTGCATGTCGTGATTCCGCAGAGCCGAAATAGGGCCACGTCTGCATGATGGATTCATGGCCCTTGCTATCCCGGAGAGCAAATGTGTCATAGTAATGGGGAGGCTTGGAGAAATCCAACGAGCAAGCAGCAGCGTATTCGCCGCCATTAGTATCTAGAAGTTTGAGAACGTCGTTCGGCTGGTCAACAAAAGAGGGTCTTGGTTAGAATACACATTCGCAGAAGGTAAGCTGACTCGTACTCACCGTGAACACAACGTCATTGAGAAACAGAATTTTATCAAAAGTGATACCCTGCCGTGCAAGATCCTGCAGAGGCAACAAGCTCAGGTTCCGTATCCGTGCTAGATACGGCACTCGTCGTAGTTGTTTTCCCCGTCGGGAGCGCGAATCCAGCCCTCGCCCTCTGCAGGTGCGGCTAATTCATCTTCATGTGTCACAGGCGACAAAGTGATATTCCGTGGTACCCGCATTTGTTCGAGTTCCCAGTCCAGCTCTCTCAATGCGCCTTTCGTGTTATCGTAGCTCCCGCTTTCGTATATGCTGATGAACACATTTTCACGACCAAGCTTCAAGACCAGCTGTGTGAGTGCCTTGCTCCAGTGGCTGCGTAGAATGAGCTCATTGTTCCAATTGATGCTTGCGATATATATTCGTTCTTGCTTCTGTGGCCTGTGTCGGAGGGCAGTGTACTCGGCTTCGTAAATTCGGTGTTGGATCAGATGTATTTCGACCAGATTCCATATTGCGAAGATTATAATCAGAGCCCGGGCGATGCGGTACCGGAGGACTCGTCGGGAGGTGGACAAAATCGTCATGGAATGCGAGGGAATTGGGAGATTGGTGTTTTGGTGTCAACGCCGGGGTCGGTTGCGATGTGCGCGATCTGGTCTTTTTGACATACATGACTGGAGTCGTGGAAGAAACCCTGGATAGAGGATATTCAATATTGCTAGAAGGGGGAACTTGGCAATCAAGGGATGTTCCAAGATCAATGTGAGAATGTATACTTCCGAAAGCAGAAATATCAACGACGATCATCAACGAAAGGAGTAAAAGCGTTATTCGCCGATCGGTCATAAAAGAATTGTGACAGCCAGATGTGAATCTTAATATGTTGGTGGTACGTGGAAGTATAGAAATGGTTGTTCCTATGTTAATTTGAACAAGACAAAAACAATGATGAAAAGTGGTATACAAGGGATAAAACCTGCGATATCCAGGAACAAGTCTCAACCCAGGAAATGCAAAATAGCCGTCATAGCAACCGCAATGCCAGCTACTCTCTTCAAGCCCAAATGGCACCGATTGCCCGCCCCTGTCTGACTTGCCTCGGGACTTGACGCCGTCGTACTAACTCCACCCTCGACCCACGGCTGCCCAGGCAGTGAATCCGAGCTCTCGCCGATCTCCGTCGCGCTAAGGAGCTTGTTTTCGAGCATATCGCAGTCGATCCGGTCATCATTCTCGGGTATGCTGTTGGTGACAGAGATCGGCAGGTCGAAGACAGTATAATAATCGGTCCCATTCCACCGGAAAGATTGGTGCATGGAGATGTTGTATGTCCCGCGTGCCGAGTCCTTTGAGCCAGAGTCCTCTCCCACGAGACATTCGGGCCAAATCCAGTTCACATGTTTGACGGTGGATGAGGGCTCCAGGTCTAAGATGGGTCCGATGTAACTTGCGTTAGACAAGGGCTCTGTACCGTTGGATATGGTGAAGTTGTGCGACTCGGAGGTTAAGAAGAGTGTTATATCGTGGAAGCGGGTGGATGAGTCAGGTTGAGTTGATGCCGGCCACGGTAGTTGACCATTGCCGGACACGTCGATTGCAACTTGAAGGTTGTCTAATAAATTAGCAAAGAGTTGATACGTTTGGCGTATTGACTTGCCTCCTCCGAGGGGTGTGTTAGGTTGTGGCGCATCGACAATTGCCAGCCCTGGCGTGTAGATTTGGCCGTTGACGATGGTGATGTTGACCATTCTTTCTACGTCTATGATCTTAATCCAGGTCTGTAGTTTTTTTCTTTCTTTCTTTTTCACAGAAACATAACCTGCGCTGTCGTGTTCTTCTTATTCTTTTTGCGATAAGGGGCTCATCTCCGACAGCTCCGCCGTCGTCCTTAGCGTATTGGGATTAATTTTATTTCTTCAGATCATTGGTCTGGCTATGTCTCGAAGTTGCCAGTTATCCTTTCTCGATATTAATCCTAGCCAATAGGGGTACATGGTATATTTGACCACTGCTCATTTCAAACCTGTATTTGGGAGGATATAATCGTCTTCTTCCCGATGCCCCATACCGGTCGACAATGTGACCGAGTTATCATTGATGTGTTTCTGTAGATCATGTTATATATTTTATATATTATACATCTTCTGACAGCAACCCCAATGTCGTCCATGCCTTTCTTCCCCGTTTCTACCCACTTTACCCGAATCCCCCTTCGATTATCGGCATTGTTTAATTGTCCCACATAAAACTTTGTGTAATCAACCGCTATTGCTATTGTGTTTATTTTTGTACGTAGAATCAAGTACTCAAGTTGCTCCTCATTACTCACTCTAGATATTTCTTATTTTTATTTTTTGGTGGAAATCATTGAAAGGAAGCCTGAATTTTCGGATTGATCAGTAGTACCCGAGATCACCTAGTTTTGGGGAAGGATAGTCAAATGAGATCCTACGATATGGTGGCGCGCAATGCACACAGGGTGGATGGAGGACTCAGCAGTTGGAGCACTGCGAGCCCGCAACTGGCTGTCCCTTGTGGCTTGCATGGCCGCGGCAAGCATTAGATCGAGGTTCTTGGCGAGGCCTTTGAATCGGTCCTCGGCACCCGCAAGGCGTTTTTGACGTTGCAGGTTGAACTCGGCGGCTGCGACTATCTGTCGCAGATCCTGGATGTCGTGGCGGTCCTTTTGGAAGTCGTATTGGAGACCTTAAAGTGGGAAGAATGGGCTGTGTCGGGGCCCACCAGGGGGGGTGATCCCGTGCGGGGGTCCCTGGTTACTAAGGTACGGAGCAGAAGAAGGGGGAGCAGCCGGCATGCGAATGCCAACAGGTCCATTGCCGCGGGACGGGTCGGGAATGGGACCCTTATACCGCGGGGCGATTAGAGGGATGGCGGGGGTGGGGCCACCCGTCATGTTGAACCCAATAACGCCGTTGCGGCGGGCTGGTCCCTGCTGATTCGCCATTACAAACTGCGAGACAGGTTAGATATGATGCTCGAAAAATTGCTTGCAAAGGTAACTGGACTGACAAGCTAGCGAAGGGGACACGTAAAGAAAGATAGGCGGGGGAACCGTTTTGTAGGCCGTGTCCAGAGACTGGACACGAAATAAACTATGCGAAAAGGTGTCAGAAAAGGTAGACAGGTTACTTGGAAGGGTAGTTGGGACAAACCAGCAATCGTATTGTCTCTTGGCAGATGCTTCTCAGGGTAGCAAGCAGATAGATAGACAGAGACGATGATGGAGAAGAAGGAGAGGAGAGGAGAAGAAGAAAAGAGAAGTTGAGAGGAAAGATGCTTTGCAGCTGCTTCGTAGATAGCCCGCAAAGCAGCCGCCAGGCTGCCTACCAAGCAGAAAGATAAACTGTGACGATGATAAAAGGGTTCTCACAGTCGAGGCCTAGGGCATATGACGAAGTTTTGCCTTCGGCGTTAGGCAACTGGAAAGGATGGAAGAAGGAAGAGGAAGGAGGAGCGAGTATTTATAGTCCTAGAAATCATGTTAGTAGAAAACAAGGGATAAGTTTGAATGAAACGAACTCACAAAGGCATGAGTATATATAGTGCCATTTGGCGTAGACGTTTAGATGTGGAGGGGGTTGTAAGAAGAGAGAAGATGAAGAAGGAAGAAGATGGTATTTATAGTTCATAGTCCTAAGGACCGCAGAAACTACTCTGCTACCTGATACCTACCTAGGTAGGGTATATCTAGGTATTCTTCGTTTATTATTCATCTATCTATCATCGTCTTCACCTGGGTATGATCCATTCGGTAATCTCATTGAGTACATATGTCAACCTTCTATAAAGTATGCATATCGTATATACCAATCTGAGGATGCATGTGTCCTTTGTATCTCAGTCTACCCTCACTCTACTCTCAGTTTATTTTCACTCTACTTATTGTAAATTCTGCTCTTATTTCTTCTTTTTGTTTCTAATTATAATTACTCATTATCTAAGTTAGCTAGGCTAGAAGACTGCCCATTCTTATCGTTTGGTTTGACTCACCAAGTTTCTAGAGCTATGACTACTTGGTTATTCGAGGATTAAGTGCTGTCAAGAAAGTAAGGATGAGGATAGTTTGCAGGTAAGTCTGATCGGTTCAAGCCATCTACTTTAGATGCTAGTTGTACGTATGTTGTTTGTCTGTATGGAGTGTTATGCTGATATGCGTGTTATATGATGCATCATGTGCAAACCATAGCAACTGGAATGCTGAATTTCCATATCGATTCCCCTCATCTCTAACTCTCCATGCGCGTTATTAAAGGCTAGGTATCCATGTTTATGATGCGCTTCAACTCGGCTGGTCGGGACAGCGATTTTGTAGATATGGCTCGGATATGCCGGGTGCGAATTTAGAAGTTACTCCATTCTAGGTTGTTTCCATTGCAATGTACAAGAAAAGATGAGTAAAAGAGAAGCATGACAGAACAAAAGGTATCAAGCACGAAACATATTAGACGCGATCAAAGGAACAGTAGCGAAAAGGCTTTTCCAGAAATAGATATGGAGCAACAACCAGTGTTTTCACCATGAAGAAAGACTCTGGGGCTCAGAATAAAGGTATCACCTCTTGTCACCCCAGAGACCAACAATGCCAATAGAAAGTGCAACGCCAGACAACCAAGTGCGCGCTCGGTGGAGCCGGCGCTCCCGGTCCATCTCGCGCTGAACAGTTTCGCCATTCAGGTCGTCCTCGGCCTCAACCACGACAAGGTCTTCATCCTTCTTTGTGTTCGAGTCCCGGGCGAGGGAGAAGTGGGAAACGTCGCGGATGACAGCCGAGGCCCAGTTCTTGAAGCCGAGGTGACGGTTGAACCAGTAATCTACACCGTGGGCACCGATTGTAGAGAATGCGCACAGCCAGATCATGTATGGGTGTCGGCGGCGCGGAGAGGAGAGGCACCACGCGAAACAGAAGCAGCTGTTGGTCAGGAAGGAGAGGCGCAGGGCATATCGGCGGGTTAGTCGCTTCACTTCGTTTAGGGAGCGGGCGGCGGCTGTCGCTGTTGGAAGGAGCTGCAGAGCTGGGATTGTAATGGCTGATGTGGAGTAGGAGAGGCCCTATAAGTTTGAGAGGGGTTGTTAGTTTTGTTGACCATATTTTATGATGCGATAGATGCGGTTGACCTACGGTAAGAAGACCGAGGGAGACAGTGCCAACAAACTTGCTGACGCTGATGGGACAGGCCATGTTGCAGAATTAAAAGCTAATCACTTGTCTCGGAGCTTGTATTTGACGAAAACAACAAAGTCCGAAATGGGTTGAGTCGAAGATTCGCGTCAACAATGCAAAGAAGTGAGACGGTTCTTTTTCGGTGACGTCGCGGTCCGCCCACACGCCAGCCAATCAGCGGACGGCCTTTCTTCATCGCAAGGAGATATGTTCTTTCTATGATAAATTAGTGGCACAATATATGTGTAGATATAAGCGTGATCTAAATTATGCTTGATTTAGTGTTTGAATTTTATGTATGCAGCTATATATAGGATGCAGATGACGGCTATATGTATATATATGAGAACCTCTTATCACTGGCCAATTTTCACGTATATGGAACGACAGGAAAACGAACCTTCTCCTCCTGGGTGAACTCTTGCGATCTTATCTTGTACATCGGATCCCGCGTAAGCAACATCAATACGTACGGATTCACGACCATTCCTCGAACTGAGGTATGCATCACATTTGAGAAGGACTCGGTTACCGTGTACGGCTTCCAGAGCTACAGTGTGCTCATCAAAGCAGCTGCAGGATCTCCTCGAGGGCATGGATATTGCCCAGCTGCCAAAATACACACCGTATCCCGATATTCCGAGCCCCCGACAAGATCTGGCCGCTCTAGCTCCCGCCAGATCCCGCGGGCACATTGAGTCATGATGCATTCTGGGCTCGCATGTCGCACGCATTTCCTTCGTCCAGGCGATATTGTCACGACGGAGACCGGGACCTCCAGCGCAGATGGGCGAGAGCTTTTTCCCCCAGAAAACACGCTGTTTGTCAACTCGAGCATCTGGCTCTCGAGTGGATTTATGCTGCCAGCGGCACAAGGCGCCTGCCTTTCTCAGCGTCACTTACAAACACAGGGGCCCACAATCTTATTCGAGGGAGACGGCAGTTTTCAGGTGACAGCACAGGAGTTGAGTGCGATAATCCGCAAGCGCTTGGATATCATTGTTTTCCTGACAAACAACAATGGCTTTAATATCGAGCGACTTATTCACGGCTGCGATGCTGAGAACAACGAAGTCGCTCTGTCGCGCTACCTGGAAAGCCTCCGTTGTTACGGTGTGCCCACTGATGGGTCATACGAGGCACAGACTGCAAAGGTAGAGACTTGGGGTCAGCTGCATGCGCTTCTTGCAGATGGAAACTTTCAGGCCGGGTTTGGTGGAGGTCGCGCTGGACAGGTACGATGCCCCCGAGGCCCTCAAGACTTTGACACCTCGCAACATCCAAGCGTATTAGCAGAAAGCCTAGACGCAGCCACGAAATGGCTCTTACATGTTGTATTCGTCATAAGAGACGCGGAATCAGGAATTCCACAGTGGATGTCATCTTGCAGCACAAATCAAATGCACGCCCACTTCACTTCATGCACGGCCCAGGCAGCCACTTCACAGTTGAATTCACCCGTTGAAATGGGAACTGGCTATATATTATTTTCAATTTTGCTTGTGCCTACATTGTGTATTGTAGCAGAAAATATTTAGACCAACATAATGCACTAGTGCTAACTTGCTGATCTCATGTCGATGGCTTTCGCTGCATATATAGTGCTAATAGGACAACTAGTGGTCACACCCTACAGAGAAATGACAATAATCACCTGAGACAAGACTCGAAGCGCTTTCTAACATGCACTGCTTTCGCTCAAGGCAGTGCGGAGTGCCATTTATCTTGTTTACCTTCCCACATGCATGCCCAAGGCGACAATCTAGATCCGAGTCAACATGATGCTATATGAGACGACGGAGAAGCAGACAGCTGGAAAAGTACAGTCGTAGAATGCGGATGAGGAGTGTTCTAGGTATTAAGTATTTATAGCCTCGTATCGAAAGAGTTGGTCTCCAAGTGACGATATAGCGGAGAAATTAACATATCGACGGAAAATGTGGAATCCGCGTGTCCATGCACAAGCATAAGATGTATCAGCAAGTATTATATCATATATCGCTTTTGCACCTACATGTGCCGGGGCCATTTTCAGATGTTCTGGGGTTCCGGGACACAGCCGAATCATCAGAAGAGCTGTATACATGCGTACCATCACTGGGCACCCATAGGCCAGCTCACATCACCCATTTATCCATTCACTCGCTCACTGCACGTTCCTTCACGTTACAGGTCGTAGCGTACTCTTAAACTCGTAGTCGCTGGCTGCGGTATACAGGACACGTAGCCCTAGTTTAAACTATCGTGCATGACGACATCATAGCTCTTCCTGGTAGCTAAAGTAGTAGATCATCCCAGCAAGGGTCCGCACTTGTAGGAAAGGGAAATACTCTGGGCAATAAGAGTTAAATATGCTCTCCAATGTCAGGCTGTCATAGTTTCTTGCTTCTTGTTCAATCATAATAGAAAGGCCAAACTATTGGTTGCTGAAAGTGGAAATTCTGTGTAAATGATACGTTGCTAGACCAGCAGCCTCATTTCCTATCCAAGCCATTTCCTATCCAAGCCCATATTAGACTATTAGCCCACTTGACACTTGACACTGGATATGGTTCATACATCAATACCCCGCAGCCACTAACAATTCCCTGCAGCAGCTGCAGGTTATGATTTAATGGGAGGCGCCGTATGTGGAAACTACAGTAATGCGCATCAGACCTATCCAGCAGGTAGCAGTCTGCATGCGAGGGGTAACTTTGAAATTAGAATCATTTACGACTGTTTACCTAATGGTAACTCATGGATTCTAGGGTCTTAGCAACCAGGTAGGTTCAACCCAGTTGCACAAATTATCGCAAAATACACGTCTAACAATCCCCTGGAGAGTATATATAATAAGTGTTCTACCTCGACAGGTTTCTGCACCTAGTAGCAAACAAAATTCGACAATACCTCAGCATGGGAGACATCGGCCAAACCGCCGAGCATTGGATGCCCCCAATGACGCCCCAGGCGCTACCTATGGGCAAAGCAAACATTTACCCATCAGATGAGGGACATGTAAGTAGAATCGCTTGAATTGTTCGGCATGGATACTTTAAAGGTTGACACAATCAGGGTGTTAGCGTTTCCTTGCCTACATGGGATTCAGTAATTGGGCTGTCTCGCAAGGAACCATGGGTTTTGGACCAGCTGGAATGCAGTTATCCTCGGTAGGCCATGTTCTTGCAAGCTGGTGGTGACTTGATCTAACAGAGCGTGAAGGTTTTACATCAATAAGCTGGTTGAAGAGCTTTCATCAGCGGTCTTGCGACGACTTTCCGTGGCTGACAGCAATACTAATTGAATGGTATTCGCCTCTGCCACTGCTGCTAGTAAGTGCCTTGCAGCCTTGAGGGACTCCATTACCAGTGAGGAGGACCCAGCGTCGTTGGAGACTGTCCGCTTCTTCATGCCTCTAGAGCCAGCCCGAGGGGTTATAACCTTTCATTGGGCGAATTTCTCTGCCGTCCTTCTACCATCCACACTGTGGAAAAGGGCAATGGCATTCTGGAGGGACAGTGGTAGTGGTCTATCTACGCGGCATGCAGAGTTCTGTATAGGCGAGCTGGGTTACCTCGACTCTGATTCATCCAATGCTGTATTCTGCAGTCCGGCCCCCTTAGAAAGGGACAATCGCCAAACTACACAATTACTAGATCGTGTACAGGGCGCAGCTGGCAGTATGCCTGAGCTAAAGAGGATCATTGCGGAGCTAGCGACTTCTGACGAGCCAGGCGAGCCGGCTGTGCATCCAAACGATGTATTTCCTTGTCCCACTGGAATGAATGCTATTTTCTCGTTGTCTGAGAGTTTAGTTTCGGTGACAGCTGAGTCAACTGTGGTTGCCTTTGGGTATGAGCCCACCCGGGACCCCACCCATGGCATCTAGTTCCAGAAGATATGAACTAACAAAGATATCCAAGTTGGCTATATCCAGAAACAGTCGAAGTGCTCCGAGGTGGTGGTTGGAAAAACTGCCTCTCCTATAAGCATGGCACAGAGGAGGAGCTGAATCAGCTGGAGAACTTGCTCCAGTCGGGTCTGAAGATCGCAGCCCTGTTCTGCGAGTTGCCCAGCAACGTCTTACTGTCTTCCCCGAATCTCCGCCGAATCCGTGCTCTTGCCGATGGATTTGGTTTTATCGTTGCTTGTGATGATACCGTGGCCGGCTTCGTGAATCTGGATGCCATTCCATTTGTAGATGTCATGATATCCAGTTTGACGAAAACATTTAGTGGCTCATCTAACGTCACCGGAGGGAGGTCAGTTTCAAGTCGCATTGTAATATATATGCCCACACTGACGATCTCAAGTCTCGTGGTAAACCCCAGTTCTCGGCATCGTGATACAATCAAAGCAGCTTTGTCCGCAAACTACGAGGAGACGTACTTCCCCCTGGATATCCTTGCGCTCATAAACAACTGCAAGAATATGCCCTGGCGAGTGAAGAGATGCAATGAAAGTACCATTCCGCTTGTCAATCTACTTAGCTCACACCCGTCAATCGCCACGGTTCATCATCCATCCACTGCGCCAACTTCATCTCTATACCAAAATGTGATGCGCAAAGATGGAGGCTACGGTAATGTGATGAGTATCATCTTCCATCACCCGGCCAGCGCTGAACATTTCTACAATATACTTGATGTTTGCAAAGGTTCCAGTTTCGGAACTAACTTCACTCTGGTGATTCCATATGTGCAGCTGGCGAATTACTGGAACAGAGAAAAGGTCCCAAAGTGGGGTGCCCCAACACATACTTCGCGTTAGTGTTGGGCTCGAGAACAGTGGCCAACTGTTAGCAACTGTCGCCAAGGCACTTAAGGAAGTGGAGCTATTCGAGTCGCAAAACACTGCCTAGCTAGTTGATTTTTGAGGGCGCAGATTAGTAAATAACCAATTTACTTTAGGAAATACATATTTATACACGTTTGCAGAATAGCAGCAAGCATAATTCACTGATTTGACTCTAAAATAGTCGGATACATATATGCCTAGACACCTAGGTAAGGGCTGATACTGTCTATGAAGAATCAATGGATCCCTAGAGGTTGATGGAGGCGCGATATTGCATTCCAAATTTGGATGCATAAAGTTCATAAAATGCATAAATCCGTGAAGCCGAGGTCCGACTGTGGGGAAACGGGTGTCATCAAATCACCTGGGCACGACCTCCTGAACATCCCCCAACTCCCCCACAATCTTTAGACTAAGTTATCCAGGGACATACATAATAACCAGAATGCCGCTGCCCAAGACAGAATACTTGAGTGACTCCTGGAAGGATGGGATCTTCGGTAAGCTCTCTTTCAATCCGTCGCCACCGCACCCACGCTAATTCCTGATCCAGCAAACAAGGTTGTCTTCTGCACAGGGGGCGCCGGCACTATCTGCAGTGCCCAGGTCCGGGCCTTAGTACACCTGGGTGCCAACGCCTGCATCATTGGCCGTAATGTAGAGAAGACCGAGCGCGTTGCCCAGGACATCGCGACAGCTCGACCCGGTGCCAAGGTGATTGGGATTGGTTCCGTGGACGTGCGCAAGCTCGAGAATTTGCAGCAAGCAGTTGAGCGCTGTGTCAAGGAGCTCGGAGCGATCGATTTCGTCATGTACGTTGATATAGTAACTTGACCGCAGTCTTCCATTCTCAATACTGATAGTATCTGACAGTGCTGGAGCGGCGGGTAACTTCCTCGCCTCCATCGAGCAACTCTCGGTCAACGCTTTCAAATCAGTCATGGATATTGACGTCTTGGGCTCTTATAATACCCTCAAGGCGACCCTTCCGTACCTAAGGGAGTCAGCAAGCAAGCACAGAATGGACTCAAAGACTCGTGAGTGCACCATTGGGTGAATCCCGAACCTCTGTCTGTCGTTGCAACTGACAATCTTTCAGTTCAACCGTCACCGATTGGAACCGGCGGAAGAATTATCTTCGTTAGTGCCACCATTCACTACCGGGGTATGCCTTTCCAGAGCCATGTATCCGTTGCCAAAGCCGGTATCGACGCCTTGTCGCACAGTGTCGCAATCGAGTATGGTCCTCGCGGTCTGACTTCCAATATCATTGCGCCCGGTCCTATTGCACAGACTGAGGTTAGTACAAGTCTCAACGGTGCTATGTCTATGTCAAAAATCGATCGACTTACCATTTTGTAGGGTTTGGAACGCCTGCTGCCATCAGATGCCCTGGAAGCCTACACCAAGGCCCAACCGCTTGGTCGCTTTGGTCATGTCCGCGACATCGCGGACGCCACCGTGTATCTTTTCTCAGACACTGGCAGCTATGTCAGTGGTCAAACGCTTGTTGGTGAGTTGTCAGATAACACAAAGAACGTGATGTACGTTCCATACTGACACATAAACAGTTGATGGTGCAAACTGGCGCATGTCGGCAGGCGGCGCTTCCGGTGGGAGCCTTTCTTACCCAGACTTCTTGCTTTCGGGAGATGAAGTACCTAATGTGACCGGCAAGAAGTCTAAGCTTTGAGCCACTGAAATCATGCACAAGACATTCGTAATACATCGGATTGTTTCGGACGTTCGTGTTTTGGATAGGTTCCACTACGTATAACTACGCTGGAATTGGCAGGTAGATATTATATTCATTCATGATATTTCTAATGTTGTTGCCTTAACTAGATCAACCCACGTTGCTGTTATCGCATGACCAAAATGCTGTGCCATGTCTTCACTCTGCAAGGCACTCCTCCCGACTCTTGTATGTGCGACAATCGTATAGAGCAAATCCAAAGCAAAGCATGCTCCATACACGCAAAGATGGTGCAATGGCTTTCTTCACCGTTACCAGCCAAGGAGCGGGAAAAGGCATGGATACGCTCTGTTATTTAGGCTAGGGAACGAGATTTGCCCATCTGAATAGATGCCTTTCTTCATGTTGTGGAAACGTCATCTTCACAGATTCCCCTTACCTGTATAACTGACCGTAGGCTGCCAAAGATGATTGGTTTTCGAAGTTGGGAAACCAATAGGGGTGAATCGCCACATCGAACATCGTTTGCTGGCGGACCAGACCACGTGCCGGGTATTTGCTGCGAGGGCTGCTGGTGGTTTGAGGCTTCCTGGGCGTCTGGACAGGGAATCTGAAGTAGAAGCAGTGTCAGTCTTCTTTTAACGACGTATGTTTTGAGTAATTCTGGCAAAATGAGACACTTACCTTCACCCCATATTCCCCATACTGGTGACAAACCAAGTAGAATGGGATGCCTGCCTTGGCAAGATCAATGGGTATGAGTGCAAAGGTCGCGTATGACGGCTGAGGGCCTGTTGGAGACAATTCCGCTGTTAGATCATCAATTGCGTCGACTGGGGCGTGAGGTCCTAGGGAAAGTGTCAATACCTTGGCCCAAGGTCGATCATGACATTTGCGTCGTTTCTCTTGATGGAGTATCCCCGTGATGCGAAGGCCGTCGTGTGATTGTTCGCAATGTAGGGTAATTCAGGTTGTCTCGTCTGCTTTGACTCAGCGTAGATCGCCACGGACAGCTCCTGGTTGGTCGCTGGTGTTTCGTTCGCTTGTCACGGATCCGGCCCGTATCGTGCTCGGATGTATTGGGGGTGTTGTGGGGCCGAGGGACAGCCCCCACAAGCGGCTCTAGGGGATATGATTTTCCTGTTAGCAATGACTGGCAGTGTAGGAGGGCTGGAAACCCAGATACTCATATCCGAGAACAGTAGAAACCCACGAAAGCGTGCAGATCGACCCGTGAATGAGTGACAACACAACGAGAGTCAGGGCAGGACCACTTTTTGACCAAGAATTGTGGTGACAGTAGCCTCCGCCATGACTGTATTATAGAACATAAGTAGACCAGACGGTACGAAATCGCCAAGTCTTCCAAGCTTTTATTAGACCATGGAAGAGCAATATACTCGGTAAATCGAGTGCACTGGCCTTCGCCAAGCCGACGGCATTTAGCCGCAACCACATGGCGCAGATCTCAACTGTATACCTAGGTCCACCGAGCAACTGCTGGGAATATCTACGTAGAGCTAATTCTAGGAAAGCTAATATTGAATAGACACATATTTAGAAACTTAATGTAGATTGTATTGCTGGATGAGACATCCTATTCCTAGAAAAAGAGCATTCAAGGGACCAATGAGGCACCCCATTGTTCTCTTTATTGGAGATCTCATAATAGCCATTGTTGAAGAGATACCCTGCCATCAATAAACAATGGGGAAGCCTATTGATTGGTCCAAGGGGTGAGACCAAGTCATTGAGCAGGTCATTGACCCAGAGGGTGCCAGAGTCTCATCAACACGTCGCGTGTCGAGGCCTACCTATATCTTCTCCCCTCTGGTCTCAACTTCTCTTTTCTTCTTCTCCTCCCCTCTTCTTTTCTCCATCATCGCTACAACCCTTTCTGTTTCATAAGATCCGGAAAGCATCTCTGGTTGTTACATCGTTGCTACTGGTTAGTCCCAACTACCCTTCCAAGTAACCTGTCTACCTTTTCTGACACCTTGTCGCATAGCTTCGTGTCCAGTCTCTGGGCACGTATCGAAAATAGTGTTCCCCCGCGTCCACGGACGTGGTCGTTTTTCAGTCTCTTTTTCGACTTTGTAAGTTCAGTTACCTTTATAGGCAATTTTTTTTCGAGCACCATATCTAACCTTTCTGATAGTCCCAAATGGCAAGTCAGCAGGGACCGGCCCGTCGCAACGGGGTAATTGGGTTCAATATGACGGGTGGACCTACCCCTGTCATCCCTCTCGTCGCCCCGGCGTATAGAGGCCCCATTCCTGTCCCCCGCGGTAATGGAGCCACCGGCCGCCCGATGGTGTCTGCTCCCTCTACTGCCATTCCGTATCTCAACAACCAGGGACCCCCGCACGGGATCACCCCCCTGGTGGGCCCCGACACAGCCCATTCCTCCCCCTCTGGTGTCCGACCAAGACGGACATCGCGCGAAGTTACCGCGTTGAGCGCAAGTCTAGCGGATGCCGAGGGCGCTCTTTCTCGCCTGGAGACCAAGCAGGACATCACCGAGTCCCAGGTGTCTGCTCTGCGGTCCCAATTGGCGACCCATCGAACAACTCGTTTCGTTGATCAAGCGCATATGGATGCCTTGATCAACCGGTCTTGCAACGACCGGGCTCGCGACATCGACCGCCAATTCCAGATCCTGGAGGACCGATTGGACCAGGTGTCTGAAGATCTTGAACGCGCTGAAGGAAACCAAGCTGCGCTCCAAGGTATTCAATACGCCTTCCAAAAGGATCGCCACGATGTCCAGGATCTGCGACAGATAGTTGCAGCCGCCGAGTTCAACCTGCAACGTCACAAACGCCTTGCGGGTGCCGAGGACCGGTTCAAAGGCCTCGCCAAGAACCTCGATCTTATGCTTGCCGCGGCCATGCAAGCCACAAGGGACAGCCAGGTGCGGGCTCGCAGTGCTCCGACTGCTGAGTCCTCCACCCACCCTGTGGGTATTGCGCGCCGCCACGTCGTGGGAAGCCAGGAACCAGGCTCCCACGGGCATGCATTTGATCTCCACCCGCAGGAGCTCGGCAAAGGGAAGGCTCGTGACCCGGGACCGCTCCCCTCTGAGGGTCCCCGTGATGATAGTGACACCGAGTCCGACGTTGACGATGGCGACTGCTCGATGAGATCGCGATCGGAAAGTCCTAGCGTGCTTTCCGTCGTGATGTCATTGGACAGCCGTCGATCGTCGCGGGCTAGTTCACCAAACGACATCATCATGGTGGGCACGGTCCAACAACTTGCCGCCGCCCCGTTGCAGGAAGATGGGTCCCAGGCGACCAACAACAACGACTGGGTGATGCCAGACGCACCACCCATTACCACCCTACCCGTGGACCAGCAGCAAGTGGAGAATACTTGCACAACAAATCATCTCCCCGACCCCGACCTCGAACAGTTGAACGGCTACGACATTGACATGGACTGGGAGCCAGCCAAAATCCCAGGCCGCACACGCCCGTGCAAGCGAGACGCACGAAGTGCAAAGTACCACCGAGACCGACGGCGTCGTGTGCGTCGTGCCCGTCGTGCCCGTCCTGTGCGCCAGATGGCCATCGAGTCTGTCAATATGCCAGTGCGCAAACGGATAGCTCGCGTGGACGAGCCGAGCGGGGACGAGCCTACTCGCAAGAAAAGGATTACGAAGGAGATGATGGAAAGTAACGGATCCCGGTTGCTTTCCCCTATCTGACGAATACACATTGGACACCGCTGCGAAAGTGCCAGTCATGAGTGTGCCAGCTGTTACGCAGCCAGCTCATACCGATTTCCAGTGCACTGAAGGTGTCTCAACCGAGCAGGTGCCCACTGAGGCAGCTATGAGTGCGCCAGCTGTTCCCCAGCCGACTCAAGTTGCCCTGGAGGCCACCGAGCAGGTTCCTATCGATGCAGCTTTGAGTGAGCCCGCTGTTCCTAAGCAGACTCATGCTGTTTCGGAGGAAAACGAGACCATCGAGACCGCGCACGTGTTCACCGAGGTAACTATGAGTGCGCCAGCTGTTCCCGAGCCGACTCAAGTTGCCATGGAGGCCACCGAGCAGGTTCCTATCGATGCAGCTTTGAGTGCGCCCGCTGTTTCTAAGCCGACTCAAGCTGTTTCGGAGGAAACCGAGACCCTCCAGACCGTGCAGGAGTTCACCGAGGCAGTTACGAGTGAGCCAGCTGTCCCCGAGCCGACTCAGGCTGCCTTGGAGTCCACTTTGCTCGCGCCTGTGTCTAATGTGTGCAATGAAGTTGTGGGTGCGCCTGCTCCTAGTGAGCCAGCCCCAACCAAGTCAACCCAACCTACGCCATTGTGGACTGAGAAAGTTCGGAGAGTGCGTGCTGTTCCTAAGCCGTCTCTGAATCGATCAGACCGTGTCGTTCTGACCCAGTGGACTGAGAACATTCGGAGTGTGCGTGCTGTTCCTAAGCCGACTCTGAATGGGCCAGACCGCCCGGTTCCGAGCCAGTGGACCGATACTCATTCGCGAATCGAGGCGATGCGTGCGAAGGGCATTGGAAGGGTTCAACCACGTCAGAAAGTTGTGCGCGCTCTTAAGGGGTTGCAGGTCACAGCAACCTCTCGCAAACACTCCACCTCTTCCCTGGTGGCCAGTCCCGAAGACGCTTCGGCAAAGAATGCCGTTGCAACAGGGACAGATTCCCGTGCTGGGGTTTCGGAAGGCACCAAGAGGGTCGAGGACGCCGAAGACCCAAATTGCAGCGCTCAAAAGACTGCGGGAGACACACAGGAGAAAATGGGCGAAGAAGAGGCAGCGACTTCTGGTCTTCAAATGCCAGGAGCTTGGCCTTCCGACCCACCTGTCGTCACTGCGTCTGGCGAGTCAGACATGCACGAGGGATCGGCTTTGCTGCGGGTCCTACGGACAGGAACTCGATGGGCCTCCGTTGGTGTATTCGCTATGGTGATGGTGACTCTGCTGTCGTCCCCCTTGTGGCTAGGTCACCTTGGACACCTTGCTTACGCCTTCGAGGGTCCAGAACAGTTCCTGGAGGAACTGCGCGAGGAGCACGGATATGTCCCATTCTTGGAGTGGGTCATCTATGTCTTCCTGCGGAGTTTTGCCGGAGACCGGACATTGTTCGGTTAAAGGCAAGTGGTACCCCATCGAGGGGAGGGACGGATGAGCCGCCCCTTGATGCATCATGACATTACTTACTGCAAGGCAGGAAGCTGGCGAGTCCGACGATTGCCGCTTCACCTGCATAAGTCCAGTTACGTTCTTTGTCCACCCTTCGGGGTGATGTATGATTTGTGAAGTATATATCCATATATATGTTGCACTGCCTACCCAGTTTCCTGGGTAGATGATGTTGAGTGGTGGCAGCCAACCCACACAGCAAGATTCATGCAACAGCATATATATCACAATTACGACATGCGATACCGCCAGCGTGTCCAGCAGGCTGACCATGCCACCTTGCAACCGCCAGCTCCTGGGAGCGGAGAGCATTACATGATCTCCCGGGAGCTGGCACGATGGCACAAACAGCGCCATCTACATGGTCAGCCTGCTGGACACGCAACAGGAACAACTCGCCAGCCCCTAGGGGATGGGGATGTCATATCATCTCCCAGGGGCTGGCAATATGGCACAACAGCTGCCATCTGCGAGTTCAGCAGGCTGACTATGCCACTTTACAATGGCATAAACACGCTTCGATGCCACCTGCATAGTCAGCCTGCTGAATAGCCAGCCCCTGGGAGACGGGACCATTATATGATCTCCCACGGGCTGGCAACACCAACAGCGCACCAGCCTCTGGGAGCGGGGACAATTATATGATCTCCCAGGGGCGGGCAATGGCACAACAGCTGCCACCTGCGCGTTCAGCAGGCTGACTATGCCACTTTACAATGGCACAAACACGCTTCGATGCCACCTACATAGTCAGCCTGCTGAACAGCCAGCCCCTGGGAGATGGGACCATTATATGATCTCCCACGGGCCGGCAATGGCACAACAGCTGCCACCTGCATGTTTAGCAGGCTGACCATGCCACCTTCAGAAATCTCCAGCATGGTCAGCCTGCTAAACACGCCGGTCCCTGGGAGATGGGACCATTATGATCTCCTAGGGACCAGCAATAACAACAGCGCGCCAGCCCCTAGGGGACAGACCATTACATGATCTCCTAGGGGCTGGCAATACGGCATAAAAGCTGCCACCTGCGTGTTTAGCAGGCTGACCATGCCACTTTCTGCAACCGCCAGCTCCCTAGGAGCGGAGAGCATGACACGATCTCCTAGGAGCTGGCACGACGGTACAAATACTATCTGCATGGTCGGCCTGCTAGACACGTAGCAAGAACAATGCGCCAGCCTCTGGGAGCGGGGAACATTATTTGATCTCCCAGGGGCTGGCAATGGCACAAGAGCTGCCACCTGCGTGTTCAGCAGGCTGACCATGCCACCTTCTATAACGACGCGCCAGCTCCTGGCAGTGGAGAGCATTACATGATCTCCTAGGAGTTGGCCGTATGGTCAGCCTGCTGAGCGCGCCGATTCAACAACCCGCCAGCCCCTAGGAGATGGGGATATCAAATAATCTCCTAGGGGCTGGCACCATGGCATGATGAATAATATGCCAGCCCCTGGGCGTGGGGAACATTATTTGATCTCCCAGGGCTGGCAATGGCACAAGACCTGCCACCTGCGTGTTCAGCAGGCTGACTATGCCACTTTACAATGGCACAAACACGATTCGATGCCACCTGCATAGTCAGCCTGCTGAATACGCCAGTTCATCCATGCTGTCAGCCCCTAGGATCTGGGGACATCAAATGATACCCTAGGGGCTGACACGAGCAACAGGCCAGCTTTCGGGAGTGAGGGACATTATATGATCTCCCGGGGGCTGGCAACATGGCATGAACACAAGTCAATGCGGTCTCACATATGTTCAGCAGGCTGACCTGCCAATACGCAACGACCACCAGCTCCTAGGAACGGGAACATCAGTTGATTTCCTAGGAGCTGACATCATGGCACCTGCGCATTCAGCAGGCTGGTGATGTGAACTTGTTGTGAGCTCCTGGGAACTGGGAGCATTATATGGCCTCCCACGAGCTCAAAAAAAAAAAAACTGATACTGCAGTATGCGCCTTGGTCCTACTATTCGCCAGGCGATGCACATTTCGCACTCGGCGAAAACCCACGCCACCATCAACATTGTGCCCTTGTGGCTTGTCACCTTGAAATGTATCCTGCAGTACCACGTATGATCCAGAGCTCTCAGGAGACGTCATGCCAACTCCTGGCAGCTGAAAGCGATGTGCAAATTGGATTATGCTGCGGTATACGGAGTACGGCCATCAGCAATATTTCGAGCGCATACCCTATATGCTTGGGACTGGAGTCGTCGCCATCTTCAATTTTACGAAAAACCATGGGAACAATACCACACTGTATGCCACTCGGTGTTCCTTTGAGAGGGTCTTTCGGGGAGCCTACGCATCCAAACACGAATCTCCAAGCCCGGGAGATGCCGCCTGCACAGTCAGCAGGCTGACTATCAGCCATCCACCAATCACAGCACGAGCCACGCAGGAGCTGGCGTCACCCACTCCACTTCCCGCTGAAAGAAGATCACTTATCTCCATACCCCCTCGATATATTGTTCATCACGCTGCTGAGTCTACTCCTCTCATCGAATTTAAGGAGGGAAGCATCGTCTTGCTTCTGACTTACATTTTGCCTCCACCTTGGTTTCCTTCCATCACCATGTTCGTGCGCTCCGTTTTTGCTGGGTGGCGCCGCTGCCCTTGGCGCCAGTGCCATGCTCGTCGTCCCCGAGATGGAACCTAAAGTCGATATGATTGAAGATGGGTTTGTGAATGTTCACCCTATGCTTTTGGAGGACGTTCATCATGCGATTGTTGACCTGCCCTGCTCTGAATGTCCTCTCCGTGAAACCAACGACGAAGGTGTTGTTACCTGGACGGAGGGCAAACCATCATCTCTGGTAAGCGTGACAGAATCCGTTTATTCATTTGAATCTAGCTAACAAACCCGGGTAGACTCTGGATTTCTCGATCGAAGACAACCGCCTGCTGGCCAACGGCCGTCAAATATTCCCACCGGCCCCGCCCATTCCAATTCTTGCTGTACAACAAAATGAAGAGGGAGAGGACTCTAACCCAATGCCTGTTGGCTATGCGCTGGAAATCATGCCGATGGCCGCACCATCTGACGAGCCGGGCTATGAACTCCTGGATATCCGATTCACTGTTCTCGACCTCGAGACCCACCCAGTCCCTGTCGATACCGTTGCGATCACCGTTCTACAGGATCCGAACGGCGAGCTCTTCATCGCCCGGACTGAAATCGAGAACACCACTCCTGCCTCCGACCGCTTGTCCTGGAAGGAGTGCCACGGCAAGGCCAAATGCCTGCAGGAACTTCTAGTCTCTCGCATTCGGGGCCTGCTGGCTGGCGCCAAAGCTCGTGTTATGGGCATGACCAAAACCGGCCGCAAGAGCTGCCATGGCAAACATAACGGCAAGACAATGGACCACCACGAAGAAGGAAACAACGGTATGCCTTTCCCTTTCCCGCCTCCTTTCGGGGAAGACGGTCGCCACCATGCCCACGCCCACGGCTCTGCTCGTCCCCACCATCACCACGCATACCACGGCGCTTTCGCCCGCACTTTCTCTCGCATTGTGCACTTTATCGTTGTCCCGGCTGTTTTGGGTGTCCTGGCTGGATTGACCGCCAGTGCCATTGGCATGCTGGTCGGCCAGGCTGTGGTTTTCCTCTGGCAACGCTACCGCGGCACCACTTCTTCGGAGCACAAGGCCGCCTGGGAGGACGGCGAGGCCTGTGAAAAGCAGGGCCTCATGAGCATTCCTCGTCCCTCCGAGGAGGTCCTTCCTGAATACACTGGGCCTTCTCAGGACCAAGGATCACTTGATAAGGACTAAAGAAAAACATTGAAAAAAAGAAAGAAGGAAAGAACACACCAAACCAAAAAAAAAAAAAAAAAAAAAAAAAAAAGAAAAAAGAAAAAAGAAAAAAGAAAGAAAGAACACATTGATCTTGTCAAGCCCGCTGTCTTATTCGAGGGCCATTATCAGCCTGTCTGGACAGTGCTCAATTTCTCAGCTGGGGTTTCCTTCCTACGAACAGTGCTCACGCAAATACACTGATTTTCCCGAAACCCGAGGACTGCTTCACAAATACAATACAAAATACAAATACACTCCTTCAAATCCTCTTTCAAGGGTCGTCACCAGTCACCAGACTGACCTTCCAATATTTTTCCTTTGAATGATGCACCGCAAAACACAAGCTCTCTGGCACCAGTGGTGAACTTGACAAGATCACTATCAACGACAAAAACAGAAAAAAAAAAAAGGAAAAAAGGATTCTACTATCTTCAACCAAGGACGGTCCCTTTTTTTGTTGGCTCTCCACCGTCAATCCTTATGAATACACTAGGCCTTCTGGTGCCAAAGGACCACTCAAAGGAACAAGACGGAAGCCTTGGAACAGCAAGACAGAACAAGACGGAGCAAAAGGCACAACCCAACACAAGACACAACCAAGCACAAGACACTACAACACAAGACACTACAACACAAGACATGACCAACACAAGCAAGACCAACCACACGAGCAAAAATAAAACAAGTGCAACGATCAAAGAAGGGCCCTGCTATCCTTAAGCAACAGCTATTGCCAGCCGGACTGGTCTTTCCACTCGTTCGCCCAGCCAATCGGCCAGGAAACACCGAGCCATCATACTCAAAGGTCATCGACAAGAACAAAGCAATCCCCAAAAAAAAAAAACCGTTCTGTCGTCTCTTGATTGAGGTCCAATTCCACTTGCACGGTCTGCATAGTGCTGAGTCAATGTCATATGGTTGTTCGCTCATAGTGGGCTATCCCACACCCAATTTTCAATGGCCAATGGTTGCCTTGAGCTTGGTTTTGTTTAAATCTTGTTTCGTGCCAACTTCTCCTTTTGCTCTTGGCTTTTTGTCAATATCTTGTTCTATTCCTGGACCTTGTCTTGTTCCAGTCTGTTCTTGCTCTCATTCTACATACCTCCTTTTTCATTCCAATGTGTCCTTCGATTTTCATGTTAAGCTCGCTCAAATCGTGTTCTACAAATCCTGTCCTGTTCTGAACTTTTGTTTGGTTTCAATGTGTTTTCTTTTTCTTTTTCTTTTTTTCCCCTCATGTCAAGCTTGGACAGTGTTGAATTCCCCATTTTGTCTGACTATACTATGTTCGTGTCCTTGCATCTCAGGCTTGTGCAGTTTTTCTTGTGTAATGTCTATATCCATGTCAATCAAGCCTCATAAATTGAAATATCTCTAGTTCTTAGGCTCTTCTCCGTAGTCGGTCGTAGCCACTGTACTCAATAGTATTCCACTCAGATAGCGAAGCATATTGTAGAACTTCGCGGTATGTAACCTCTACGCTAGCTCTATATATGGCAGACAAATGTAGACCCTTATATTTTTAGACGGCTCTTGTAAACGTCTTGCCCCCTCGTAGTTACTATTGACCTACAAATCGCATAAAGGGCGAGGCATATTCATCGTAATCTGATACGACATTCCTTGCCCTAATCACTAGTGAGCTATTCGTATCTGTTCCATACGCCAAGGGTGTTTCAACGAATCTCGCAGATGGGAAACGAGCCATCGTACACCAATTCAACCTGACTTATCGCGTGTCCGCGTACCTTAGAAGTCTGCGACCGCCCGACGAGCCCTTACCACTGGAGCCAACGCCTCAGCAACCAACCGCAAGGGCGACACTTCTCTTCGCCTACTACCACAAACGCAGCGGTTGTGAAAGCTATAAGGGAATTGACAACTGGCAGTCGACGACGTCCTGATTGATACCAAAAAACCAAGCTACACCACTCGACTAGGTTGAAAGACGCCTTGGCTTTGACAAGAGCAATAGCTTGATTGCAGTCGTTAGGCATGGCGTCACCTCGGTAGAGAAGGGCGACAGCCATATACTTGCAATTGTGAGGATCGCAGACAACTATGTGGTTCCCGGGGTCAAAGCCGGCCAGACAATTAGTATAAAATGACCTTTTTAGAGTAAAGCACACGAAGTTACATAAACTGGAAGGTGAGGTCCTTGGCTTTGAAGCTTTTATGGCCGCTGCAGTTACTAGATACGGTAGGAGCATATGAAGAGCATCTATTAGACATTAGACCTGACCACACGAATTTCGGATATTAGGGAGCTCATACAGTTGATGGCCGCATCCTACTTTCCGCTTATCAATTGCTCTAGGTGCAACAAATGGCGGTAGGTACCAGGGCGTGTCTCGTCAATAGGCTATATCACCGCCAATACGTTAGTCGTCCCCGATCTCCTATTTCAAATATATGTAACGAAAGGTCAATGTCGACAAAGATCGAAGGAGGGACGTATTTGCCATTTTCAGTCTCAATGGAAAAGGTCTCATAAGTGCCGCCCTGACAAATTTCCTCGGTAAGATCGGGATCGATATTTCCATCGGCGTCAGGCCAGGCTCAAGCAGAACTATATCATCATCGAGCGGTTTAAACATTGCCGACTGGATTAGTTTCTACTAGATAGTACTAGCTAGGTCATATAGAGGAATATAATTATATAATCTAGTAAATCTCTCGCTTCTAGAAACCCCTTCTTCTTTTATACGCGGCCCTATGCTATAGATCTTGCCATAGAGTGCCTAAGGCCACTATATAATACAAACCTTGCAAACTTCGGGACGACAGATAAGGCTGATGATGGTCACGTGAACACGGCATCATCACGCCCCCTCTTATCAATCCGACAACAACACCAGACGCAATCCTTTTGTTCTGCAGGCGTAGTCCTCGGCCAACGATGATTTAGCTTGTACGATGACCTTGAAGCTCCAATCTCGACTACGCACTGGCCTTTTTTCCTATTCCTAGCCCGGATCTGCTGGACTCGAAGTAACTGTAGCTTGATCCCGACATCATCGGTTATCGGCTTCAGGACATTCACATAAATTCCCACGTTCACCTCTCCAACATGATACCGTGGTCGTCCTTCGTTCAAAAGGCCCAGAGCCTGATTGACCCCGCCAATTTCAACATTCCCGCCCTATCCTCGCCCGATCATAACCCCTCAAAGGCATCGTTATTCCGGCAACAATTCCGCCTCCCTGATTCCCAGAACCCGCTTCAAGAGATCACCGCTGATCTCGTTCTACCGCTACCAAATTCCTCGGCCAGTCAAGGAGATGGCACCCGCAAGGTTGACCGGGCTGGAAACACATACACTGGACGTCTGCATCTGAGTGAACGTTTCATATGCTTTTCAACCCAACCGACAAGCTTCATCCCCTCTGCCACAGCAAGTGCTTCGACCGCCTGGACTGGCCAGACACACGGCACTGGGCCATCAGGCAATGGATTCGTTCTCCCGCTATCCTGCATAAGACGTGTCGAACGTCTTCATAGCGCCAGTCACGTTTTCTCCCTTGCGCTCACAACATGGAATGGTTTGCTCAATAAGCAACAAGAACCCAACCTCGTCCCTCAACGCCTCATATTGCAGCTTGTCGGTAGCAGACAAGCCTGCGAGCGATTCTGTGACACACTGAAAAAAGGCCTTCGGGAAGGAATGAAGGAGGTTGACAACCTGCGGACTGTCGTCACGGATTGTTATTCGGAATATCTGCTCTCAGGTGCAAAAGGAAAGGGACAAGATGGGAATGAGGCTGACACTCGTCAACCCCCGGATGCGGGGCTGGGTCTGATTTTCCGCTACCCTGGCGATGCACGCAAGCTGCGCGATCGCAGCAAGATGAGACTTTGGGGCGAATATTTCAGAGGTAAAGAGTCATCTATCTTTCTTTTGATCGTATATTCCAACATCTGACCGATATCCACTAGAAAATGGTCGCAATGCCACGTTGATTCGCCAACCAACATTCCACAAGCTGATCAGAGTTGGTTTGCCAAATCGGTTACGTGGAGAAATTTGGGAACTTACATCCGGTTCTCTGTTCCTTCGTCTACAATCCCCGATGCTGTATCAACAGACATTGGCCAAATTTGATGGACAAGAATCCCTTGCTATCGATGAGATCGAGAAAGATCTGAATCGCAGTCTGCCAGAGTATCCTGGATTCCAGAGCGAAGAAGGCATTGGACGCTTGCGACGAGTTCTCACTGCGTACAGTTGGATCGACCCGGAGATTGGGTATTGCCAAGCCATGAACATTGTGGTTGCCGCATTGTTGATGTATGTTTAGAATCCCCAGTTGTCAAGGGTGTCTGCTAACTTGACCAGATATATGTCAGAGGCCCAGGCCTTTTTCCTTCTCTCTGCGCTGTGTGACCGTCTCCTTCCCGGTTACTATTCAACAACGATGTACGGCACACTACTCGACCAGAAGGTGTTTGAGTCTCTAGTCGAGAAAACAATGCCAGTTCTCTGGGATCACCTCACCAAATCAGATGTACAACTTTCCGTGGTATCGTTGCCATGGTTTCTCTCGCTATATATTAACTCCATGCCGCTCGTCTTCGCTTTCCGTGTCTTGGATGTGTTCTTCTTAGAAGGGCCGAAAGTCCTCTTCCAGGTCGGTCTTGCCATTCTCCGAGTTAATGGCGAGGAGCTTCTCGAGACACAAGATGACGGGTCATTTATCTCTGTCTTGAAGTCGTATTTCTCCCGACTGGATGAATCTGCCCACCCGAGATCGGAGAATCCCAAGCTTCGAGCCATCACTAGATTCCAAGAATTGATGGTGGTTGCTTTCAAGGAGTTTTCTGGTATCACTCACAGCACGATCACCGAGACACGAGAGAAGCACAAGGGCGCTGTGTTAGAAAACATCGAGACTTTTGCAAAGCGTACTTCTATCCGCAACCTTGGACCCGAAAGCAAACGCCTGAGTGTGGATGACCTTGGAACGATATACGACCGCTTCTATGAAACACTGTACCAGTGGGAACAACGCCAGAGAGTTATCGAGGAAGAGACGAGGCGGCAAGAGCGAAAGAGATCCCAGCGCCTTTCTATGCTTGCTCCTCCTGCGGATACCCAAGTTGGCCGTGTCGGTCTCGGGCCTAGCCCCACACATATGGACTATGAGGCTTTCCGGGAGTTTTTAGCGGCAACGTCCAAATGGGCAGTTGCTGACTCCCCTGGGCCATCAGGGAAAGAATCATCATCGGGGAAATCGGCATTGTGGGCGAACCGCAGGCAGCCAGCAGACCATGAGTTCATGCAACGCCTCTACCGCAAGTGGGCCACAAACCCCGAGGAGGGATTGAATCTTCAAAATGTTGTGAATGGTCTCGCCCGGCTGAAGGGATCCCCTGACATCATGAACAATATCAACTATTTCTTCGACCTGTACGATGACAGTGGAAATGGTCAGGTTGATCGTGAGGGAATCCTCAAAATCTCCGAGGCGCTGTTGTTCCTCTCCCGGCGTGGGTTTGAGGGCACGATCACGGCCACTCCATCTGTGGAAAACCTGCATTCGACGGCAGACCGCGACCATGCTGAGAACTCGCTCACTACCGACGAGAAATTCCTCGGTAGTGTCAGCGCATTCATCCGTCGCTGTTTCGAATATGCCGACCCCAGCCACCCAGAAAACCGAAAAGCAGACCAGCAAGATGCAACGGCAGAGGCAACTGAGAAGCCAGACTCTTTTGCTATTGGCGATGATGACGACGAAGAAGACCTGATTGATGTTGATGATGCTAAGCCCGCCAGCTCTCCAGCACCAGACCCAACGGCCCACACAGCCAAGTCAACGACCCCCGAATTAAACAGTGACGACCATAACCGCTCAACGTCTGAGTCTGCCAACCCGGCTCTCGATCCTAATAATCCCCTGCACATCACTCTCCCCACCTTCCGAATGGTTGTGCTGGCCGACGAACTTCTAGAGCAGTTCTTTGAATCCTACTTCCCTCAATCCTTCCACCTATCCGACCACCCCCACCCCGCTGCTCTAGCCGCATCATCCTCAATGTCGTCCAACCTCACAACCTTCTCCAACCTAGGCAGCATCCGTTCCTCCGGCCTCGCCGCAGGCTCAGCACCCGTCGCCGGCGCCTCAGGAGGTATCGTACCACCAGGCAAGGGCCTGCGCGGTGTCCTGGACAACATTGTCTCGGACGGAATCCGCATGGCCGCCGAAGTCAAGAAGCGAATGGACGAAGCCCAGCGCGACCTCGAGCGCAACGCTCTCAGCCGCGAGGAAGATGAAGACGATGAAGACGACGAAGACTATCCCCGTCGTGAGAACACTGCCGCCGCGATCCCTGGGGGTATCCCCAGCTGGGGCGCTGGGGCGTACGGCGCTGATACGGAGCGCCGTAGCGTTGTCCGCGACGCTGACCGTGACCTCCTTGAAGGAGCTGAGGTTCTTGGCGGCGGGAAGGAAGAGAGAAATTCTCTATTGGACGGAAAGGATGATGCGAACCACGCTCCCCGCAAGGTGTCCGGCTCTGCGGCTTCTGCTAGGGACGGTGGCTCCCCCACAGCGCGTGATGGCGAGGTTATCAGCAAGCTCGTCGAGTTTGAGTCATGATATTCTGCAGGGCTCGCATACAACATACTGTCTTATGTCATATACGGTTGGCCGCCATCTTATGCATTTCTTTTTTTTTCATTGCCGATCCATTGCTTAGATCGTCATACAATTTTGTACTACAACCCTTGGTTTGGATGTTTCAATTCCTCTTTCGCGTGGTTCCCGTCGGACTGGGACTTTGATTTTAGATTCCCTTAGAAAGAACTTCCCGCTGGATCATTCTTGTTCATATATACATGCAGGTTCGATGTAGCACTCTTCGTACATGTACAGAATTCTACAGGGTATTTGCGACGTAAATGTGGAGATCAAAAGATAGATTTGAGACCTATGTTTCCAAGTAAATCAAAGATTCATCAAGGGCAAAATCGCCCATAAAACAAAACTGTTCTGAATTTAGAGAATCGTCAAGTCATGAGATGTAATGACGTTTTCTATGTACAGCATCATCATCAAGCAGGTGGAATAACCCCAGGGGGTGGAAGCGATCAGTCACCACCAAGCCT